CTGAGGTTCCATCTGAATGTGGTTATTTATCATCTGATGGTCGTTATATCTGATGGAGGTTCCATCTGATGGAACCACTACAATATTTGAATAATTTGTGACACGTATTACATCCCTTACGTTGTACATTCTGCATCCATTTCTGCCCCTCCATCCCGTCCAATCTTCCTACGGTCTCTTCCCTTTTTTTTCCCCTGTTGAACAGTTTTTCTTTTTTTGATGGGAGTTTTTCCTGTTCCAATCAGGGTTCTAGGGCAGAGAATGTTGCATGTGAGCGTAAAGCCCGATGAGGCAAATTGTTAGTTTTGTGTTTTTGGGGCTCTACTAAATAAATTAAATTGAATTAAAAATAATATAATCTGTAATTAATAAATAGAATAGAGAAATATAGTGTTGCTGTAATGAGCCCAGAGAAAAATGACCAGCTAACTTAGTGTTTTATCTTCTTTCTTTTTTTTGTTTTGTGACAAAAGAGGAGGTGCACACATAAGTATAAGAAAGAAAAAAGATGCTTGCATCGTTTGGTTGATTTACTAGATCAATCAGTTGTGGACATCAGCAAGTCAGTATGTTGGTGTAGCTGAGGTCTGAGCATTGTGGGATTGAGTGTGAAAACTCAAGTTACGATCATAGCTGAGTGGAGAGTGAGAGCATCCCTCAAATAAGATAGAATGATCAGATGCGACTAGGGACAAGATAAACCCTGAAGCCACAGAAAGAGAAACAAGGGTGCCTTTGTGTTAACTGATCATTTGGATGGGCCATAGATCCAAACAAATGGGCTTTCACAGTATCAGACTACAATTATGCTGGCCAAAGAAATTCCTAATAATATTTATGCAATCTAAAGTTATATATAATATATATAAACATATAATGTGTAAGCAGTCTTTGCTTATAGTGTGTATATGCCTCTTTGCACAATCATTTGACCTGCAAAAGCCAGAGAATCATAAGTTGGATTTGTAATATAAGGCAAAATGTTCTATATTTTTAAATTTAAATTCAGCTAATAGCAAATTAAAAAAAGACTGAAACAACTAAAACATTTTCACTTGTCAACAACTTACTCCAAATCACAAATACACCTCATTAAAAGCTGTTGTCAGTCTGTAATTTTAGAGTTTGGACAAAATCCATCACCAAAAAAAATGCCTTTTTGTGCCGGGGAACCATGTATTTCCACTCAATATGATACAGACCGAAGCCCCTTCTCAACCAGCAGCCCACTAACGTCCTGCCCCGCTCATGTGGCTTCCTGGCAGTCAGCCACTGCCCCCTCCTCCCATACCTCCCATTTGTCCATGAAGCCAGTTGTGCTGCCTGTCCCGTGTGAGACAGGAAACAAGGCCCTGTGGACAGTGACCTCACCGCAGGAAGAGGGCGGAGGGCGTGTGTACTGTGACTGTACGGGAGTCGTTGGATAGTTCACACCAGTTAGAAAAAAAAAACTGCTGTTAGTATTGTCATGGCAATTTATTTTTATTTGTACATGTCCAGCATGGCTTGTTAACACACTCAACTAGAGGTGAACACACAACAACACAAATGTATAAAATATTACATTTTCTACAGATCGTCAAAAACAAAGCACTAAAAAACGATCAGAAAACACAATTGGAATGTTATTAACAAAATAAAACTAGTTTAGAGAGAAAGCAAATACACAATATCAAATCAAAGAGAGACAACAACCAAAACCAAACAGCTGTTTTGCTTGGCTGCTGCTTCTTCTAGCTGATGGTGGTTGAGCTCAGAGTCATGAACCTCTACGACGGTGGTAACAAAGTCTACTCTCTACTGTAGCTGCAGTTAGTGGATGAAGACAGTTGTCATTAAAGCGACCCGCTGGTCCGGTGCCGAGCCGCCGCTCTCGTCCGGCGCAGCGACCGCGTAGATGCTGGGACTCATTTGGCGGCCATCTTTTTAGCCTTGGTGAGTGCTGACTTAAAATGAGTGCTGTCAGAGTGGACGGGTCACTATGGGAAAAGAGAAACATCTGAAGAACCCACAATCCAACTGAACACTGTCCGTCCATGTGGAGGGATTTCTTTTGTCTTTCTTTGTGCATCTTTGATCCGTTCATTTCGTCACTTATTGATCTGTTTTTTCCTCTGGAACAGTTCAGACTTTACACAGAGCTAACGCCACGGCTTCCTGAAGTGACGGGGGGGGGGCGAAAAACACAAAAGTGCACAGAGCGGAGAGGAAAAGAAAAAAGACACTCACTCAAAAATAAAAACAAAAGCGAAGGTGAGGAAGCTGAGGGACGAATAACATGGCGTCTCTACAGAAACACATCCTGAGATGAAAGCTCAGCGCTATTCTAACCACGGCCCCGGGTTCCAAACCAACAGGGCATTGACATCAAAATAAAAAGACCTTCTGAATGCGGCATCCTGTCGTCAGGTCGGCGTGATTCAGTCAATCCGTCCCCTGTTCAAAAGCTGCTGAATAAGGAGATGGATGTAAAAAAATAAAATTAAAATACAAACAGGCTCTGCCTTGTGGGGCTGGACCCTCGGCCTGGACCGGTTCCCCTTGAGGGGAAGACAATCACGTGTGTGTGCATTGGGGAAAGACAAAACAGGGGGAGGAGACAGAGTGTGTGTGTGTGTGTGTGTGTGTGAGAGAAAGAGAGAGAGAGTCCATTGTTGTTATTATGATCCCCGGGCTCAGAAGGCCGGGCCCGGTCCATGTAGAGAGAGCGTGGGAGATTTACAGTAAGGAAAACAGGCCTATCTCTCAGGGAGCGTGGAGCTGATTAACTGAACACCTCGACACACACACACACACACACACACACTCATCAATCTCCCTCCATAACCACTGACTGTTTGCCCTCCGCCTGCTGTCCTTTAAGACGGTTGGCGTCGCCCCGCAGAGAACCCCTCAAACTGCTGAGTGGCAGAAAGTGGTTATTTCACGTCAAGAGGACGTTCAGGTGCAGCAGACTTGGAAGTGGTTACTGTAGCTTGTTGGAAGTGGTTCGTCCCTCTCCCCCTCTCCCCTCACCCTCCCCCCTATAGACTGGTTTCATGGAGGAAAAGAAGAGGAGCTGATGAAGCACGCACACAATGTGACGTCTTCAGCATCTCACCGATTGGGAGGGACAGGACAGGACAGGGAGGGGCCGTGGGGGGGCTTTTAACGCTGATTAGCTGCATCCACCCTCCTTCACCCCCCCCCTCCCGCTGGTGAGGAGGTGAGCGATCCTCGCAGGACGACATTCTCCTGTGTGTCCTGTCAGCTTCACCTCTGTCCCACCTCCACCTTGTCTGCACCCCAACAGCAGCAGCCGTCCCACGAGACACCTGTTGCTTCTGAGACATTGTCATTATATACTGAAAGCTGGAGTTTCCTCTGAAGGAGAGAAAGTGGGTCACATGGACGGTTGCCCGAGGGACAGAGCACATCACAGTCTGCCTCTGGCTGCCCTCCCCCCACCACTTTATTCCCCACAAGCTTCGCAGACTCAGGAGGACGAGGTCAGCCTCCCTCCCCCCCTGCGCCCGTCCCCTTTCCCCTGTCTCAGCTGCATAAGCAGGCCGGTCTCTCCTCCTCGCCCTCCCCTTCCACATGTGTAACCTGAGCCTACGCCCCCCGACCCCCCCCCCCCCCTCCCTACCGTCCCATCGGAAGCTCACTTCTAAATGCCACCTCCCATAGGCCTTCCTCCCATTCATATTTGAAGCCGTGCTCTCTCTCCCCCTCCCTCTCTTGTCTTATGCTGGTTTCCCATAATCATGTTTCCCGTTCTCCGATTGCTCCGACGCTATTTGAACAACTCCGACTCCAACGTTAAGGGGAATGTCAACAGACCTTCAAAGTGTAATTATCTACATTGTTTCACGTCTTTTTCAAGTGACGAAACAAATTCCGCTTCAAGATTCCATTTATTTCTGTACCGTACGAAAACCCGTGAGCAATCTTCTGCTGCATGATCCGAGTGATTTATTTTATCCTTTTAAGGACCCGTGTGATCTTCACGCTGCACATGAACGACGGAGACCAGGCCCAGCTGGAGGAACGCTGATATGATGCCCAGTAAAGACACACACTCCCCTTTGCAAGATGAAAAGGGAGAGGGGAATATTTTGCCTCTGGGAGTTAAAGGTTGAGTTTAGGGGTTGTGGGGTTTAACGGCATTTGCGCACACCTGCTGTTTTTTAATGAAGAGGATTAGTCCGTGTTCACATGAGCCCGCATGTCCCGAGCCCACCCCGCTGCTCACAGCGACCTCACATTAACAACACTTGGGCCGCCGGTCACCTGGGAACTTTCTTAAATTGTCCTTTGACAAAACAGCGGCAGTAAAAAGTCCAGTAAAAGCTGCACGCTGCGTTAGCTGCACACCACCACCGCTGTGCTGCCTGCGTGGTGTCACATCCTGAAGTTAAAGGCTCTGGCTTTGTTTTATGTCTCACACACACACACACACACACACACACACACAGAATGCTCCTCACTTGTGTCATTTCCCAGCCAGCGGATTTCTCTCCATGGCGCGTTAGTCGGTTTCCTCTCGAGCACAGCAAAGAGGTCCTACTGTGGACAGAGAGGAAGCTGTGCGAGAATCAGCCACATAAATGCAGGTCCCCTTTAGAGTGTAAGACCTTTCAGCCAAAGAGGTCTTTAAAAGGCGTCCAAATAAGGCAACGGAATAAGTCCCACTGTGAGACGACAAGATAGGGAGGAAAACAAGGCTCTGACGGGCTGAATTTACAGGTTAATTGCTATTTATTACAATTTATTATTGTAATAAATAGCAATTATTACTTTGTTTTTAAAGCCTTTATGTAACTTCTCTTTGTGGTTTTAAGTTGACTTTTCGGTCGGAAGCAGAGGAGACAGCTACACTGACCCCTCCCCAATGCCTAAAGATCCTAAAGCCCCTTCTGGGAAATTTGGGATTTGTCACACATGAATATACGTAACTGGCTCGACTCTGTCCACCTGAAACTGTCCAAATTTCCAAATAAGAGTTCTTTAAACAGACCCCGTCTGAACTACTTTATTTGAATGTATGCCGAAAGTGACACTATGTGTGCAAAACTACGGCAAGTATGATGGGTCAAACTAGACCTAGTAATACAGTCTGTTTGGGTATTTATTTTTATTTTTCTCATGAGGGGTTTGCGGGTTTCCAAATGCTTTTACCAATTTCCCCACATTCCCAGATCGCCTTTGCATGTGTTTTTTTGATGACAGCATGGGTAGCATCACATTACCGACTCTGCTGGGGCCGTGGCTGACGAGTAGGGTGGCGCAGAAAAAACAATGTGCAAACTTCTCTCGTATAAATAGACTACAGTCGCCGTATTGTGGAGCACCGTGTGGAGACAGGAGGAGGTGTGTGTCAGTAAGACAGTAATGGATCTATTAGCACGTGGACTGAGAGTGGTCAGTGGGAAGAGAGCTTGGTTAAATGGAGGGCGGTGTCTGTGGTCCAAAGTTCAGCGTCCCCCCGTAAGGTCAAGGGGTCAGACCCAGTCCTGCAGCGAGCGCTTGCAGTGCACCAGCAGCCGCGGCGCCCCTTTGCTCTGCAGCGTGTTGATGATGGCGTAGATCAGTCCCAGGATGCACAGCACCAGGACAAGCGGGATGGTCACTATCAGGATGTTCATGGTCCGCTCCTCGCTGTCGTCCACCTTCAGCACAACGTCCACCTCGTTTGTGTCCACCTCGCGGCCCTCGCGGTGGTCTTCGTCTTTGCCGTCTTCCGACCCTTTGCCCGCGTCCTTGTCCGTCGCGCCGCCGTCCGTCCCGTCGGCGCCTTTGCCCTTGTCGCCATCGCGGCCGCCCGTGTCCGGGTTGCGGGGCGGGCGGTTCACGTCCGGATACTTGCGTCCCGCGTCGGCGTCCGTGTCTCTGTCCGGGTCCGCGCTGCAGCCCATGAAGTCCCTCAGGATGGACTTGGGGTAGCCTGGTTCGCTCTTCATGCGGTGGTTGTCAAACTTCCAGTACTTGGAGCCCTTATAGAAGAAGGTGTGTGCTGGAGGAGGCAGAGACAACAAGAAGATTGATACCCCTCTCACTATACTGTCAATGGAGCCTGGGCCAGCTGGCTAGCTTAGCTTAGCTTAGCTCAACGTAGAGAACGTTTGTTAGCAGTTAACTGTTTCCACCTGTTCCCAGTTTTCATGCTAAGCTACATTTATGTGCTGTCCGTAACAAAAGGGCTTAGAGAGCGGATCGCTTTTACTCCTTCCGCGTTGACCACAACCTGATTCTTTGTTTCAGGCGAGCGTCCGTCCCCCCAGCCCCTCCTTCCTTGCCCTTTTTCAAACACACACACGCACACACACAGAAACCACTCTTCCTGTCTCAGCTCACCGCCGTCATCACTGAGGAAGGCTCCCTTGGGAGATGAGGGCACTGACGATCCCCACACGTTGATTGGTTTCGGGTAGCCTCGGTCAGCGTGGCGCGACTGCTCGTTGAAGCGCCAGTACCTGCAGAGAACGATGTTTCCCTTTTAACAACTCTCTCACTTATACTATGCGGTTAATGTCCATGTTGTAATGTTAGTCATGTCAGTCTTTAAATCGAAAGACAGAACAAAAGTGTATCAAATGTACAGTTAAAAACACAGAAAAACAGCTAAAATGTAAGCTACAAATGGAGCTAAATAGAGGTCTGGCATGAAGTAGTTTGATGGGAACCAGTAGTGTCTCGCAGTACGAATGTGGGCACACTATTTCTGAACTATGAAATAATCACTTAAAATAAAAGGAGAGACCTCCTGTGTGACTTGAACGTCATCTTTTAGTCTATAGTTGGATATTTTGCTCTGGACCACAGACGCTAGCAGTGCTAACTAAAGAGTCGGGGCCATGTAGTTGAATATGTGCAATGCATTTTGTATTTCTGGAATAATAGCTGATCAAACAGATGATGAAGTAATTAGAGCGCTTTTACGCGATGCCGGCGGCTTGCAGGCTGCGTTACCGGTCTCCTTGGAAGAAGTAGGTGAAGCCCGAGGGCTCCCACCAGATGGCTGCGTCTATCCGGTCGTAGGGAATATCCCGACCGAAATCGACCAGCTCCATTGGATAGCCCTGTTCCAGGTTGGCCTCCCGGAAGAGCCAGAATCTGTTTCCTGTGGGGGAGGAGAGGGGAATGAGGCAAGGTGTGGAGATTGGTGCATTCCCCCCCCCCCCCAATCATAATAACCCTGGACTCTGGAAAATATTAGCACACATTATCACACTGTGTATGGCTCCCGCTGGCACGCAATATGTGTATTAATTGAAACTGAATGAGGAATAACAAAGAGAACAATAAAAATAATCAGAAAAGCCAGAGCAGCATTTGCACACTTGTAAATGATGTGAATGCAATAATGACGTGCTGGCGTGCAGTCAGAAGAGCAGAATGGCAGAAAGGAGCAGACTGTGGACATTTGGCTGAGCTTGTAATTATCCATTAGGAGCGGCTCGTCTCATGTCAGGCGAGATGGAATCTTTTATTGTGTTTTTACTGTGTCAGACAGGGGGACTCCGCTCCTCCAGGCACCATTACATCTCTGCTCTTGGCTTCAGTCCGCCTTATACACCCTCCCCCCCCCACCCCCCCGCGGGCCCTTTGCTTCTTGTTTGAAATGAAAAGCCCTACGCTCAGCATCTGGAGAGAACAAGACGCTGACGCAATGCTTCCCCGCGGGCTCCCGCACGCAACCATGTACAATCCCATGACTTCTTCCATGACCTGGCCGCGCCTCGGCGACCTGAAGAGATCTCAATGCCGTGGAACTGCTGTTTGGGTTCTATTGCAGCTTCTTTTGGATCAGCCCAGGTGTGGAGACACTATTTACTTCACAGTAACTATGCTCATGTTATTGTGTCTGAGTCATGAACATTCAACATAAAAAACGTGCATTTAGGTTCATTTTATTACAGAGGATCATTTTGTTTTATGGTATTTATTTTTGTGTTTACACTTTCGCTCCAAACGCATCGGTCTATGTCAAGAACACATCGAACACACAGAAAAGCTCCCATTGAGAAAAGGCCTGCTGTCTTCACGGTGACAGAAAGCGACTGATCTGATTGGCCATTAAAAGGTCTCCGTTTGTCTCCTTCTCCTGTGCACTCAGGTCTGCAAGACCTTCCTTCCTCTTCCACTTCCCTTCTTCCTTTGCTAATGGCCTGCAGCCAAGTGTCACACTGAAAGGCTTGCCAATGACATCATCCTCCACCTCCTCCTCCTCATTATCAACAGCTGCCCTTAAGCCCGTCGCCCCCAGATTGGAGCCGCGCTAAAGACCCGGTTCCTTCTTTTGCGCCAGACAAACTCGATCCACCGTAAAAGACGAGCTTCCCTCAGTGACTCACGCAGCAAATAATGAGCTGTGCTGAAAGAGATTTATGATCTGCATGTAGAATAGATTACGTTAGCTCTTAAAGAGGAGGCGGGCGGGGCGGGGCGGGGGGTGGGGGAGGGGGGGGCTCCACAAGTTCCACAATCTGTTATGAACGCGTTAAGACATGCCGTCAAATTTGAATGTATTTGGGTTGTGAAGAAGAAAGCAAACGTTGGATGCTTCTTCGTCCAACGGTGTTGTTGTTGGCATTGTTTCTACCCGAGCACGATCAGTGCTGCTACACGGTGTGTGTGTGTGTGTGTGTGTGTGTGTGTGTGTGTGTGTGTGTGTGTGTTCGCTGGAAGACGGCTCGACGGCTGGTGTTCTGTCCTGCTCTGACAATGACAAGCTATTGATACCAGAAGAAGATTATTTAGGACAGACTGAGGCCTGTTTTGGCCGTGACAATAAGCAGAGATGTAGACTGGCTCCTGAGAGCCAGTGGAGGAGAGATTAAGATTGAGGATGTGAGTCGGGCGCATTACGAGGGAATTCATTCATTCACACTAATTCTGGTGCTTATACAAAGATGTATAAGAATCTCCGTCCTGTTGGCAGCTTACCTTTAAAGAAGACGAACCTGCCGTCGTGTCTCTCGTAGGCGGCGTCTATGTCCCCGGGCAGACCCCTCCAGAAGTGGCCGATGGGCATGGGGTAGTTATCCAGAACCCTGTTCCTACGCACCCGCCAGAACCAGCGGCCCTGAGGGGGAAGAAAGGTCATCGTCGGTTCAACACAGCTTAAACGGCTCGTTGGTTTCTCTCTGTCGTTCTTAACCACCGAGCCAAAGTAAACAAAATTCCCAAACAGGTCCGTGCATGTCTGATCTCTCCGGGGTTGGATGTCCTCATGCCAAGCAAACGTGAAATAAATAAACAGCAGGTCTCGGGGAGGCTGATCATAGTGTGGCTTTAATGGATTCTCTCTGCTCATCTGTGACGGATACCAGAAAACTTCCTGTTGTCCGTGGCGACAAACAAGGAACATCGCTGGTGGTGCATTAGAAGCCACACATATATCCACTCTATATGCTGTGCACACGCGCGCCGGCAGCCGTCAACCTCATTCATAAGTGGTGAGTCAGTAGCGCCGCTCTAATGTAACGGGGAAACGCTCCGTGCTGCTTCTTTCTGGCAAGCGCGGACACTTTTGTCCTTCGGGCAGGACACCGTGGCAGAGAGGCGGAGGCGGCCGAGGAACACGGACAGTGTACATGAAGAGCGCAGTCGGTGATAGAGAGAAACAAAGGATTAATAGCAGTCAATGACTACAGGCAATGATGTCACCTGTCAATCTTTCTGACACACTCTCTGACCACGGGAGTATCAATACGTGAAGGACAAGGCGAGGCTGCGGCCATGCCTGCCCTGATGACATCACACAGCCCGCTGAGAGGCTCTGTGAGGCCGTACCTCACAGCGCGGCTTGGAACTAAATGCAATTTCTAACACTAATGCAAACCGAAGCACCTGCATCACCGTTTCATCAGTGCAAAGAAGTTTTATATGTCACGCTTCGCACGTCAGACGGCTTACTGGGAACCAGTTCAAGGTGTGGCAGATAGCTTGATACACTTGGATTATCTTCAGCTGTTTGAATCCCCACCGCTGTTCTTCCAAGTGTCTGATATCGTGGCAGCAAGTCATCTTTCTATTCTTGGATGTTCCGTGTCCAGCTCTGTCCGATATCTGCACGCCAACAGCGGGCTTCTGCTGTGACCCTGAAACACGTCCTCACTTCTCTTTGTAGAGCTGTTCTGTGTAGAGCATCACCGGATGAATCCGGGGCTCAAAATGTTTGACACAATTGATCACAATTAAAGAAAATGTTGATTCGTTACAGAAGATTTCTAAACTTTGGACTGATATGTGACACTTGTGTATCGCTGGAGAGGTGTTGGTGGTCCGCTCCGAGTCATTACCTCTGACGGGTAGAAACACTGAGCAGATGTCGAACAGCGTGTGACCACAGGGCTGAGTTGCATAATATCACAAGACTGAGAGCCGACAGCGAGATGACTTGTATTGGCAAACCATACGTCCTGAGGGTAAAACACCAGCTAATGGCTCTGCCTCGGCCCTTTTGAATGCTTTGTTTGGGTCTAGGGGCTCTTTAATGCAAACACCTGACCACACTCCACCCTCTTAACAGGGTTCCGCCTCATAAAGACACTGGCCCTGTTTGTTTACAATCCTCAAGCCTGATTGAAAACAGGCCCCTCGTTGGCTGCGCACACGTCTTTGTTTCAGGCGGGTTCTACAGAAAAGGAGCATTAAATTATGGACACAGTTGAGCCGCCAGGAAAGCTCCTCTGCTGGATGCCCACTGGCTGCCCAAGCAAGGACATGCAGGAAGCCTCAGTGGAGGTCAACGGATCTCTTCCAAAGCTGTTTGCTCATAACTTAGAAGCTGGCGTGTCTGTGGCCCAAAGCATTTACCTTGAAAACGAACATCTCCCCTCGCAGCATGGCGACCGTGTCAAAGTTCCCTTCACAGATGTTGGGTCCGTAGTGATCGGGCCTTTCGGTGGCCCTGGGGCGGTCAGGGTTCCGAGGTGGTGTCTGAGGGGGCCTGGGCTCCGGTCGACGGGGCGTCACAGTGGGCAGGGCCTGAGTGGGGCCGCCGCCGAGTTGGCCTGTATGGACACACGGAGTGGAAAGTGATGATTGACGAAGGACTGTAATCCGTTTACTCATCCGGCGCTCAGCAAAAATACGTCATACTTTAAACAGGAATTGAAAAGAAGAAAAGAAGAAAGCAGTATTGTCTATGACAGTGGTGCTTTTGCTTTCCACTCTTTCTGTGAGGATGGGGGTCACAGAACACCCACCATAGATCTGCTGTATGCCCCGCAGATCATCCTCGGGCAGCTGGAAGTTCTCCGTCTCCATCCATTGGTAAAAGGGAGCCATGATGGCCAGCGGGTTGTTGGAGTGCTCCAGACCCAGCGCGTGGCCCAGCTCGTGGACGGCCACCAGGAAGAGGTCATTGCCTGTGTGGACGCGGCGAAGACACAAGTCAGGGGGGGAACGATATGTAAAATATGCACTTCATTCTTTCCCCTCAATCACAAGAAAAGAAGAGCAGGAGCTGATTGAGGGAAACGCAGACAGAATACATGTGACCCTGTGCATTTACACGCGTGTGTCCTACTAAATCCCTGCAGAATGCCTGCTCACTGTTTATGATTCCAATACAAATCGCCACAGATCGGACACCGACGATTGGCGTACATCAACATACATTGATTCATAGCACACCCTGCTAACCAATCAAAAGACGCCGTTGTCCACTGCAACCACTACACATTGACAGGTCGGCCACACAGACGTGCGAACCAGAGTGGAGAGTTCATCTCTGAAGTGACTTTTGGTTACTTCCCCTCATGCAACACGTCTTTGTTGCTCTGAACTTGCAATTTACTTTGGCTGGCGTGACGGATGCATGTCTTGTGCATCTCCTCATTTGCAAAAGTCTCACACACACACACACACACACACACACACACACGGACAAGGAGACACACAGTGCACATCACGCCCGCCAGCTGTAATTTCAGAGTCACATGAATGTCCTCGCGGCGTCCTAAGCCGAGAGGGGAGGAAACCGCAGAGGGCGAGACGGAGTGCTAGAGGTGGCCCAGGATGAACAGAGAGAGGAGATAAAGAGGCCTTTGTGAAGGTAACCGTGACGACCGCTCAGTTGGACGGAGAAAAACACCAGCAGACTTCAAAGGTCCTGGCGGAGTTGGGAGTTGAGCCAACGCCACTATCGCTATTTCTGACTCCCCACGCACACGCACACACATTTTGTCATTCAAGTCCCATTTTAACTTCAGACATTGTTTGCTTGTTACCGCGTCTCACACCTCGCTCGCCAGCGGGCCGAGGGACACTCTAAGGAGCGCCACGGCAACCAAAGAGCACTCTGCAAGTTGGCTGTGCTTTTTGCCAGCGACTTACTCACGGTAGTCTCATCTGACAGCAACAATAAAAGCCTTTGACCTCTGTGTCTGAGCGAGGAGTGTCTTAGGGCGACGAAAAGTGTAGAAGAGCTGTTTTGTGAGAACATTCGTGCTAAAAAGAAGGCTGAGTAATCGCACTTTGCATCACAGGGTTCACACCAACGGATTTCTTCTTTGCTGCAGAATGAAAAGGGAGAGAGAAACAACCAAGACTGCAAAGAATGGACGAATGCGTTAAGATATTGATCCCTAATCTAAGATTATCTAGGATCTAGGATCTGATTCTGTCAGACGTCTGTTTCTCAGTCAAGGAGATCTTTATAAGGGCAGGCTGAGGCCTGAACACGGACCCTCCGCATACAACCTGCTCCACTTTAGTACAGTGGTCCCGTGTCAGTACTGCAGACTATTTTAAAGTAGCCAACTAACAGTGTGAAAGGTCTTTCCTATTTGACAAATTGTATGTTGAGTGATAACTGGCCAAACAAATCTACTGAATGAGGCTTGATTCAGACCTGCACCAGTATAAGCAGCATTCATTCATTCAACATTTCATTTCACTACCGGATTTACCAAAACAGTCAAAACGCTCGAGTTAAATGAGCACCTCTTCTGTGAGAGGTTAGACTAGTTACATGTGTGTGCGGTTCGAGCCGGTGAGCACCAACTTGGTTCTACTTTGCTTTTGTGAGTATGTGAGTGACGCGGTGAAACAAAGGGACCCGGCCTAAAGCACACAGTCCCACTTACTGTGGCATTCCTCTGTCCCTGTGATCTGTCCGGCTACACATCCCACACACAGCTGATCACAGAGATACACACACACGCACACACGCACACAGAGTGCCTCTGTTTGCTGTGTGTGTGTGTGGAGATAACAGGGCAAGAAAGCCCATTGTTGCAAAAACAAAGAACCTCAGCAGGGTTAATGGGTGCACTGCGAGAGGAGCCACCCCCTCCCCCCGAAGACATTCTCTTAATCCTCACTGCTGCATGTGATTAGCTTCGTGCTAGACATCAGTGTTAGGGGCTCTAATTGGTTTTAGGGTTCAAATAAAGAAAGGGACGAGGTGGGTTTGGGCAACGATTTCAACAGAATGACGTCTTCAAAAGCCTGAAAGTTGGATGCTGCTCGTACGGAGGGATCACACAGTTAATGGCTTGCTGTACGCTAGCTTGTGAAGGGGTCGGCTTTGAAGCCGCGCACAGGTAAATGCGAGATGATGATGTGGCCGGCTGAGCCGTGCCAACTCGAGCAAAGCGATGGGAACGGCTGTTTGCAATCTTCTCCCCAGATCTATTAGAACTGACAGAGGGCCGCAAACTGCTCATGGGCCGGTGTGGCCGAGGGCCTGGACAATCCCTAAAGCCGGCGACCTGCGCATCAGAAATATACTATCTACTTATTTTCCCTAGTAGCATTTGGCCGTGACTAAAGAAAAGCACGTTCGGCGAGCGCTCACCTTGTATGTTCTCGTTCCCTATGGTCCACGGTTCATCCGAGTCAAAGTGAGTGTCCCCGCCCATCCCCGGTCCGGGGAAGTAGGCGTGTGCCAAAAAGCCTCCCTCCCCGTCAAAGGGAGAGCTGTCTCCATGGAAACCCGACGCAAAGAAGATCATAATGTCGGGCTCTTTGCGGCGGCCGTATTTGATCTCCTGGTAGGGGATCTCGTCGAAGGTCAACGGGGTCACGCTCTGCCAGACTTTAAACGCCCGACGGATGGCTTCGTACGAGTTGTACTCCCCGATCTTGGGAGTGTAGTTCTGGATGCTGAGTGAACAAATGAGGGAAGAGAGGAAACATTTTGTGGATTCATGGACTACAAAGAAAATGGTAAACAGAAAAGCGTTACATTCAAATCCCCAACTAGAGAACCTTTGTACTGTAAACGTTACCACGAGTAACACTGGTTACCTGTAAGTGAGGTGGCTCTTGTTCCACTTGTGTCCCGTGAGGGCAAAGCGCTTCCTCCGCACGTTGGTTTTGATCTGGCCTCCGAATTTGTCTGGTACACCGCAGCGGGGTCTCCTCATGGCACTGGAGGGGGTCATAGGAAGTCAGCAGCAGGAAGCAGAGGAGACAAAGGGGAACATGAGGGGAAAACCTCCACTGCCTTTGTGATGTTCAATTTCGCAGCAAAGCTCACTGATCCGGTTCCTCTAAAGGAACTGTCCGGTCCAGCTTGCAATAATAAAATACTTGAGTATAAAACAAGGTCAACTGCAGTATGGGGTGCGTGGTGCACGATTTGTGGGTGTGTTTTAATCTGTGCTAACCTGATGGTTTCTGGGTCCATGAGTCCAGTGACCTCCAGGCTGTAGAAGCGCTGCATGTCGCTGATGGCGTTGGACAGGATCTGAGCCGATCGCATGGTGGACATCTGTCTGCTGGCCTGGGGCAGGTAACCGTACATCCGCAGCCATGACTGGAGACAGGAAGAGCAGGATGGAGGAATCTGCTACAGATACTCTGCACTACATTTCTTTACACTTGAGGGAACTCAAGCCGAAAGGATGGAAAGTGGCTATAACTCTTGTATGAGCATATGAGAACAATAGACTGGAGCAGCAGAGACGGAGCATCGCTGACCTTTCATCAGGTTGGCTTTGGTACTCAGACAGACATCCATCTCACTGCGAGGCCTATACGCTCTCACTGTGGACTGTGTGTGTGGGTGGAGGGGGGCGGGGGTAATGACAGACTTTAGGGAGAAAATGTGAAATCTAACCCAATCACAGATGACGCAAGGTCCAACCCACCTGTTATGTGGAAACCTAATATTACACACACACACACACACACAGGCCAAGCGCTTGCACATTGGGTAGTCTGAGACACTAGATAGGCGGACACATGGGCACGCTCCCCACGGGTGGTGGGGTCGGTGGGGGGTGGAAACAGAGCGGATGTCTGGGTGTGCACGTGGGCTCGTGCACGTCTGCGCGTGCACTTCTCAGGTTTACGCCCGTCTGTCACAACGCGGCCCAGCGTGATAAGCCGTGTTTGCTCATCCACTCCCTGAGTCCTCATTGGTCGTGCCTCTAGTACACCTGTTATACTCCATTATGAATACACAGAATGTGTTTCTCTGAATAGAGGATTCTGCTGTTTGTTCATAAGTATCAGAGAGGAAGCCGTGAAAACGGTAGTTTAATGTAGTGTTTATATCTACGGTATCTAACTGGCATATCTATTCACACAGCGAGGCAGAAGTACATACTTCAAAGAATGTGAAGCTGTGTAACTGTGTGTATCATATGATATGAATCAGCTCTCCTGCAGTTAGCATCCTACTGCCTTCCTGCCCCCCACCTAGTGCCCCCTCCCCCCCCCCCCCACCAGGGTTTATTATGTCCCCAGCAGCCAATGAAAACCGATAAGAGAATGTCTCCCTGCACCGTCTGCCCGGTTCTGTGATACCGAACCCTCCTCCGCCATCAGAGCTCAGTAACGCAGCATCAATCACTCTGTCGCCTGACGCCATCTCCTCCATCATCGCGATTGCTGGGATCAATTACAGCAGAAGATGACTACAGTCCACCATTAAATAAACGGCCTCTGCTGAGTGAGGACCTCTGAAGGTTATGGTTCTATATCAAAAGTTCAGCAGCAAAAAGTTGTTGGGCGCGTTCATTTGAAAACAGGGCTGACTGGAAGGAGGCCGGCCTCTTGACCTGAGAACCTGGTGTCTTCATGGCGTCTCTCCTGCGGCGCTGCCGAGCTGCCGGTGGCACACAGAGTGGTTATCTTCCTAAAGATACATGCTGAGCTCTCTGGGTCTGCTGATGACATTTTCAGTTATTGATGCATGTATATGAATATACACTCTGTAATACACGTGTTATGTCATCCTGTACCGGGCTTATCTCATACACACAAATACTTCTTTCTTCCCTTTAACTGCTGCTGGTCAATGCATATTGGGTCACAGTACAACACTAAAGCTTTTTAGTTCTGTCTGTTGTGCATTTTCTCTAGTTACAATTGTGTTGTATCTGAATAGAGATTTCAGTATCTTTCCATTGAGGTGCACTTTCACCTTTTATTGTATCTGTACGCCGCCTGTTTCTTCTTCCTAATTTAGAGTCATCTCACATTATGTTCTTAACACCTCTATTATTTCCTTCCGCAGACATGCAGCTTAAAATAAGGAACTTCCACACATCTGTGTGTCCCTGCCGTGTCCGTCTCTGTGCCTGTGAGTGGGTGTGTGTGGGAGCAGGAAGAGCTGGACCCGACCCTGACCCACCTCGGCCTTTACGATAAGGAACCTTCAGCAAATACACACACTGTCCAATGCAAACATGCGCTTCCTAACACTCCCTCCCCCAACACACACGCACACATCTGAAAATAACTTGTTTTCATTTGCGAGACAATCGTTGAGACCCCTCGACAGCATCAGCGTCGTGTTTGATCTGACTCCAGGTCCGTTGATGTCGGTCTGTGGGAAGACACAGGAGTCCCATCTTGTCTCTGCTCACCAGCACCGGGTGACACCAGGTTGCAGCCGGGTGACACGCTGCGGAGTGGAGGACGCGCCCCCCCCCCCCCCCCTCCTAATCAGCAAAGCAGGCTGACCGCCCCTCGTCAGCCGGGTTGAATACAAAACAAGTCTCAGACAACAGCAGGAACGGGGGGGGGGGGGCCTCTGTTAAAACTTTCACAGAGGTCTTTAGGTTAACCCCCCAAAACCCAACCCGCCAATTTAAAGGGGGTAGAAAACCCTTTCCCCCATGGGTTGGTTGATTGTGTTAGTTTTCCGGCCAAATTGTAACCCAAATTTTTAAAAAGGGTTTAATACGGGGGCTGGTTTTGTTGCCCCCCCCCCCCCCCCCCGCCCTCCCCCCTCAAAGTGCGACCAGAGAGGATGAATAAGTGAAAGGAGCAGGGAGGAAGACAAAAGACCAAAAGACGGGGACAAACAGGAGGGAGGGAAACAAATGTGTCCAGTGCGAAGGCTTGGTGGAGGAGCTGCAATGCGAAGAGACAGAGATGACGTGCTGCACCAACACACAGTTCGGGTCCTCGACTCGTCCTTTTCAGTCTCTTCGGACACAAGGCTCCATTGTATTTGCCGGGATGCCTCGGAGTCCCGGGGCACCAGCATGCCTGTGCACAGCCTGGGTGTGTGTGTCCCAGTTAGAGAACAGCTGTCACATTCAGCCATCACATGCCACACAGCTGAGACCGACCGCCGCCGCCCCCCATCAGCTTCCTCCCGCCATCTTTACCTGACATTATGTCTGTTTCCTTTCTTTGATCAAACTCTCTCTCTCTTCTTATCCAGGCAGAGTGGGGGGAGAGGTCCCGGCAGAAACCCTTAACGCATCATAGAACTTCACCAGTGGGCACCGGTGGGCACAAATCAGCCACTAAGACCATGTAGTGACTTTATAAAAGCCGGGTGTCCCCGATCATAAAGACCAGAGCGTCTACAGGAACACTTCCTGTCGCTGCCGCACATTCAAAGGCTTTGAACCTGTCGGATGGAAAGCCACAGGTGACAGGTGCCTAATTTCCCACAAGGCAACCCAACAACAAGAGGTCTGGAGTGATACATCGACTGCGAATATAAACAGCTGTGTTCCGTGTACATTAAGGGTTTTAAGGGAGAAGTGTGTGACGCCCTCTTCGTGTTGTCCGTGCTTTGTGACTATGTTGGTTATTACCTACAGCTACCCAGTAAAATAAATGCCCGGAGTAGGGGTCCTGTAATTGGCTTGATTGTCATGCAAGAGTAGTCTTTCTTCTCTAAGGAGTGATCAACTTTCCCTCAGATAAAAAAAGAAACTGGTGGACTGTCAGTCTATTAACTGTGAAAAACAAAATATTTTAAAAAAGCATCAGCATTTGTATGCATTTCGATGGCATTTCTAGCGAGAAGTATACGTTATATTTTCATAATCTTCTATCAGAGAATGTAGACCTTCCGTTTATTAGTTTCTAGTGACGTAGTTGCAAGGCGATGTAAAGGAATGGGCCAAATAAAACGTAGTATTGTCACGTAGTTATTACACGTTTTGCTGTGAGATGGGGTTGGTCCAGGATGCTACAGGATGTAACGAGCGCTCCAAATGGTAAATAGGCCACGTGGGTAATGCTACTAATTTCAGCCCACACACACACACACACACACACACACACACACACACACACACACATACATATTTAGCAACAAGTACTTTAGGAATTACTCATAAGTTACTGCATTGTGTAAATCTCTTGTCTCAGTAAGACACATTAGCAAAGACCTACACACACACACAAAGACACACGCACCCACAACCCCGATAGACCCCCCCACCTACCCGCCGCCCCCCGGTCACCAGAAAGCTCAAAAGCAAGCTCAGCTCTATTGACCGGGTGGTCTCTGTCCGTCTGTCTGTCTGTCTGTCTGTATCGGTCTGTTTGTCTGTCTGTCTGTCTGTCTGTCTGTGTATCTCTATATGCCTGTCTGTCTCTATGTGTCTGCCTGTCCGTCTTTCTATCCGTCTGTGCTGAAGCTCCACCTCAAATCACCTCGCAGGCACAAAGTCAGCTCTCATCTCTCTCAAAACACACAAGTGTGCCGGATGGGTGCTGGGCTGCTCCAACTTGCTACTTTGGCCTCTGATGGCACACCTAAAACTGTGTGCCGGCATCCCTAATAGTCAATAGATCACAGGAAAATATATTTTACATCATTTTGAACAGGCCGCACTGTGTGTGTTCTCCCATTGACCAAGAAAATCAAGGAGAAATCTTTATTCCAGCACACTCATATAAAAATGGAGGATTGATGTGATGGGGTGTACAGAAGAAAAAAGATTATTGTCATTATAATAGTGTCTTTATAACCCGGATGTTGTGCACTAGCTGGTCTTACGTCCATTCAGAACATCCACTCCTAAGTGTCCTGAGCGGTTACACAGGTAACGTTGGACGCGAGCGCTCCCGCGGGGTATTTACCTCTGAGCTGAAGGGGGCGTCGTCCTCCGCTCCGCGCGTCACGAGCGCACACAGCCACAGCGCGAGGAAAGTCCGTTTCCACAGCAACCAGACGCAGCTGCTCCGCGAGGCGGGAGCCATGGTCCGCGCGCGCGGAGGGAATCCGTCGCGGGTCGACCGGGGTCCGCAAGAAGTCCTCGACGAGTTTTACTCGCGGTGTAGGTAGTTTGGTGCCGTAGAAGCCCTGATGGTACTACAAAATCCCGTAAAGTGCTCCGTGCTGAGAGCGCCGCGATAAGTCTTCATCAGTTTCCTGGGGAAAAGCTCCATGCCAGTTCCACCGCCAGAGCCGGTTCACTCATGTGCGAGTCTAATGTAGCGAGTCGCCCACTAGCTAGTGGGTCATTTACCAACAACACCAAACTAAGAGACGCAGCCTGTTCATGTGCAGTCGAAGATGCTAAACGTCAGCCTAAGAACTATGACAAAATGATGAGCCCAAAGTTAAAGCTTCGCGCAGTGTCGTTGCTGCGGGCGCACACACCTCTCTGGTAAAAAATAGATATGTATACAAACGTTGTATATTTCAGGTGTTTTCCGTTTCTCCGCGGGAAGCCGATACTTAGCTCTAGTTGCCACCAGTCATGTCCCGGTGCAGTGGCTCCGTGTGAGTGCGTTGCCTCCCCACCGAAGCAGGGCGAACTGCGGCTCAGCTGCTCGCGGTGTTTCAGCACCCTTTATCGTCGTCAAGTGTGTGGGCATGGCAACGATGGCTTCCTGTCAGGACTTTCACAATAAGAGGCCAAGCAGCCGGACTCCTTTCTGGGTGAAAGGAAACTAAATACAGATTTTTTTTTCTACTATGAATGTGAGATTTTACCTTCCCAAAATATGATCATATCACATTTATATCGCATAAATATTACAGTGTAGAACTTTGCAAGGTCTAAGAGAGGTTGGGGGGGGGGACAGATCTATTAGCTAAATTAATAGTTAAAAGTAGTAGTTAATAAGTTTCTTCGCAGGTGTATTTAAGTTTTGCTCTTGTTCTGAAGGCAAATCAATTCCTGCGCTGTGTCGTTTTCCGGGGTCGGACTTGATTGAGTGACCAACTACAATGTGCTATCAACCGGGCGGATGGAGGCGGAAGCAGGCAGGAAGCAGAGAAAGAGCCCGAGGCGGACGTCAGCCAACATGACCCCTCTCACCCCCCCTTACGCGGAGCACACACACACACACACACACACACACACACTCTTAATATCACAGGAAGTAGGCTACTGATAATGATATGAGCTTTAAAACCACAGCAAGGGGCAGTAAGTTTCCTTCACTTTATATTGACATAATTCAGTGCCCTTTACGTTTTTTGCATCCATGTTGCTTTGAAATTCTAATAGAGAATGGGAGCCATACTTTGGTAATAATGACTGATAATATGTTGGTAAGAAGAGCCCGTCATCGCTGCAGGGGGGCTAACAGGACAGCAGAGAGCGATCCCAGTTCTTTGTTCTTTGAGCCCTCTCCCCGAGACTGTGGAGAGACGTGATCCCTATCAAGGGATCCGATCTGGGGCTAAAAGGAAGTAACTCTTTTGCAAATGGGCAAGTTAATGGCTTCTCAAATCACATAATTGTGTCCCCGCTTAATCTTATTCACCAGGAGTCAAAAGGGCAAGAGAGAGGGGGTAACACGCGGTGGCAGCTGGTCGATAAGGGCAATGGAGCCCAAAAAGAGAAAAAGAAGAGATAACATTAAACTATAAATAATATGGAATGTACCCAGTTATATTTGTAAAATATGATGTAAATAAGCTTTTCCTGCCCGACACTGCCTGTCATTTATATATACTGTATATACTCGGAAAGTATTCACAGGGCTTCACTTTTTCACATTTAGGTTAAAGCCTCCAAAATGGATTAACTTACTTTTTTTCCTCCAAATTTGACACACAATACCTGATATATATAGAAGTGTTATTTCCACCTTTTTTCATGTGTGAATGATAATAAATATTTAACTGCAAAGTAGAAATGCGTTTTTGATAACTTAATTGTTTTGCATTAAATCATGATGTTTGCCTTTACTGATTCGATTGTCCGACTGAGAACATACTTCACCAGCCGTCACTGCTAATACACGAAGGGTCGACACAATCCTAAGACATTGGGAAACCAGGAGATATGTTTGGAAGTCATTATTTTAGGATAGTAAACTGTTTGTGCACTGACTGTTGTTTGAGGCAGGGGGTCTATACACAGTCTCCCTAACACACACCGAGGTCTCCACTAAGCCCCCTTAAACTATTCTCAGTATTCCAGATTAGGTTCATGTGGTGTATCATAGTGTTTCTCAGCAAGTGTTTTAAAAGTTTGCATACAAATAAAAATATGACAATTTTAAAGCAATGGAGGCAACAAAGCAGTGGATCAGCATCGACTGACACATAAATGGTGTGTTTTAATCACCAGTGAGTCACGGAGATCAGCACCTGCATGCGTGTGAATCATACAGCTTCATTGGTCTGTATCCAGGTGAGCAGAGTGTGATGCGTTTGTAGCAGGTGGGATTGAACCACTCGGCACTTTCCCAGACCACACTGATCTCAAGTGTCTTGGCATCACCCAAGCAAACATGTGGAAATCCCCATTCTGATTGGCGGCGATTGTACCTTGGTGGGTAAACACGTATATTCATCTCCCAATACTCGTAACATTATATCCTAAAACGACAGCAACCAGTAGCATTTCAGTAAGTATCAGTATTGTATCTATTGCATTATGTAATAATGTTAGATTTATGCTATGTTCAGTAGGCAATATTTTCCTAAACTACTTTAAATGGATTCAGTAATGCAGCATAATAAACATGCATTTATTCACGCTACACACGTTATATCTGACAGTCGAACTTGTTTCTTGCCATAATGTCTCCTCCACATCTCACTTTATGTTCTCCTCATGTCCTCTCTTGTCCTCCTGTCAATGTCAACTGTTCGTTTTGTGATTCCTCTGGTGAGCTTCTGCTTTATGTTTTATGCTCCATTGAACGTCACATAAGACAGATACTAAATGGGAGTTAGAACATGACGAACCGATTCAGGTTTTTATCTGATATGCAAACGTTTTGTTACCAGAAAATATTTTTTCCATGTACAGCCCACATGTTTTTTGATTCATAACACACACAAATGAGAGCATATTAGGCAACTTTCCATGCCGGTGTAACTTGTTTCTTTACGTGCTACCCCCCTCTGCTGGTGGGAGTACTGACATGCAGCCATAAACCAAGTGGAGTCAGTGCATATTAGTTCTTCTCAGTTGCTTTGGTACATTTCTCGAATCATCCTCGAGATTTGCAAAACTTAGTCGTGTTGTCATCATAACAGTGTACTGTTCTAAAATATGGCTAAAGTTTTGATGACATTTATTGTAAATTGTAAAGTTACACCTTAGTGTATGTGGGAGATTGATCGCAAGAGACTGACTACTGTAATTTGTTGACAGACATGTCTTTGCAATACAGAAAGGAAAAGACAGCACTGAATAGCACAAAGACGCCAAAATTAAAGTAAAAATGTGAACATTGGACAATCTCCTTAGGGAAAGCTGTCCATGCAGTGCTGAAGGAGTTACTTTGCAGTCTTCCTACACGTTCCTCCGTTCGTTCATGTCGATTGGGCCAAAGATTCACATCCACCTACAACAAATATCTTCTTTAAATTTGAGTTTGAGACCCCTGCTGTAGAGAGTGTAAAAAGGTGGTAAGACGCTCTGTGTTGTATGGCCCAAAACGTAATGTGGCTTAACATGACCTGGGGCTTTTCTGCCTCTTCTTCTCCCTTGAGAGCAATTTACCAACTTAGGACAGATTTAGAAAACAAGTCTAATTAAAATGTATTGCAAAATAGTACATTTTGATGACATGTGCAATTGATTATGTAGCAAACAGCAGAGAATTGTATATAATCATTTGTACGGATGTACCAAAGCATTTGCAACTCGTTGAAAACGATGACAAACTGCTTTTTGGATGTGCGTAAGTGACACAATGATGTGAAGATTTTACAGGTAGTTTTGAGAATTTCAATTCTAATCTGAGAAATGTAACAAAGCAACTGAGAAAAACTGTAACTAACAGCTGAGGTCACGATGAACCAGCTTCTAAAGAATATGTGTAGGGAAGTGAGTGGCGTGTTCAATGCCCATGGCGGGGGAAGCGGGTGAAACAGGAGGTATTTTTACCTTTCAGAGTAATGCTGCTTCCTCTTTTGGTTCGTTTTGTCATTTGCATATTCACTTCCCATGAAGCTCTGTGACTTCAGCCGATCTCATATCAGCTGTACTCTGTGTGTTCAGGCCAAAATTATTTGTACACAGACTCGGCAGGATAACATAGGTAAGCTCTATTTGCATTTACTTTTGGTCGCTACCATATAACTTCTTATCTAAATTAAGGCTGAGGTAATATCTGTCAGTTACCGAGGCAACTGCGTAGCAATGACTGTCAATATACTTGTTGCATTAAGATCAATGAATGTGGTGAAAGATCATGTTTGTACTTCCCTCTGCGTCAATGTGAAAAGGTCCTAGGACATGAATATTTTTATAACATACATTTATGACGTATTTCTGTTTTTTTTTCCCTTAATAAATCCTCTTCAATTCACAGGATGGAGCCCAGGCTCCTTTATTGGCTGATCCTGCTGTCCAGTTGTTCATATATAGATCAAACAAGTCAATGTGATGATTGGGATAGAAAATCAAATGAATTGAATGTTCCGACATGTTCATTACATCAATGTAAACAAAACAAAGGTGAGCTACTTGAATAAGTTTTTTACTAAAAATACAATTTGGATATTTTTTAAATATGAATAAATCATTTGTTTACCTTACTGCAGTTTGGGAGTCCAGAAACTGTATGAATGAAACAAATCACCGTTTGAAAAATGGCAGCGACCCTATCGAGTAATCACTTTAATTCTTTAAAATGGATTTTGTTGTTTTTGAGAGCATCTGTGTTTGTTTTAGTATTCTACTCGATATCTAAGAAGCAGGCAACCATTAATCATTTGCAAAGAGTTTGGGTTAAGGCATGCAGTGGCTCAGAAGTAATTCACTGTCCTTTTCCACAAGAGCCATGAAGAACCTAGAACAGGTTCTGGAGGAAACAGAGGTGAACGATACTACAGTTGTGTGCGAGAGCCGATTTGTGACCCTCCTGCACAAACCTGACGGCCTCTACAAAGGCCTGGATATTTATGCAAGTGATGAAGAGGTAAGCAAGTCGCATGGCCCTTGAACCATCTCAGCTACTATTTGAGGCCATCACGCTTTGTACCACGTGACATTTTGGTTCCCAGATGAGAAACTCTGCTCATCCCCTGAAGGTTTTCTCTAGCGCCACCATCCAGTTGAAGTTTTGGGCTTCTTGTGAAAAAGGCCGGCAGCAACCTGTGAGCAGTGGAAAGAATGCTGAAGGGGCTTAAACCCCTATTTGTTTTGATAGCCAGCCATGGAAAATATCTCATTAATTTATTCCCTCATGTATTCCCCCTATTGCAAACCTAACCTCTCAATCTCTAGTTTAACGTCTTCTTCAGTACAGAAACCAGACGACGGTCCGTGAAATAGATCATAAAGCAGGTGTGCATTAGAGTACCTTGGTCGCTTTCACAATGTTTCAAATGTATTCTTTTCTCCACCATCTCATCTCACTTCTGGTTGCAACAAAAAATAAGGCGGCAAAGGCCCAAAAACAAGGTGGTAGAAGGGGTGGTTGTGAGTTCCTTGTGCAATGTGTACCATAGTGAGAGAGTTTCATTGTTGTGTTACAAGTACCAACATGGAGGGTTTCCCTGTTTTTATTTCTCTGATACAGGCAAAAGCCAACAAAGCGTTCAGCAACAGCAGAGTGAGGGTCCAACTGCCAAGAGAGTTGGATGTTGGATCAAACAACACCATTGTGTTCTGCATGTTGACCTGGCCTGAAGCAAACGTGGTCAGAGACTAAACTTTCTCTCTATGACATTTTGGTGGAGGGATCTGAGGATGAATTTATTTATCATCTTATTTACTTGCATTCCGTGCAGCATTAACTTTGATCATGGTTTTTATGTAGACATGAGTATTAAACCGTAGCATCGACTACAACAATAAAAAAAATGGCAATGCTGCTTCAAAAAATTAAAAAAATTAAACCTTGCCGTTTTCGTGTGTGGCTAAAGTAAAAAATGGACGCCATGGCACTATCGGGAATATGTTTAGTTGCCATTAAGAGCTTCTCTTCCGCAGGCTGCGTGATTCAGGAAGTAGTGCCACAAGGTCGGGTGAACAGTTGACAAAGGAAAGGAACTTGCAAAACTTCCTTTATTGCCGCCATGTGTTCAAATTTGAAATAAAAAGAAGTGAATATATCAGCGGCCGAGGTTTTTCTAAAACTAAAAGTGTGTTGCAAACAACGGCACCTAGGTAAAAGCTAAGAGCCCTAGGAACTCAAAATAATTAAAAACAAGGTCCGTTTGTTTGGGGGAGAGCAGTGAAACAATGACCCGAGAGGAGACAGGGACGGAAATACTAATAAAAGAATATTTATTTTAATACAATGATTAAACTATATAAAAGGAAGCTAAAATAGTCCGTCCAAACTCATCACCACAGTAGAGCGAAGTCCTGCGCGTCCTAATTTCCACCGGTTCAAACGTCTCTGACTGCCAGCTGCCCTCTGCTGGTGTGTCTGCTTCTGCTGGTGGTGGTGGTGTTGGTGGTGTGTCTGCTTCTGCTGGTGGTGTTGGTGGTGTGTCTGCTTCTGCTGGTGGTGGTGGTGGTGGTGGTGGTGTGTCTGCTTCTGCGGCTGCTTCTTACATCCGCTCCACACTGCGGCAACTCATTTAGCTGCAGGAGGATGAACTGAGCCAAGTTAGGTGAGATGAATCAAGCACTATAATAATATTATAATATCATAAATATTGCTGTATATCAATAATTCAATTTGATCAAATAGTGCTAAGCTAGGCTTCAGGCAACATTTGCTCAAGACGGTTTTTAATTGCTTTGAGCCAAATTACGAGTTGCTATTAAATATAATATATTATATAATATATAAAAAACAAGTAATGACATAAAGGTGTGTTCAGGTAAAAAAAAAAGCTCTGACAGCTTTTACAGAAAAGCAACGTAAGACAGGAAGAGGTGAGGTGGACGTACAATCCAAGAGGAAATTTCTCTTGACTATCGCTTTCCGCAGTAGCATGCAAATCATACAAAACAAAGCAGTGAGAGGACCAAAGTGTGGCAGTGACACATTTGAGTTGTGTCGCATAAACTAACTGCCTGACTGTATTTTCCCCATGTAGACCGAACTGGGAGCTGAAGGCGTGTTATATGAGAGCAGACTGGTTGGCCTGAGCGTGAGGGGCAAGAACGTTTCAGGACTGCTGGATCCTGTCACCATCACAATGCATCTTTCTGCAAATGTAACGACAACTTCCTTCCATTCGTGTCTTTTGTCCAGCAAAGGTAACAGGTACAAACATACAGTCAATGTAAACCCAAATGTGAACACGGTATATTGTTGTGTTCCAGGAGACCCAAACGCCCAGATGTGTGTTCCTGAACTTTTCATCAAAGAGTGAGTATGAATTTGAGTTTGTATTATTTTTGACCGGTTTGGTGAGTCGATGTTCTCCATGCGTCTGAACTAATAATAATTGCACAATTGACGTGTTGTTGTTTTACCACCAGGAATAAGCAGCGATGGCTGCTTGACCCAGTGGGCGGGTGGTCCGGGTAACCTCACCTGCTGCTGCGATCACCTCACGTACTTTGGCGTGCTACTGGTAGGCTTGTTCCCAATATAAGGTAGACTTGCAGAGAAACAGTCCCAACTGAGGTAATTGGGACCGCGTAGTGACAGACAGTCACATACAGCGTATGGTGGCCGGCATTTTAGCACGGCCTGTTTGACTGCATGGCCGCCACGACTTGCCCAACATTTCCCTTAAAGGTCTAATATACTCAAATAAAGTTAAGGATGTCTTGTGTCTTCTATCCTCAGGTGTCTTCTTCTACCGTCTCCCATCAGGACCAGGAGATTCTGACCTACATCACTACGATTGGCTGTAGTCTGTCTCTTGTTGCACTGGTCATCACCGTTGTGCTCTTTGTTACAAATAGGTCATTTATTCTTCCAAGATTTACCTTCCATCTATCCTCCCACATATTTTTAGAACAGCAGCCTCCTTTTGTCCTTGCTCCCTTCACTTGCTCTCTTCGTCAGGCCTCTCTGTGTTGACTGGTTTGTTTCCCTTCCTCTTTCTGTTTAGATATAAACCGGTACCGGTCCGCGGCCCGGTAGTTGGGGATCCCTGCCATAAGTGATTTAGCTGACAATGGATTGATGCTCCTCTTTCTTATAGGAAAGTCAGGGCAGATGTCTCCATGAAGGTCCACATCAACCTGGTAATTGCCCTGATCCTCCTCAACCTGCACTTCCTCCCCAGCCAGTGGGTGGCAGCATGGTCCTCCACTGGGCTTTGCCTCTACGCGGCCCTCTCTCTTCACTACTCCCTGCTGGCTACCTTCAGCTGGATGGCTCTGGAGGGGTTCCACCTCTACCTTCTCCTCGTCCGAGTCTTCAACATCTACATCAGGAGATACCTGCTTAAACTCAGCTTGGTGGGATGGGGTGAGGGGCGTCACAGTCTACCATCTCTTCAGTGGTGTTGGAAGCAGTACTTAGATCTGATACTACGTAGAAGTAGCAATACAACAGTGCAGACACATTTGTATCCAACACTTGGATACAAATAAAGGACCAATAACATCTAAATGTATTTAAAGCTTTCCAAAAAAATCATTCAGAATTTATTTCTGCTTGTCCTCCATTTTTATATTTAAGAAGTTAAAGATAAACGATTGACAGTATCCTCGTATACCTGCATTCATCGTTGTCTCAGGGGTCCCTGCGCTCATCGTGTCCCTCGTGGTCACCATCGACAAAGGCTGGTATGGACGCGTTGCTCTGGACAACAGCACCTCTGAAATGTAAGGGAGGAGAAGGAGATACTGATGATGTTTATTAGGTGTTTTGCATGTCCATTGGCGTGTATTTGAGTGTATTTAGCAAATGAAGCACAAACAACATTTACAGTAACGACCTTTAGTACAAAAATGGAAGTGATCTATGGTCTCAAGCTGGTGCTGAATCCCTATATGCTATATGCTATAGGGTACCTTTTACATAGATATTTTGTAACCTTAAATGTATTCATTAAATCCTCATCCTTACTCCCTGTCTCTTTGAAGATGCTACATAGTCAACCCCACGGTGAAGATGGTGACTTCGTTAGGAGTGTTCGGCCTGGTGTTTGTCTTCAACATGATCATGTTGGTGGTGACAGTGAGACGCATATTGGGCCTCTGCCAGAGCAAAGAGGTTCGAGTCAATCTGCACTCTCTGCATTCTGCTATTCTATATAAAAGACAGCGTATGGTGACGTATGTTGGTGATCCACAGAGCTCCACAGTGTAGACAGATGCTGAATGTTTGTGTTTGTTTACAGTTTGGGCAGCGCGAGCGTCACAAAGCCAAGCGAGGCGTGTGCACCCTGCTGGGAGTCACCACTCTGCTCGGCATCACCTGGGGCCTGGTCTTCTTCTCGTTTGGGTACCTGACCACTCCGGGCCTCTACCTCTTCTGCATCCTGAACCCGCTGCAAGGTCTGCACAAGCTGCCCTCTCCTGTTCGGCTGTAAACCTTTTCGCATTCATATATCAGTGACACTTGTTGCATCTGCAGAGTTCGTCCTCTGGATTCAACACAACAACAGTATAGAAAGCCAAACATTGTAGTCTTCATATGAATACATATATGTTACAATGTAAGGAACTCTTGTGTAACCTTCAAAAACCTGATCATAACGATATTAGATTCATCCATTTTCAGAATTTTTGCATTTTAAATGCCTGTTTTGTGGGCAAAATGCTGAAAAATCTATCAATCACGAGCAACAGCATAAATCTTGATGCATTTCATGCATTTTTGTGCAAAAGGTGTCAAATGTCCTGTTGTAAAACTATTCTAAAATATTATATTATTGTTTTACATTGATTTAAATAATTTAATCAACAAGTTGCAGTAGCCACAAAATATGTCAATGATTAGAAAAGCCATTCAGTTATCATTTGTCTAGATCACTTGTCTGTCATCTAGATCTTGATATGTGCAGGAAGCCTTGCAGAGTAATAGTGTGTCACCCACAGTGCAATGGGTTGCCACGGCAACGCCTCTGCCATTAAGGCACTAATACAAAACACAGTGAGGGAAAGAAGTTTTTTAAAAGGCCCAAATGTGTGTTAGTGTCAATGTAAACACAGACTAGTCCGGTGAATGGATGGCTCGGGTCAAGGGTCAAAGTCTGCATTTTCAACATTGCATGAATTGTATTTGTCATGCAAAAGAGGAGTATTGTAAATGTCAGTAACATTAGATAACAAACAGGGCGCGATCGTGTTTGATGTGCAGTGTCTATTTTGTTTAATGACAAACACAGTATGGATTGTTTGTCAGTACCATTTGCATGATTTGCATGACCCCGCAATCTCTAACTCTTTTTCGGTCGCCCCTCTGGTTTAGGGTTCTTCATCTTCCTGTGGTTTGTGCTGTCTTTGAGAAAGAGCGGAAACTCAGCCACTACCATAAGTAGTGTGACACATAACACCAACAGCTGAGCGGCAGCCCAACATACCGACGCGCTGTGTCTCTTCGTGTACAAACGCTGTGAAGTTTAGCCGTCATCATTACTGCTTTATGTCAAGATGTTCAACAATGCAGCACAGAAGCATGCGTGCTGGTCAGAGCACACTCGCAGCAGGTGACCAATATCAAATGTGTATATTTTAAGAATCTCACAGTGATACTTTGTTTGTTTTGTCACATCCTGCTGTTAATAAAACATTGTAACTGAATAATTAACATAAAACCGTAGGTTCTTTATTTGGATGCTGGTCATCACCAGCGTTAAAGGTTAACTTTTCTTTACTTAGGCTTTCACCGGTTATGAGAAGCAGTCAGTACTTGCTCGGAAACAACAACAGCAACAACAACAACATGTACTGCTGTGGGCGGGCTGAGCAGCAAAATGCATTTTAAGCACCTAACACAAAACAATATCTGTGTATTTAGAGTAGTTTCTCTGCTTCACTTCAGATGACGTGAGATGGTTGGTTTCCAATGAGGAACTGGAACTGTCTGTACAAAAACGTCATTTCACCACTAAGAACACGAGTTGCCGGTCTAACTTTGACGCCGATGTGTTAGTTTCATTCAAATCCAGCATAGATAGGTTACACATTTTTACTTTTTCTCATTTTACAAGCTCTTCACCATCTCACTCCTTTCAGTGAATGTTTCGAGAGAAAAAAGAGCACTTCAGAATCACATTCATTTAATGTGACTCCGGGTAACATGTGTTCTCAATGTACATACGTAGTGCATTTACAGTACATACAATAAAAAATAATATATTTGACAACTACACAAAATCAATATCGTTATTCATTCAAAAGTACATACGTACATGAATATCCAAAAACGAGTTAGTGTGCAGATCCCAGAGTGTCTGAAAGGGAAAAGAGAGGAAGCATCAAGGAGGCACACGTCCACTTCATCCGGATTGGATCCGGCTCTGATCTGCCATTTACTGAGGTGCTGTGAGAGAGACATAGATTCTGAATGTTGCATATTTGCACACTAAACGTGGTCGATGTCAGTGTGTTTGTACCCCTTTATTAAATGATGAAAGGCTGACATATCAGCTCACCTGCATCTTTTAAAGTCTTCAGTGGTTTTCCAAACCGTAAGGTCGTCTCTGTTGACAGGCCTGTTTTACTGCAGCAGTGGAATACAGTCTGTGACATCACTTCTCAACACACACAGGAAACAAACACACCGGCAGTAAAGTTATTGCACTGATAAAAACATACATTTGCATGAATGCAGGCAGGACACAAGCAGTTTTGTGCTTTAACCACCCAGCGTTTCCTCCTGTTCCCCCTGGGAGTCAGAGCAGGACTAGTGGAGGACCACGCAGTGAGGCTGTGAGTATTTGTCGGAATAGAAGAGTCATTTGGGGGGATTTATTCCAGACATACAGGTTGGTAATGGACTAAAATGCTTCTTTAGGTCTGTAGACAGGTGTTCTAGAATTTTAATTTAATTTTAGATTCTTTGTGTACTTTGTTGTAGTTAGCAGTGACTCAATAGGAGCGATGACGCTTGTTGCCGTAATGATTTGAATTATATTAAAGTTAAAACCAAGTGCCGTGTGTGATAAAGGGATGATCGGCTTGTACGCGTTTACTACTGTTACTTTACAACTAGTTTATGTTTGTCTGCTACCATTTCAAAATAAAATGTAATGTAAAATAGGACTTAAATTAAGTTGTAAAAAAATGTCAATGTTTATTAACTGTAGTATATTAATGTTATGTAGGGGAGAGCGGGGCATGTTGTCTCACAGGTAAGTTGTCACACTCTTCAGAACTCCAACACTAGTGCTATCTCAAAAATCAAATAGCCAATTTGTGTAACTTCTTCTTCTATAGTCAACTTCCTGTTCACATGTGGTCACGGTCACTCTGAGGTTAGCACAATTTTCTTGTTTTTCTGCTTAAAAGTAAAAAATGTGCACTTTACATTTTATGCAATACAACATTGTTAGATATGAATGTTAAAAATAATTATTTTGCACAAAATAGAGGAGACAGTAACAAGTCTTTTGATACCTTAGCTAAAGTCATATGTTAAGCTAACCTTGAGATGTAGCCAACATTTAACACACATGTCAAGTTGTCTCGTGTAACAACTTGCCCCTGTACAAATAAACACATCGAACATTCTCAAAAAAATGTGATATTTATGCTAATTTATTTGTAATTGCTATAATGTTTTTGAAGGAAGGATGTAAGGAAAGGCAGGAATTGAGGGAGTAAAGGCAGGAATCAAGGAAAGAAGGAAGAAAGAAGGAAGGAAGATGGTTCGAAATTATCAACGAACGACAGAGCATGGCAGTACACCACCTGACATAATGTTAAAGGCAGTCAGGCAGGTAAAGTTGCAGAACAAATCAATCAGTACAGCCCAACTCTGCCCTGCCTAGCAGGCCCAGTTATGCTTCTGCTATTACCAGCTCAATCCTACCCAGCACTGCTATTGCTGACAGCGTGCTACCTACTCCAGAGGACATCCGGCCATATCCAAAAGCTGGCCCCCGAAAACCAGACAGCAAAGGAAGAAAATGACGCAAATCAGCAATTCTTACTGACACGCCAGTGAAGCAGCAACTATAGAAAAGAATAAGGATCAATCTCTCAAAAAGCTGTTCCAAAAGAAAGGGAAGCAACGGGGGCAGTCAATATCTGGACCTACAAAGAAGAAGGCAGATAAAAATAGAAAAAGCATAGTCATCATCAGATGACGAAGAGTGCTTCTGCCTCGTCTGTGTTGAGCCATTTTCTAACAGTCGTCCAAAGGAGACCTGGGTGAAATGTGTTAAATGCAACAAATGGGCCCATGATGCTTGCAACTCCTGCCAGGCAATTTATGTGTGCCAGAATTGTGACTCTGAAGATGAGTCTGATTAGTCAGATATAGGGAATCTGTTTTGTTCAGAGGTTAAGTTAATCAAGTTATCTGCAGCAAAGTTTTGATTGAACAATGTGCATTATTTGGATTTAAATAATTGTTTTTCCAGATTCTCCAAGGACAATAGTTTATATTTCTAGTTCTGGTTTGAAATGAAATAAAATTATAAATAAAATAAAAAAATCTATATTCACAATTAAGTAGTTGTGCTCATATTTTTAGATAATCTATTGTGACAACATACCCGCCGATGGGGCAAGTTGTCTTAAGTGCACTCTCTCTATTCTACAGTATCCATCCATCCATCCATCTTCACACCACTTATCCTGCGCACAGGGTCGCGGGGGGGCTGGAGTCCATCCCAGCCAGCTTCGGGCGATAAACAGGGTACATCCTGGACTGGTCGCCAGCCAATCGCAGGGCTACACAGAGACATACAACCATTCACACTCACATTCACACTCACATTCACACACCTACAGGCAATTTAAAGTCCCCAATCAGCCTGATCCCCAGAGCATGTCTTTGGACTGTAAGGAGGAAGCCAGAGTCGAACCCAGGACCTTCTTGCTGTGAGGCGACAGTGCTAACCACCACGCCACCACAGTATACAACTCTTTAATCAGATAAGATATGAAAATGTTATGACTACAACATATGTGCCCAAGACTTCCTTGTTTCATTTGGCATGACTTTTATACCATTGTGTTCTATGGTTCTCAGTAAATGTTAGACAGTGTGAAAAGTGTGACAACATGCCTCGCTCTCCCCTAATATAAAGGTACCATTTATGAATGAGGGTCATACTAAAGGTTCATTGTGTGTTCGTTGTGTTTCTAAGCCTTCCATCAGACACATACTGAGACCAAGTACAATGGTGCCCTTGCTGCTGCTACTGCTGCTTCCTGAAGCGCCGGCTGAGGAAGGTGTGACATTTGACACACTTGAGTATTTGTAAACCCTTTGAGTGTTGAGTGGTTTCTAATGTCTCTCCTGTGTTCAGTTTGTTTTAACATTTCAGACAGTGAAATTACTTTCACCATGGCGAGTCTTGGGTTGACGCTCAGTGACCGTATTAACGGGCAGCCCGGGCAAGTGACGTGCTTGGCGTATAAGGAGACGTGCATCTTCATGTGCAACTCCAGCAACTCGTTTGAATTCAATGACTCGAGAACATGCACACATGCTAGTTGGTCACCTGACGGGGTCGCAATCACCATTGATCCCTGTAAGTACGCTGAATCTCAAGCAGACCCTTTGACTCAAAGAGGCCCTGTGCGTGATTCGTACCCCTCCCCGTCGGCCCGGCCTCCAACCAACCTGACCATATGTGTTCATATTAAGTCGGATTTCTCTCTCACTTGGCAGATTACAATTGCACCACCTATTCATGCAACAGCGACACCCTCCTGTGGCTAATTGACTTGCTGAGGAGGAACAACTCTTACCAGGAGAGCATGATGCAGCTCCTCTACTTTTGGGATTCGTGTCATCTGCTCTTTAGAAGTGACAATAAACTCAAGGGGTCCTACATAAGGTCAGTGTCCGACCCGAGGAGTCGCGTGCTGCTCTGCACACACATCTAGTTCAGGGTCGCTTTTTAGCCCCAGCTGTTGTGTTTGGTCCAGACTGAAATATTTCAACAGATCTTCATGGTTCCCAGAGGATGAACAGAGAAAAAAAAAACAATATTACCCTTCGGGCTTCCAGTCCTGTCACAAATAATTACAAATTGTAATGTAATGCTAAAGATCAGCTGACCAATCAATACACAGAATGTAATCTCCTGACCTCTTCCCAACCTTTCCTCAGAGATGCATCAGAAAGGTTGCAACCTCAATGACTTGATAAACCTCCGGTTTTGTACAAGCACCATGTGTGTGTGGTTAGCGTTGCACACGATACGTGTCTGGAACACACGTACATTTCTTCACACCAGAGAGGAGGAGATGACAAAGGCCACTGGTACGTGCAGCTGAAGAACTAATCTGTTTTGTTTGCGGTTATTTGTCCTTTCCGCAGTGCGGAGAGACAGATAATACATAACATCATGAGGAAGTCCAAGCTTGACCCCGGACGCAGCATGCACTACAGCCTGAGGAGCTACACTCTGCGTGTGGCCAACATCAGTGACGCTGACCTCAGCTCTGACAACCCCAGGATCCAGATAGAGGCGCCACAGGTACACGACGACTTGAGAGGGAGCGATGATGATGCCGATTGCATAACAGAGTTTATTAGTTTGCACCAAAGCACAAACGTATCTGCTTCTATTCCCCGGTCAGCTGCTGCCTCAGAACCAGTCGTGCATCCCCGACGTTTTCCTGCCTGTATCAGACCTGCACGGCATCCCTCAGGAGAAAAGAGTCGTTGGTTTGGTCAGCTACATGCAACACAGCCAGTTCCAAGTATATCCAGTCATCGTATTTGTTCCTGCCTTGTCAGTACATACTGTACATACTGTGTGTATAAATATCCACTTTCATAGGACTTGTCTGTTAGTTTGGACAGGAAGAGATCTCCTCAATGGTTCTCCGGATAGAGACTCTGGGTCCACGACCCTTTTGTGATCTGAAGACACCAATCAAGATGATTTTCCGAAACATTCCACCCGTGGAAAATGATGTGAGTGAGTCTACGCACGCATACTTCCCCTTTTTAGCATCGACCTGTTTCAACTGTTTGATTGGCCTAAGGATGCATCGTGCCTATGTAAAGATTTGACAGAAGCTATTTGGCTTGACTTGACTCGATTTTGATGACGGCACATTACAGGCCATGTTTTCAGCTTTGTATTTTCTTATTTTTACAGAATAACTCCTGGTTACAGTGTAACTATTTTGATGAAAAAGGTAGGTTGTATATGTGGCTCGTTGCAGGAGGGTAATCAGCAAAGCAATATAATAATTATTATTATGCTATATAATTTGGCATGTTCAATGAGTTGCACTAAATGTGAAAAGTGATAATAAGTGAACTATGGTATCCAGGTGGGCTTTGGAAAACAGATGGATGTATCACAAACGTCACCCAAACTGAAATTACTTGCGACTGTGACCACGCAACACCCTTTGCCATCCTGCTGGTGAGAAAACCCTCTTGTTTTGAGAATTTTGAATTCTTCGTCACGATACTTGAACCACTTCACCGACCTTTTAATCATTTAATTCCACATAAAAAAACAGACAGCGCTCATCTGTGATCGCTTTACTGAGTACTACTGCTTTATTCGTGTTAAAAACCCCTCTCTGACTTGTCCCCGGGCGTACAGTAAAGGTTATCCAACTAAATGGAGATCATGCTCAACATATTTTTGCTGCAGATGAGGGGCCCAATCTCAGAAGTCCACTGGCAAATCCTGTCCTCCATCAGTTACATCGGCTGCGGCCTGTCTGCGTTCTTCACAGCTCTGTCCCTGGTGATTCATGTGTTCAGCCGGTAGGTAATCGCGTATTCTTTGCACTTAGTTCTCAGCTCCAAAAGGACGCCAGCGACTCGTGCTCCTCCTATCTCTTCCCCAGAAACGACAGATTGGATGTCTCCATCTCCATCCACGTATCTCTGAGCGGGGCCTTGTTCCTGCTCAATGCCACCTTCCTGTTGACCGAGTGGGGGGCCACGGTGGATCTGGACTGGGTGTGTGTGTTTGTCGCGGCCTTCATGCACTACTCCCTGCTCTGCTGTTTCACCTGGATGGCCATAGAGGCCCTCCACCTCTACCTGCTGCTGATAAAGGTGTTCAACACCTACTTTAAGCACTACCTGGCCAAACTGTCTCTCGCCGGATGGGGTGAGTGCGGCCGAAGGAACTTGGCTTAGACATGTGAAGCCCAAAAACGTTTGCACAAAAAATCCATCGGGGCGTTGTGTCCTTGAACACAACTTCCACCTCGGCGCACGATTGACCAGGACATTACGCCGAGTGTGTGTGTGTCTGTGTGGTTCTCAGGGATCCCGGCTGTCATCGTGGCCGTCTCTTTGAGCGTGAAGGACTTCAAACAGTTTTATGGAGTCACACAAATGAGGGTGGCTGATACGAACCGAACCAACGCCATGTGAGTGAACACGGACGTCTACTGATGGAAAGAATCACCTCTAACTATAAAAATAATCTGAACCCTTTTTACGTTATTACACAATATTCAGTGCTCTCTCATTTGTGTCTCACATGTGACAATTAATCAGCATATGACAAACTTGTCCCAGAGGAGTCAAAGTGTATATTATAAACATCTCCTGTGAGACTGTGAGAGAGTGAGTGAGGACACTTTTATACTCGTGAACAAATATTACCTATAAATAGCATCAAAAACTGTTTCCATGGGGAAAGGAAGGAATGTAGCTTTAAACATTTAAGATCATGTTATTTCATTCATTCACCGTTATGTTTGTGGGTTCTTCCGCATGTCCCCCTGAATTGTCGGTGAAACTCTGACCCATCTGTACCACAGCTGCTGGATCACAGATGACTCCTTCTTCTACTCCTTGAACCTGGTGTATTTCACCCTCATATTCATCTTCAACACTGGCATTCTGATCGCAGTGGCCTCGAAGGTCTGCCACATGGAACGGGTGACCAGGGGCCGCTCGGGGCCCGCGGCAGGGGCCAAGGCAGCGACTCAGGGGAACCCTGTGAGGTTCGGTGACACCTGCAGGAGCGGCCTCACCGTGATGGGTATCACCTGCCTGATGGGGACCACCTGGGGTCTGGCCTTCCTGGGTGCAGGATACGTCAACTACCCCATCCTCTACCTCTTCTGCATCCTCAACTCCACACAAGGTCTGCGGACCACCCTGTTCCTCTCTGCTCAACTGTATTTGAACCTGTCTTCACCTTGACAGGTTTTTTCCTTGTCAGATAGATTCTCTTGGAGCTCCGCTCATGGTTTGAATGTGTGTCTTTGCGCAGGTTTCTTCATTTTCCTGTGGATCTGTCTGTCGGCCAAGAAGCAAAGGGATAGAGACATGGAGGAGAGACTGACGTCCTCTGCTGTGAAGACCTCATCAGTCAATTTCAATTAGACCGCTACAAGGCCTTGGCCCGACCGCAATCTCTCCCTCTCGCGCACTTACGCTTTATTGCACAATCCTGCAAAGTCCAGGAGGCTTCAGCTCTGTCCGACTGACTAATCACTGAGTGTTTCAGAGGTTCTCTCACCGACGTTTTGAACCTTTGATACCTTCGGCTGACTTTTCCTGAGTTACGCATAATTCCGCATAAAACAAAGAGGTTATCGGAGGAGACGTATGAAAATGTCACATTGTGATGAGGCATAAATGATAAAGCGCTTATGTAATCATGACATAGGAGGAACGGAAACTCCCACATGTAACCCTCCTGACGTGTTAGTTGTCAAGTTTTCCTGAACTTTGTGTTGTGTAACTTCTGTTTTCCTCACATAAACAGTAACACATGTTTTGGTCTGTGTGTGTTTGTTTAGCTTTTTTGATTTAGGTAAAGTTGTGTCCTTAACTAACGTACTGTCAAATATTCAACTTGTTTTTGTGAATGTAATCTAAATGGATCAGAATAAAGCAGCGTTCATGTGTTGCTAGTTGTGAGTGGTTTATAATCCTGGAAATCATCATGAATAGCTTGGGTTTTTCAGTTTTTCAGTTTTGCATTTCTTTATAAGCGGTATGTGCTGCAGCTTTGAAGAACGACATGTGGTTAAAGTCTTACTTCCGCTTCCTCAGCAGGTTACGAGTGTCAGTATTAGCTGACCATTTATTTTTATTTATTCTTTTATTTTACAGGGACAATGCACACCAATCAACAGTTGCGCTGTAAGACAGCCAGAGTTGGCCAAAGAGACTACTTTCCATCCGCTGTCCTCGGGCAAATCTTTCCGTCTAACACACTTCATTACTTCATAAGAAAACTGTAACATTTGGAAAGTTCCTCTTTGCTCCTTCCTCTAACCTTGGCGATTTATTATAAATACCGTTTCTCGCCACACTTTCAATGGTGGAGGTTTATCCCTCTCTTTCTGACTGTCAATACAGTGGCACCAATCCACAAATAGATGCAAAATATCTCCTAGGAAAGGCTTATCGGTCATGCATCACTTCTGGTACGAGTGAGTTAACCCCCCCCCAGTTCCGCCACAACCACGTGGGAAATGTAGATGTGAAACTCCCTGCCCATCAAGCAAAACACATAGAACCTTTTGGTGTGCAGAGTCACATCCTCTGTGTGCGAGGAGCAGCGAGACGCAATGTGGATTTTTCTTTTTCCCCTCGCGCTCGCGTGGCTGTCTACAACCCGAGCTTCCGGTGAGTTGCCAGAGGTTCTTTTGGTGCTGTGAGGTTATGTGGTGAATACTGTTTGATCTGTTGAAACAATATAAGAGTATGTGGTGATAAAAATGTCCCCATGGAATATCATTCATCTCTCTTTCAGAATACTGTGAGAATGTCTTGAACGTGTGTCAGGGAGGCGACATCTCATGGACCAAGTAACCCACAAGCTTTACCTAACACTACAAACAGCATGTGATTTAAACATTATAAGAAATCATCACAACATACCATAATGCGGATGGGATCACCAGCTTGTCAGCCTTTTCGGAAACCAAAAGCACATGACTTTTGCTTTAATACCACAGTGTTGTGAAATAGCTGTGAGCTGCAGTTACAGGAATGGACAAAAGACGATGTAGACAATGTGTTTCTACCTGACATCAATTGTCATTCAAATGTTTGTATCTGTTGGGGTCATTACTGTTTGAAATGTGATTTGGTAGGTGCTATGAGGACCGGATAGCAAGCTGTGTTGTAAAACGCCGCTCATCGAGCTTCATCTATCGGAGGGTGAACTGGACGTATGAGGTGAGGGCATATTTACAGTATGGACTCCCAGCTGTCTCACTTGGCTCTCAAACCATCCGAAGACAACCAATTAGAAATGTTTTTGCTCATTTGAATAATTATTAATTGAACAAAAGTCCTTTTTTGCTTTATGTTGTGGATTTCAGGAGGAACAGAGTCCAACTGCAGACCACAGGTTCCTAATCTCCTCCTCAGCCCTCCTCACAAGCAGAGGAGCCGTGTCTGAGAGCGAGGTGCTGCTGGTGGCCACGGTGATCCACAGCACTTATTTTAAGGTCAGGAGCTCTGAAGATCAAACATTCACGGCAGGCCTCGTTTTTTGGATATTTTGTAAGCTTTGCAAAATGACAAGTGGCTACAGTTGGGAAATTCAGTTCCTGTTTTTGTACGGTCTTCTTCAAAGGAACAGTTCACCCCAAAACAGTAGGGTTGTAAACAGCACTGCCTTCCCCAGGCTCTCCTTGTACCCAGAAAAGAGAGGTTACTATCAAACGCCGTTAAGGCAAGTGTATGAAGGCAAATCAATGTCAAAACCTGCCACCTGCCAGGTCCATGCGCAAATATAAAAAGTCCGTGTGACATCAGCCATTTGCTCACTTTCATTTTCACGGCAGTAAAAACCAGTCACCACAGTATTGCTGCATCCAATTGGTTACAAACCTCGTCTTTGGATGGGCTGAATTTCATCTCTGTGGAGAGTTATGCATTCTCAGAACTATAGAAGCCCTTTTCCGCACTAAAAGAAATAATTAAGAGATTGGAAAGCCGAAATAATGAGGTAAAGTCGTAATTATGAGATAAGATATGCGCAGGCTCCCCATAGTTTGGTAAAGTTGACAAGATATTCACAGATTCAGACTTTCCTAAAATTCTTTAGAATTCTTTAGGAAACTATAAAATGCATGTTATAGTATCCTTACATTTGCAGATAGGTTTGAGCCTTTCTGAAAATGGAACCTGTTACTTGGCACCTATCAGTCTCACTCAGTTCATGGGAAATGTGTTTCGCAAAATTCTTGCATTTGGATTCCCATCGGGCCACCAAGTCGATACAATGGATACTGTATAATTGTTCCCGGTAGCATTTTCCCTTCATACTGATTTGCATTGATTTCCATGAAGTCAAAGTTAACAAATAACGCAAATGGGGAAGCGGTCGATCAAAGAAGCAGGTTCAAATCTAACTAACCACACCTTAAGGCATGTGTCTTATCTGCCCTAACCCTCTCTGTTATTGCAGCCGGGCCCTCCCCCTCGCAGCAGACACATAACGGTACACAGGCCCAGTCAAAGCACAGTTCTGGGGGGCTCTGTCCTTGCAGTAAGGGCGGGGAACTATCCTGTCAGCGACCTCTCACAAGCCAAGACAAGATATTCACAGATTCAGACTTTCCGGTTCACTAGCTCGTCAGCGAAAACGTTAATTTAGCAAAACGGACCGCTCTGCGAGCTGGACAAATTGGTCTAAATGTGCAGCCAAAGTGAGACTCCCTATTGGTAAAATGATGGTAAAGTAGGGTTGTAGCTGGTAGCCAACTACGGTCCACTACGGTTACAGAGAGATGTTGTCTTTTAACAACGTTTTAGCTTAGAATTTTGACTTTCTGTCCATTTTCTATAGAGCGAAAATAGTCTTCTGTAGTTCTGGGAATGCATAACTCTCAACAGGGATGAAATCCAGCCGATCCAAAGACGAGGTTTGTCACCAATTGGATGTAGAGATACCATGGTGAACGGGTCCCCCCCTTACCGTCAAAAAGAAAAACTGTGAGCGATCAAGCGCGAATTGACCGGCCTCTCAGCTTTTGACTTGCCTTCATAAAGATGTAGTAGTATTAGTCATATTCAAAAGCACTTTTTTGGTGAGATCAAGAGTGAAAATACACTGCTATGAATCATATTCACGTTGGTGGAAAACAGTGAAGCGTTGAATCAGCCTGCCGTTAGTATAATCGTAACATTCAGAGTGGCATGGCAACGGTGAAACAATAGATGGGAACATGTGTCGACCGTGCATGCTATGTCATCAGATTTTACTTAGGATACAATGTTGTGCTAATTTCCCAACTAACTGTGTTAAGTAAAAATAAAATAAAGTTAGAATAAAACCATTTACAGTATCCTTACATTTGCAGATATTTTTCTTGCCTTTCTGAAAATGGAACCTGTTACTTGCCACCTATCAGTCTCACTCAGTTCATGGGAAATGTGTTTCGCAAAATTCTTGCATTTGGATTCCCATTGGGCCACCAAGTCGATACAATGGATACTGTATAATTGTTCCCGGTAGCATTTTCCCTTCATACTGATTTGCATTGATTTCCATGAAGTCAAAGTTAACAAATAACGCAAATGGGGAAGCGGTCGATCAAAGAAGCAGGTTCAAATCTAACTAACCACACCTTAAGGCATGTGTCTGATCTGCCCTAACCCTCTCTGTCATTGCAGCCGGACCCTCCCCCTCGCAGCAGACACTCAACGGTACACAGGCCCAGTCAAAGCACAGTTCTGGGGGGCTCTGTCCTTGCAGTAAGGGCGGGGAACTATCCTGTCAGCGACCTCTCACAAGCCATCAAACTAGGCTTCAAACACGACAAACAGGTATAAAAGCAGATTAAAAAAAAACTTTTTTAATCTGCTTTCCTCTGATTTTGAATGAACTTTTTTTTATGATTCAGGTGGACGGAGCTTGTGTGTTTTGGGCGGAGTCACAGCTTGAAAATGGAACAGGTAGGGCTACATATGGAGGCCAAAATTATCTTTTGCAATTACACAATAACAAGATGAGTTATCCTGTATCATATGTGTTTCTAGGTTATTGGAGCACAGAAGGCTGTGATACCAACCGCACTGAAAGTGAATTTATTTGCACCTGCAACCACCTGAGCTTCTTTGCTGTGCTTGTGGTAAAAAAAAAAAAAAAATTCTAGCACAAGCCGCATGCCACTCGCATGCGGCTTGTGCTAGTCACATACAACCAGAAGTAATTGGGAACTGATGCAACACAGCATGTGATTAGATGAACCGTCTGTTAATCTAAAACTAAATCTAAAATTTTCCATCGAGACACCATCAGTGGTTGTTTTGCTCCGCCTTTAATGAAGAATTCAGCGTTGTTTTCTAATAGCACTCACCCAATTGCAGCTGAGCCCACCCCCTCAAGAGAAGCCATTGGTTGTATTGAACAAACAATCACCTAACCAAGTGTTGTTGTGTCAAAACACACACGTAAACCACGCTTCTCGACGGCCTTCCTTTTCTGTGCACAGTAACAGATTGCTTCACAAGCCGCCAGTTATTAAGCCCTAAAATTAATTAAATTAAAATCCTGTTCCGAATCTGATTAACGTAGAGTATTCACACTAATCTACAGTCTCTGAATAAACACATTCCGGTTTCCATCCAAATGTCGCACAAATGAACTGTATCAGTTCCCTGATAAAACGGTTAAAGAAAGCAGCAACTTCAGACAAACTTTTTGGTTGTGTGTGATAAACATGCCTTTATTCTGAAGAAGTGCAGATTAATAGTTCAAATAAAAATATTTTTACTAGTATACTTATAGAGGGATAGAGTTTTACTTAAGACACATCAAAATCAATTCATATATACTGAAGAGGAATCTACCAGGCTTCGGAACTTAATCTACATTTTAAAAGTAAAGTTTATTTCCCTTCCAGAACCCTGTGTTAACAGTGGATGAAAGACATGCTGTGAACCTCACCTATATCACCTACATTGGATCAGCACTCTCCATCTTCTTCGTGGTCATCAGCTTGATCATCTATATACGTCTGCAGTGGGTTTGATTGTCTTTATTTTAATGATATTAAGATGCCATGACACATCTGTAATGTTTTGTTTAACCAAAAGACTGCCGCAAGAGCAAAGCAATATGTGGCTGTCACTATGTGTGTTATTTCTGGATTCATTTATTCTGCTTCTCATTATCCTGATGTACTCTGACAAATTCAATTCATGCATTTGCTATGTCTTGATTAGTAATGAAAAAAAGAAAAGACGTCTACATCCCTACATGTCACCCTACCTACTTTATGATCATAAATAATGGCAAAATCCGTGCTGCCCAGTAAGCAGTCAACACACACAGCCTTCAAGCAGTAGCTTATAAGGTTCCTTCAGAACTGTTTGGTTCAGGTACAAGGTTCAAATACCTGTAGATTGCAGGTCACGAATAGCATCTGCTGATGAAGCATACAAAAATGCTCATAACAAACCTTTCCCTTGCAGGCGTCGACGTCCCGAGAAAGCTGTCGGCTTGCATTTGCAGCTGACCGGAGCGCTGCTCTGCCTCCACCTCAGCTTCCTTCTGTGCTGCTTCTGGGTGTGGCATCTGAACGAGGAAGAGGAGGACTGGGTTTGCCGGGGTCTGGGTCTCCTTTTGCACTGGTCCCTGATGGCCACCTTCACCTGGACGGCTCTGGAGGGGTTCCACCTCTACCTTCTCCTCGTCCGAGTCTTCAACATCTACGTCAGGAGATACCTGCTCAAACTCAGCTTGGTGGGATGGGGTGAGTGGAGCCTGGTTCGTTGGGCCATTCGGGGTTTACTGTTCATTTAAACTAAAGAAAGTAATATAAATACTAGCGTAGTGGTGGACAACATGTATGACAAAGCCCTGTTCTGTATTTAGTGCCTCATGTTTATGATTTGGCATGCTTCTTATTGTCCAATACAGCTGTTAGTAATTGATGTGGATGAAACCCCCGGAACTGTGTAGTAGAAATATTTCACTGTTCGGATTTTTGGTGATGCAACATCTCTTTTTCATTCAAACAATTAGGGGAACAATACAAAACATTGTATGTTCTAAAAAAAAAGTACGAAGACCATATGATGTTAATTATGTGTTTTCATCAAACAGACATATATATATATATATATATATACACATAAGAAAAATACTTTTATTATTATTTAAGAATCATTATTATTACTATGAAAAGACATTCAGCTGTTTTTATAAGAATCCTTATTATGAAAACGTTTTAGCATGATGATAGAAGATTACATGTATCATATTTAGAGCAGTGAATAATTACATGTGTTTTTTTCATATTAAATAACGCATATTTATTCATTTAGTCACAAGTAGATTATGTTTTTCCAATAACAAAGCTAGGACAAGTGGTAGAGATGGGCCAGTCGAGTTAAGATAAGGTAAATTCATTTTTCAATATTATATTGTTGCAATGTCCTTGCACAGCAAGATTTTAGGCCATTAAAGGGTACGTTTTGGTCTTTGGATCTAAAGAAAACAAGAGGCCACCTTGCAATTGAGACTGAGCAATATTGCAAGGCAATTTTATTTGTATAGCACATTTCAACAACAGGGCAATTCAAACAATTACGCTTCCCATAAAACCATGAAAAAGATCCAAATTATAAGCAAGAATATTTAAAAACAGTTAAGAACATCGATTGAAAACAGTCATTCAAAAGATTTATAAAAAAGATTTTAAAATGTTTTCCAACTATCTTCCCTCCAACCTCACATTTTCAGGCTCACAACGGATTACGACGTAAACATGAAAAAGCCGTCTTTCGTTGTGCACACAAGCAACTCCTCTGTCTGTCCTTTATGCAGGTCTCCCAACACTGATTGCAGTGGTCTGTGGGATTTCAGGTGTTTATGGTAGATACAGGCCTGAACTGACGGACGCCAACAACCGCAGCTCCGCCGCTGAGATGTAAGACACCAATATGAATTCATATTATGTCATATTTATGATAATCGTACACTGACATGGAGGGAAATGGTGCAGATGCTGGATGAGCAGCCACAGGCTTCCGGTCAGCTTCGTCACGACCGTGGCCTTCCCGTCCCTGGTGATACTGGGCAATTCCTGCATGCTGGGGGTGGTGGTCTTCAAGCTCTCGGTGCTGAGGGCGAGTGGTTTCGGCGCGGAAAGCGGCGGTGGCTCAAAGAAGATGTCCAGAGAGCAATGGGTGAAGTTATGGAAGGACGGTGCCACGGTGCTGGGCCTTAGCGTCGTGCTGGGTTTACCTTGGGGGCTAGCGAGCACCACCTACGTCTCCCTCGCAGGGATCTACGTGTTCACGATACTAAACTCCCTACAGGGTGAGTGCATTGCACGACCCTCGTAACAAGTGGTCATTGCTTTTAAAAAAATAATTGGCTTGAAGGATTCACTGCCTTTCTGCTCTTCCTTGCCAGGTCTATTCATGTTCCTGTGGTCCTTGGCGTTGTCCGGCAAGTCCCGATCCGACCACTCCTCTGTCAAAGACCCTTCATCGCAGAAAATGATGACTACCAGTTTCAATAACTGATATTCGCAGGGACAAGTGTATCAGCGGTTGCCTATGTTAGGTGCTTACGGGCCTTTGGACTCCAGCCAAATGCGGAAAACTCACAATAACTTCTTTAAATCAATCCAGAACATTAACATCTTTTTACTGTTGGGACAATTCAAGCAAATCAAGCTTATGGTTACATTGATGTTAGTCAATGGGCAACCAAGAATCAAAAAGAATTATGCAATAACCTGTGTGCGTATGTGCTTCTGTGGGTGAGTGAGCATCATAAAAAGTGTGTCGGTGTTAAATTGAACACACGTCCTGCTAAATCTATCTGGTTGAAAGACTTTCTTCCAACTAGCTACTGCTAATTTAAGTAACAAAGTCAACTTGGCCGGAAAGAAAAGTGGGCGCATGTTAATAAGATTCATTTTTGACTTTTTGACTTTCTGTTTCCTGAATAGTAATGGCGTTATTTTGGTCAATGGTGCACATTTCCGTGTCAAAGTTCAGTTAAGCTGCTCTAAAAATGAAGAATCTCTGGACGGACAGAAGACATCTTGTATTGAAGAGTTAAAAAAAAAAAGTATTTAATAAAAGAAAGGGTTGTGGTAAAAAGTATCTACTATACTATCAAGTATTACATGCATGCATTTCCGTTGATTACGTTACATTGAATACGATTCAATACAAATAGGCGCCATCTGCTGGCTCCAAAAGGTTCAATGTATCATAAAACCATGAGAATTACAGCGCTCCCACAGCAGTCAACTAACACTGACTATCGAAACAGTAAGAACATCTCTAAAAGACAGAAAATGATATTCCGTGTTAATGTTGTTGAAAAGAACCCCTGACTATTATAATCACAACATGTATCACTATTGTCTGTTAAGTATCTTAACTATAACTATATTTGTGATGAGATCGATGAGACAAAAACATGGGCTGCTGTTGTTACACAGACTGCGTCGCAGTTTAATGTGCGCCCCCGAATTAATCTCTAATTCTCCACAGACAGACTCTTCCTCCACTTATACCTGTATATATACAAACAGTACATATAATATATATATACAGTGCTGGTCAATCTCGTCTTCTGCATCAGTTCCACATCTGCCCATTCATCATCTCTCGTACACCTGAGGAGGGATCTTTCTGTGTGCTGGATGCAGCCCTGACAATCCTCTGCAGATACGTCGAGACATCCAGCGTCCTACTGGTCCAACAGGGACGTCTGACCATGAGGCTGCAGGTGGTAAACTTTCTTCTTCCATGAGCAGAAGAATTAAAGTAAGAGGTCGCGAGTCGGAGAGAAATGTGGAAGGAGAAGTATCAGTCTTCTGGCTTCAAACTCACTCTGTGACTGGAAGAGAATGGTTTCAAAGTATTATAAGTTCAATTGTAGTTGTCGGTGTAGCAGGATGCAGGAACATCGGTGTCACATTTTACAGTAACTTTACAACAACGTCTCAGAGTTGGGGAAGAACTCAGATGTCCTCAGCTTGCATCAGATTAGGTACTTCGCCCACTTAAATTGCAGAACTGTGAAATGCTGTATGCCCCTCTTGTTACCCTGAAGGCATGTGACTCTTTACAGCGTTTCTCCAACTCTTCATTCACTTTAACTGGTCCAATCAATGCAGCTCATCTGATTTGGTAGTGACCAATCTTTAAGGCACTCCAGCCCTCCTAGCCTGCACGTTATGCGTACCAAACAAGCTCAAACCAATGGAGCTCCTCGGCAAGACCCAAATTGCGTTACATCGTTCTGATGAAAGAAAAGCTCATAACCAAGGCCGAGCCCAGTCAGTGACGTTCAACAGATGAGTCTGCATTTATAACATTCTGTTTAATAAGTATATTTATATGCATATTCTATCATTGTTAAAGGTTTATACCTAAACGTATTTTAATTAAATTCAATTAAATTCATTTTATTTTGTATAGCCCAAAATTGCAAAATTGCTTTACAGTCTGTACACATACGACATCCTCTGTCCCGAAACCCACCATCGACACAGGAAAAACTCCCCAAAAATGAAAAAACCCTTCTAAGAGGGAAAAAAAAGGGAAGAAACCTTAGGGAGAACGTCAGAGGAGGGATCCCACTCCCGGGACGGACAGACTACAATGGATGCCATGTGTACAGAATGAACAATGTATAATACATGCAATTCCTATGACAGAAATGATTTAAGTAATTGTGATTAAGCCAGGCGCACAGCAGGACCACTGCAGGGACCACCACCATCAGATAGAACCACCATCAGATAGAACCACCATCAGATAGAACCACCATCTACAGAAGCCTGTGGGGAGGGAGAGCACAGAGACTTTAGGAGAGGGTAATGTCGGTTTATGAGTACAGTAATATGATTAATATCTAAAATGATAATGATGGTGATGATGATGATGATGATGATGATGATGGCAGCAGCAGGTGTCAGGACCAGAGTCCAGAAGGAACTACGATCTACGAAGACCTGATATGGGAGAAAGCACAAAAAACTCCCGGAAAGAAGCTTAATTAGTCATGTGCATTAATAAAACGTGAATTATTGTAGAATGAGAGCGTGAGAGAGGAGCTCGGTGTGTCCTAAGAAGTCCCCCGGCATTCTAAGCCTATAGCAGCTTAGCTAAGGGCTGGTCCGGGCTAACCTGAGCCAGCCCTAACTATAGGAAGAATCAAAGAGGAAAGTTTTAAGCTTTATCTTAAAAGAGCTGACCGAATCTGCCCCCCAGACTGAAAGTGGAAGCTGATTCCACAAAAGAGGAGCTTGATAACTGAAGGCTCTGGCCCCCAGCCTACTTTTTAAAACCATAGGAACAACAAGTAACCCAGCATCAATGGAGCACAGCTGCCTTGTAGGGCAACAAGCTCTTTAAGATACGACGGTGCCTCACCAGCAAGTGCCTTGTAGCTGAGGAGAAGTACCTTAAAATCTATTCTTGATTTAACAGGGAGCCAGTGCAGAGAAGTTAATACAGGAGTGATATGATCCCTTTTCTACGTTCTTGTTAATACACGTGCTGCAGCATTCTGAATCAACTGGAGAGGCTTAAGAGATTTACAAGAACAGCCTGATAACAAAGAATTACAGTACTTCTTTTTACTTCTTCGTGTTGTCCATGTCTTTGTCTGTGTTTATCTTTTTCTTGTCTATTTGTAAAAAGATAACTGTATGTCCAGTATGTGGAGAGCAAAAGTAAAGCGGAACCAAATGTCATGTAAAAATCATAGTAACAACCACCGGTGTCCCACAGGGCTGCGTGCTGAGCCCTCTCCTCTTCTCCCTCCTCACTTACGACTGCAGACCTGTACATAGTTCCAACCATATTGTCAAGTTTGCAGACGACACAACGGTGATTGGCCTTATCAGCAGCAACGATGAGTCGGCCTACAGGAGAGAGGTCCAGCACTTGACTGAGTGGTGCGCCAACAACAACCTGGCACTCAACCCCAAGAAGACCAAGGAGATCATTGTGAGCTTCAGGATTCAGCATCGTGAAGGACAACGCTCACCCCAGCTATAGACTGTTTGCCCTCCTCCCCTCCGGGAGGAGTTACAGGGCCCTCCAGCCTGGACCAGCAGGTTCAGGAACAGCTTCTTCCCTGCTGCTGTCACCCTGCTGAACTCTGCACCACGGTGACAGCCCCTCGTCCCCTCCCCAATGTCCCCCCCTTACACCACCAGTCACTGAACATTCTGCACTACTTGCACGATTTGCACTACATTATCATTCAAATTCAAAATTTAACCGCTGCTTAATGTATATACTGCTCCATGTATATTTACCACTGTACATGTATATATTTATATACACTCTGCACTTTATCTGCTCTCTTGCAATGCTAAACTGCATTTCGTTGTCTCAGTACCTGTGCAATGACAATAAAATTGAATCTAATCTAATCTAACGAATAGGGAATAAAAGACGTGACGTCAGCCTTTCGCATGAGGTACACATGCGCATTAAACTCTGCAATGACAATAAAATTGAATCTAATCTAATCTGACGAATAGGGAATAAGAGACGTGACGTCAGCCTTTCGCATGAGGTACACATGCGCATTAAACTCTTTCTCGGATACCCGGAAGTAAAGGCGGAGCTCTCCGTTTACTCTCCTCCGTGCGCGAGACAGACCTATGAGACAGACAGAGGGACAACATGGATCCTAACACGACGATTCTGCGAGTCAAGAGAAAGCGCGGAACCGACCCCGCGGATGCGTTGTTGCTGGCGTGCAAACGCATCCGGCCGGAGACGTCCCAGAGCCCCGGCGACGTGGTGCCGGAGCCCAATGAGGCCGAGGTGGAAAACTCCGTCTTCAAGCTCGTGGCAACCGTAGCGACGCAGGTGAGAGGCCCGCCGCGGTGCTAGCTGAGCCGCAGCCGCGGGCTCGCGTCCACGCTGCGGCCGCGGAAGCGTCCAACAAACGGGGGTTCGAACGGGCCGGTGTTCAGTAAATTACACGCGCTGTTCTAAGGTGTAATCTAAGTTAGCTGGTTTTAAACACCTAACACGTTGGTGTTTATTGGAGACGAGGCGCCGTCTGTGCTAGTTGTTGTTAGCATCATTTCTTTTAGCTGCTGCGATGTGTTTCGTGTTCTCTGGCCTTCAAAGCGTTATTAGTTTTATTCCAAATCGCAGGCTGTCATCGTTTTAACGCGGCAGTGTGACTCAAACATTTACGGCTGGATAACGATCACGCGAGCTAACGAGCGTTAGCCTAGCCGGTAAACATCGGAACGTGTAATAGCGTGATCTTACGAGGCCTTCGCCTCTCTGTAATGTGTCCCACATTCATTTGACCCCCCCCCCCGCGTTGTCCTCCTGTCTCCAGGATGCTCCCGTTCAGACGCAGGTGCGTCAGGCGCTGGCTCGGCCTCGCATGGCCCACGCCATGCGCCCCTCCGCGGCCAGCTCCCAGCGGATCACCGGGGACCTGCGCAGCACCAAGTGGAGCACCCGGCGGGAGGAACGCTACCGGATCCTGTCCAGCCACCGCTCGGGCCTCTCGGGCCCGGCGGAGCAGCTCGCCCCCCCGGCGGGAGCTCCGGAGAGCGCGGCGCAACCCGCTGAAGAGCAGGACAAATGTTTGGGTCTCGGTGCGGTACAGGTGGTGGATGTCCTTCACGAGGACGTGGAGGACAAGGACGGGTTGTCCAGTAAGGTGAGATGAGCGTTGCTTTTGTCCTTCGTGGGGTCGGTTGTCATTTTCATTTTTTGATTTTTTTTTTTTAAGTATAGATCCACGTGGATGATGCATTTATTCAGAAATAAACAGCACCGGTCAATAGTTTGGATACACTTGTGTCCCAAACGTTAACTGGTACTGAATACTTTGAGTATTTCTCCAACCATTATAACAGGGGAGCAACACCCAGAAATAGAATGCTATTAAAAAAAAAGAAAAGAACAACATTTATTTATTTTTCAACCAGTACCGTCCCGTACGCAGCAGAGTGACCCAACCCAATAAACCCTAAACTCATTTCCCACTACATTCTCAATTGTTTTTTTTTTGCACCGCGATGGAAAGATGTTTTTTATCAATCGGATGCTGCCGATGCCATTCCCATCCTTCCATAGAAAGGCTTAACTTTTTTTTGTTTTATTCATGGCTTAATATTAGCACCTGCCAAATACAGGTAGAATTCGGCCGTGTCGGGTAAAGCAGTGACTTTTATTGTTCGCAGGTCCCTTCACTGTTGTCGTAGAGGCAAAAGGGTGGTTGAGGGCTGCGGGGGGGGGCGGTGGTTATTATTGTGTCACGGGTGCATCATCCGCAAACCCAGAACGCCCGGTTACGTCGGCGGCAGCGGTGGTTCGTGTAAGCCGACTATGGAGCGCGACGGCGTGAGTGTGTGCGCTTCCTTGGTGTAGCTCGCAGGCCCAATCCCCGTAAGAGAGCGCCGCCGCGTCAAGATGAAGACCGGTTTAAGAGCTCGGTGCTGTTCGGCAGGCGGTCGGCCATCAGAGATCCATGCTCCGTTTACTAATAATTAAATTCTTCTATTTTAATTAAATATAATTGAGCCATTACAGGGTTCTCAAGCCTCACGCATTGACCGTGAAACACGGGCAATTAAACCAGTTCACACGGCACAACTTGAAGGAAACGTTTTGTGCGCGTATCGTTTTCCCAGAGGACAGACACACAAAAGAGAAACTGGTGAGGAAACCAAAAATGAAGGAGAAAAAGAAAAGACAGTGAAAAAAAATCATTGCGACTAAACGGACAAAGACAACAAAGGGTTGCATTTAGGTCCCTGATCCTCATGAAGGCGCCGCAGCTTCACATCCCTGCTCAGTTCTATGCAATGAACTACTCTTTTTGTCTTTATGAGTTACATGTTTTCATACAAAACGAGATCAAATTAAACTCAATTTCCCAACAACAAAATTGCTGATTGGCCGGTGAGCAAAAATGTTTTCTAAACCATTTGTCTGTATTTGAACTATGTCTGCGTAACCCAATACTCATCATAATCAGTGCTGATCTCTTCTTTGTGAAGGCGCTGTGCTCAGACCCGGAAATGATCCTGTGTAACAGCACCAAGATGCTGCGTGAGCGCCTGAGCATAACTGGAGAGCAGCTGGGGGGGGGGCACCGGGAGCAGGACGACGACTACGTGTACGACCTGTACTACCAGGAGACGGTCACGCCGGGCTGGATCCAGGACATCCTGTCCGTCAGGGCCTACACCGACGAGGGAGAACTGGTGTGTGTGGATGGATGGAACGGCAGATGAATGAGTGCTGGACTCGGAGTGAGTGAATGAAGACATGGGTGACGTAAAGATTAGACACGTGGAGAGTTGTTTTGTTTTCATATTTTGGCCCAAATGAAACGATTCACAAATGTATTAATTTGGTTTATTGGCCTAAATTCATATATATATTTATTATTATTATTATTATTATTATTATTATTACTACAAATGTCTCTGAATATAATGAGTCCAGTAAACCAGAGGCCTTCAGGTAAATGGGTTGTTACTGTTTGTCCCAGGTGCCTGACCTTGTGGTTCACGAAGAGGAGGTTTATGAAGACGACGATGATGAAAACGAGGAAGGCAACTGGAGGAATGACTACCCTGATGAGAACAGTGATGCAGACAGTGATGCAGAGGAGCGCTACGGGGGTATGTGTTGATTTATCTGTCCTCGTGTGTGTGTGTGTGTGTGTGTGTGTCAGAGCTCTGCCTCCAGGTGGATATCTGTCCCGGAGTCACACACAAAGGTTTTTAGCAAATGTGCTCGCTTTGTTATGTTCAGGTAAACCCGACAAAGTCTTTTTGATAAATCATTATTCTCCTTCATTACTGTTGGGGTCAACAGGTTCTCATTCATCTCCTCGGTTTGACAAATTGTAATGTAATTCTATCATTAAATGTCACAAGGAGGCTACAACAAACCGAACTTGTGGCTCAATGGTGTACTGCAGATATGAAAGTTGTATCAAAGATAGTGAAGAGAGTGTTCCGTGTTTCTGCTGGTGTTCTGGTTGGTCATGGTGTCTCCTGTGCAGGTTACTGGGAGGAGGAGCACTCGTACAGCCAGAGGAGCTGGGCCCGCTACCAGAGGGAGGTGCTGCAGGAGCTGGGCCACTGTGGGGAAGAAGACAAGGAGGAGGAGGAGGAGGACGGAGACAAATATAATTCGGATTGATCTGTCTGTGGATGTTCCCAATGGCCTCCCCTACAGACAACGCCTCACCCCCGGACCTGTGCGTGCGTGCGTGCGTGTGTGTGTGTGTGTGCGCGTGTGTGTGTTTGCAAGAGTGGAGGGAAAACAACTCCCGCCTTAAAGGGCAGCAACTCGTCACATTTATGGAATGTTGAATTGATTTAGACCATCCTGAACTTTATTTTCCCCCACAAAACATCACAGTATATCAACTATTACAGTGTTGCTGTTTTAGTTCTTGAAGAACTCACCATGAAGTCAAATTTCTTCAAGAACTCTGGTGATTTTGTAGGTGAAACATTCTTTTGGAGTCCAAATTAAAAAGGATAAAAGATCCACTTTCATTTGTCAGAGTAACAGCATCAGCCCCCCCCCCCCCCCCGCACCCGTACACCTACATGACGTCCCTTTGTCCCCCACACAGACGGGGAAGGAGGAGTTGTTTCCAGAAGGATCCAGTGTCTTTTTTTTATTTTTTATTGTGGTGGAGTGAATTGTGCGTGTGGGTGTTTGTTCAATGTGGACGTGTGTTTAAAAAAAATGTTGCACATTAGCGTGATCTGCCTCGTATGCTTTGTGCTCTTAACACTTGCGTCAGTGAGACGTCTCGGGCCGCGTGTGGCTGCATTTTGTGCATGGTAGTGTGTGTGTGTGCGTGCAAGTATATATGTGTGTGTGTGTGTTAGATTTTTGGCACTATGTGAAAGCCTGACGCAGTCTGTTTTTGTTGTGGGTGTGTGAGTTTGGTCTCTTTGATGCTCGGTGAATTAAACTTTTTGTAAATATGTAGATGTGTATAAAATGAAAGCTTTCAATTAAACTTTAAACATGTCTGTGTGAGTTTGTCCTGCATGGAAGAACACACTTGTGTTTAGTTGGGATCTAATAACCTGTTGAGGCAGAACAAAGTGCTAATAATGCAGACCCAAAACATTTTTGGCACCTGTACTATTTTTTTTCTACCAAATCTTAATCTGTAAATTAGACACTAAATGGTTCAATGCTCAGCAGTATATTAAGATGGTTTCATCTGGGCCGAGTCCACACGCGAACGTTCCAATTTTTGTGAAATGTGCTAGTCTGCAGCAGCACTTTTATTTATATTACCACAAGCCAGACATCCGAAGAAACACATAACCAGCAGTGAGCTGGGTAACGTGTCTGAGTACGACCTCTGGACCCGTCTCACTACTTCAGACACCTGTGATCTTCACTCCTGTGCACATTCATCCACGTTTTGCTCTGTCGGATCCATTTTTGAACACATTGATACAAAAACAATACACGCTATAGTTGAGAAATTAAGTTCTTCTCAATCCCTCCCGGGCTCCGTTTCATCGCTGAGTGATTCTGCAGGCAGTAAAAACACAACTCTGAAGAAACATTTATTGTGACAAATACAAGTAAAAAGGAAGCTTCCTACGATGTTGGACTGACTGCATTTAACAGGCAGCTAAACTCGCCTTGAAAATGAAGTGAACATAGATGAGAACTTCAAGTCCTCACGTAGCAGCATTCAAAACAAAACCTCTTCTCTCTTTCTGCACCGAGCTTCTCTCCAGTGTTGTTACAGTGTCCTGAGGTCATGAGCGGCGCCTCGGCGTGAAGGGTTGGGCCATCGCCTACCCTCAACGGGGGGTGATGATTGAATGTCCTTCAATTCCGGAATCAAACCGTCATGCAGCAGTTCTTTCAGTGTTTTGTAAACAGGTCGCTGGCAGCTGGGAGCTTCAATGTGGAGAACCCCACCCCTCCACAGAAGATGGAGCTGGACTCCCCACTATTGCTTTTTGTCTGCCTCCGTCAGAACGCAGTAGCAGGAGAACTGGGTGGAGTAAGTCAGGGAGCCTGCAGTGAAGGGAGAGCACAACACGTTAGAGGGCTGAGAGAGGTGGAGCAGCCCTGGGGGGGTGGGGGGGCGGGACTCACGCAGCATCCTGGTGATGATGGGCGGCCGCTTGGACTCCGGCAGGTAGACGCACAGGAAGTAGACGGGGACCCCTGACAGCGCGATGGAGATGCCAATGAGGGAGTTGACTGTGTCGCTGTAGAGAGGCACCGCCACCAGGAAGACGGCGCAGCAGCAGAACACCACCGGGAAGAAGAGGGACAGCTGGGCGGAGACAGCCAGGAAACACCGTCAACCACACTTCATTTATTTTTTGCCTCCACACAGTTTTTAAAGACAAAGTGTTTGGTTCTCTTCTCGTCACACTGGTCTCCGTATTTATATCACAGTCAATAGCGATGCAACAATTATTGATTATATATCATATTCTGGGAGGTCAAATGAATGATGGGTGGGTGAATGGGTGTGTGGGTGAATGGGTGTGTGGATAGATGGATGGGTGAATGGGTGTGTGGGTGGATGGATGGATGTGTGTGGGTGGATGGATGGATGTGTGTGGGTGGATGAATGGGTGTGTGGCTGGATGGATGAATGGGTGCGTGGGTGAATGGATGGATGGGTGGGTGGGTGGATAGATGGGTGGGTGAATGGGTGTGTGTGTGGGTGGATAGGTGGATGAATGGGTGGATAGATGGATGAATGGGTGTGTGGGTGGATGGATGGATGGGTGTGTGGGTGGATGGGTGTGTGGGTGGATGGATGGATGGGTGTGTGGGTGGATGGATGGATGGGTGTGTGGGTGGATGGATGGATGGGTGGGTGTGTGGGTGGATGCCCAGGGTCACCTTGAGAGGTCTCGGCCGGTCGGGCTCCTTCCAGCGGAGGTAGATCTGCCCGGCGGTGGAGAGGCCCATGAAGAACCAGTAGCTGAAGCTGTAGTAGTTGATGAGCTGGAAGACGTCCTGCACCGTCAGGTAGATCAGGGACATGACACACTGGGCCGATGAGGAAGACGATGAGGAAAGAGGACATGCTATTACCGTTGTCCTTTACATTTTTACTTCAATTTCTTTTTACAGATATTTCTTGTTGATTTTTTCCTTTTAGGATGGAAGTCGGGTAGCTTACATTGAAGATCAGAGCTGGGATGGGAGTGAATCTCTGGATGTGGATCATGGACAGGGCGTCTGGGAGGTGACCTTCACGAGAACCCACAAAGAACAGCCTGCGCACGTCAGACACGAGTTAAGACACAAAGCACCCGCCTCTCATGCCGCCACCATCACCTCCGCAAAGGCTCGAATAAGCAGCATTCCACTGGTGTGTGTGTGTGTTCTACCTGGATGCAGCGATGATGGAGGCGTTGAGGCCTCCGTAGCAGGACAGAGCCACGGCGATGGGGATGGTCCAGCTCATCACGCCGAGAGCGTGATCTGCAAAGGTCTGAAGCGGCGACAGAAGGCGATTTTAGCGGCGCCTCCTCTTGCGGTCAGTCAGTGCAGGGACGCGGCAGGGACGCTCTACTCACCACAGCGACGGCGTCGCTGGCCAGGATGGCACTGACGTCCAGGACGGCGTAGTAGGCCACGTTGGTGAGGATGTAGATGACGGTGACGATGGGCATGGAGATGGCGATGGCCAGGGGCAAGTTCCTGCAGGCGACAGGAAGTCGGCTCATCATTCTGACCTTTTCTAGAGTAAGAAAATAACAAAGGGGGCACGGAAAGAAACGCAAACCTCTCCGGGTTTTTGATCTCCTCCGTGACAAAGTTGAGGGTGTCCCACCCGGAGTAGGAGAAAAGGGCGGAGTAGAGGGCCAGCGCGATGTCACCAGGGTCTGTGGACGATCCCTGGAAGGACGACTCCAAGTTGTCGGTGTGACCTGGAGGGACGCAGGACGGCAGACTTGTCCCTCTGATCGGCGTGTGACGGCGCGCTAAAAACAGGCGCCTCCCTCACCTTTGCACAGCTTGACGATGCCGGTGACGATGATGACGATGAGCGCCGCCACCTTGGCGTAGGTGAAGACGTCCTGCACGCGGGTGCCCCACTTCACGTAGGCGGAGTTGATGAATGTCAGCAGGCCTGGGGAGAGAGGGACGGCTGAGGGGACGAGGAGACAGGCGGCGAGCGGACAGCAGGGGGCACCGGTGCGCGCCGGGAGCACTTACATAGGCACGCCGCGGCGATGAGCCGGGAGGCCGCGTACGGCGGCTCGCACGTCGGAAAGAGCGGCTGCACCAGGTAGTTGGCGAACGTGATGGCGATGACCGCCTGGCTCGTGGGCTCGATGATCAGCAGGGACGTCCACAGGCGGATGAACGCGATGAAGCCGCCGAAGGACTCCAGGATGTACGCGTACGACGCCCCCGATTTGGTGATGGTGGTACCCAGCTCGGCGTAGCACAAGGCCCCCACCACGGAGAACAGGCCCCCGACGGCCCAGATGACCAGCGACAGCCCGTAGGAGGCGCTGTAGATCAGCACGCCCTTCGGGGACACGAAGATGCCCGAGCCAATCATGTTGCCCACGATCAGGCTGACCCCGTTCAGCAGGGAGATCTCCTTCTTCAGCTGCATGCTCTCCTTGGGGGGCTCCGTGAGGCCAGGAGGGGACACTCAAGATCCTGGATCCCCCGTGGGCGGCCATGGCCGTGGATGCTGTGGCCCCTTCGGAAACAACCTGTCCAACACATGGAGACGTGACCGGTCAGTGCTGGGTCTTTAGAAAAGGAGCCCGAGTCAGATCTCCAATGTCTCAAGATGAGTTTAGCACCGAGGAGAGCCGGCAGGGGGGGCATTGGAGAACAGGTCACCATGTGTCATAGCTCTCACACACACACACACACACACACACACACAACATCCTGAATAATATATTGGGACCATGTGAAGTTTTTAGGGTGATCACGTTTAAAAAATAGTAATTGACAATTAAAATACATAATAATAATAATAATAATAGGCATGTTATGCAGGCATCCTTGCTAAAGCAAGACACAGTATACCAGCAAATTAAGAAAAAATGCGGATAAATCATGACGATAAATGCTGAATTAAAGGGTGGATGTTGATGAGTAGAACTCAAATGCTGCCACAGGAGCTGTGATTACCTAAACCACTTCAGTCTGATGTTAGAGTCAGTCTACGTATGAGATATGCGATGACATAGACCTTCAACAAAGCATCCCGGGCCGGCGTTTCCTCACTGAATTGGCCGGTGTCAAGTTACATTGAACTAAGTGTGACTTCCGCCTGTCATTTTCAAAATAAAGTGTTTTGATAAACATGTCAAGTCAAATGTAATAATGCGTATGGAACGACCCGACAGAGCATGACGCAAAATAACGGGCCACGAGGCAAACAGCATGCCAACGGGTAACTAAGCTGTCGTGTAATGTTTTGATATTAAATACAGGTAAAATAATAGCAGGTTTAATGAGCTCCTTATAGTAACGTTAGTTCGGCTTTTTCTCTGATGAGACCAACAGCTCGTCACTGGTCCGAATCTTACAGGAATGTTCGAGTTCGGTTCCTCTACACGAATGAACTGTCAAAAATAAGAATAAGAATAAGTGATGGATATGTAATTCGGGCATTCATTTTGAATGCCAACCTCCTCCCCTCCGGTAGCATCCCGGCTACCAGCCGTTAGCTTGTTGCGACTCTAAACGGAAAGGGACTTTTTGTATAATAAATGTAGGTGCAGGTGTGTCTCCGGCGGACACGCAAGCATTTGTCCCATTTCAGCGGTTCCTGCTCACCGTTTCGGGTCCCCCTCCCCTCCAGTCTCACCTGGGCGGCTGTGCGTCCCGTGTAGCGCTGCTGACAAGGCGGCCAACGCGGCTTCTGACGTGAAGTGCGTCGGCGGCGCCGCGAAGCAGCGCTGCTAGGAGGAGAGTCACGTGACCGCCGCTATAGGACCATCGTGTGCACGCGCTGGGAACGGAACCATCCACTCTTATTTACTCTCTCTCTTTTTTATTTTCCTTTTACAGAGAACAGTCAATATTACACAAGACATATTTCCATCCGTATTTCATAAAGAATAATAAATTCATCTTTGTTAACATAAAAACATCCTGGCACATAAATCAAAGAGCTCAGTCCAAATGCTCTCGATGCACAAACTCAAGATAACATTAGCGTTTTCTTTTAATCATAATATTGTTTTTAGTAGCTGATTTACTTTCTCTCCACAGTTGACGGGTGGAGAGTTGGCTTGTAATTAGAGCGGGCCTGCTATGAGCACGGGGCCGGGGCCACTGGCCCTTGGACACTACGTGCTAACGTCATGTAAGTGAAATGTCAGGGGTGGTCAAACACATTTGAACCAGGTGCTTGCTGAGCACAGCACAGGATCATCCCATCCTTGTCGTCAGTTGTTGTATAGCACACTCTATACTAATACAACTGAAGTAAAGATCACATGGAAGATAATGTGTATATTTCAATGGATGTTGCATAGGAGAAAGAATACCCAGCATTTAGTGCAGGTTAACAGTTTACAGCAGGGATGCCCTAGGGAACAACCTTAATATCAATACACAACAGGTAACATCAGGCGAATTCCAGTTGACCTGGCCCACCTCTTGGCCAAAATAAATTATAATAGACAAATTGGTAAGGCCAGGAGGAACACCACCAAGGCCAGGCTAGAGACAGCTCAGGAGACGTCGGATGTCCTTGTGGAGGCGCAGGACCATGCAGCTAGGGAGGCCCAAGCTCTGGTCAGAAGAGACTGAGAGCAGCAGCGGGCACTAGATGGTAGCTCGGCAATCACTTCCTCCACCCTGTCTGCCGGCTTCCGCCCCAGCGGCAGAGGACCGTTTTCCCTCGTGGCCGCATCAGCCGCCGGCTCCAGACACTCGATCGCCGGCCCCTCATCCCGCGTCGCCCCCTCTAGTGCCTCTCAAGGTCAACAGCTGCCTGCTAGCAGCAGCACAGCACTGCAGAGGAGCCTGCCTGCTGAGGGGCACCTCCCCCTTTCCCCATCTCCTTGTCAGCACATAGTGTTGGGCATTTCAAGTCTGGAATAATCTGGAATGTATTCATTATTGTGACTCATAAGCTCATGTTGTAATAATAAAATATTATTATTTTAGCACCTTCAACATCAGCAGCTGGATGTGGCCCCTGTGGGTCCCAACCTCCTTCTCCCTCCTTCTGTAAATCCTTCATATAATCTGAAAAAACAAGCAAACCTTTAACATGTTGGTTGAAACCAATAAGAGTAAACAAAAGATAATAATGCTTTTTTCTAACCTGCAGACACAGGACCTCCGCCATCCAGCTCCTCTTCTGCTGGACCCACGACATCCACCGGTAGTGTAGTTACTGTTAACTTTGTTTGCATGGCAACTCATGAAAATGTGATCACTTTCTTTAATTAAAAGTTGTTTTTATTATGTTAGTGGGTCACACTCCTGAAGACACAGAGTCGGCTTGAGAGTGTGGCCAGTGCAGGGAAGCTGTGAGCTCGAGGTGTTGTGGGTCCAGTGTGATGTGTGGTACCACGAGTGGCAGCTTCTATGTGTGGGCTGGGAAGAGAAGCTGGATGACGAACATGATTTTAAATGGTTTTATTGGTTGAATATTTTAATTGTAATAACTCTTATTCTACACCATGTGTTGAACAAATAAAATGTATGTGGGTTAAATCCAATGCATTTACTGGTGTTTTGCAAGTCATTCACGTACGAAGAGTTAAACTAAACTTCCAGCAGGTGGTGTTACACACTCAAATTGAGAGTGACCTCCGGCTCCACAACTCATGCCCCCGACTTCAGTCCCTGCTCCACGACTCACACACCTCTGTGTCCGGCTCCCCGTGACCTGTTGCCGGGGCCCCCGAGCATAGCCCCTGACTGCTGTCCCGGCCGCCCCATGGAAGTTCCTCTGCCGCCCGACTGCCGTCGACCTCGGCTGGATCACCACTGGGGGCGCCGAAGGGCCATGCCCAAATTTCAATGTATTTTAGGACGCTAAAATTATAATCTCACTCATCAACTTTATCAGTGATTGGCTAACTGCTTCTTGGACCCGCTTTGGGCCCGTGCACAGATGAGACATGCGGAGAGGATGAGTATATATTTTCCGCAGATATCTTAATTTACAAAAATTACCGGGTATTTAATCCACGTTTCAAAAACACAAATATTGACTACTTGTAAAATGTAGTTTTAATATAATAAACAACATTATATTAAATCGCTCATGGTGAGGCCACGTCCCATTTCTCTCTATGGACCAGCCGCTACTGCTCACCAGTGTACGTTTTCAGCGTGATCTGTGTTGACTGTGGTGTGAGGGGATGTGGTTTCCTCCGATATACAACCTTAGGCACCAAGGATAAAGGCTGCTCCTGTGTCCACTCGCATCCGTGCTGCTTTTCCGTCCAGTAGTGGTGTAACCCAGCATCCATGTCAATCATCTGAAAGAGACAAAACATGCGAATACTTCAGATTTTGTACTTATTCTGCAGTCTAAGTCTTTGCACCAATACACTTTGGTGACCTGTTCTCCCACAGCAATAGCATGGCTTGTCACCAACAGTTTTGTTCCTGGTGTCCGTAGACACCTTATGCACTTGGGTTGATGCACTTAGCTGCTGTGCTTCTTTGTTTTCCATTGACTTCTGTTGCTTTCTTGAATGTTAAGTTACCCTCCTTCAAAGTGAGTATCTGTATTGTCCCACTGCGCATGTCGCACACCAACCTATCACGTATAGTGTCATTTAGAGAACGTCCAAATTCAGTGTTCAGATGAACAGATGAAGCACAGACACAAACTGGGAGATTGACTCCCCCTCCTCTTGATTTGATTTAGATCTGAAGCTCTACGCAATGATGCTTTTAAAGTTGGCACTATTTCCTCATAACATCTGTCCCCTGCCTTTCCAGGTGTTACTAGGCTGCGCAGTAGATTAAACATTTTTCCTCCCATGACAGTCAAAAATGTTGGCACAATCACATCTGATTTGATGCCATTAGCTAACGCGAAGTACTCAAAACGTTCCGTGTACAAACTCCATTGTTCCACAGATTCATCAAATGGTCCAATATTTCCAATCAGTGTTTTACTCACTGTCCGTTTTCTTTCAACACTCGCTGAGATTCCCCTTTTTCTCCCGCGGAAAACTTTTCCTGTCCCACTGACGTGCCGTTGGTAGTTAACGGTAGTTAGCTTTACTCTCCGCTAGCCACCTTCTCGTTTTCTTCGCGTCTCTTCGCCCTATTGAAGACTCAAACTTTTCACCGAGCACAATTAAAGAAAACGTGAGAACATCCCATCCTTGTCGTCAGTTTTGTTGTATAGCACACTCTATACTAATACAACTGAAGTAAAGATCACATGGAAGATAATGTGTATATTTCAATGGATGTTGCATAGGAGAAAGAATACCCAGCATTCGGTGCAGGTTAACAGTTTACAGCAGGGATGCCTTAGGGAACAACCTTAATATCAATACACAACAGAAGGGGTCACCAAACCTTGTTTTTTTTCTCCCTCTCTGCTGTCCCAGGTTTCTTCCTGCTGGACTGGATGCGGAAGCATGCCGGCGGCGGCGGCGGCAGCACAGGCTACAGGCCCAGGAGAGCTAGATGGGCCGCCGGCGTTGCAGCAGCAGAGCTTTAAGACAGTCTTCTTATCTGCGTAGATGAGCGCACGCTGTGCCGGCTGAAGAGCTCTCAGCTGTCCTCCCTCTGGTTGATAAACGCAAGAGCACCTCAGGGGATCACCACCTCATCCACTTTGATGCACTTAGTCAGTGTCTTGGGTGCAGATGGTGTTAATTTATCCTTTCCAGTGTTTCCTCGAAGACAGTGGTTCCCAAACCTTTTAGGCCACGCACCCTCTTCTACATCCCCATTCCCCCACACTTAGGCTGTGTTTCTTTTCCTTAGTCTATTTATAGCTGCAGTGTAATAGCTGCAGTGACACATGAGGAAGGGCAAGGAACTTGAAACGAGGAGTTAATTTTCAAAATAAAACAGGAAGTCACAAAACATCCATAGAGACAGGACAGAAACCCTACTTGATATACAGGTGTGACAGTGTTGGGATGTTGCTGCAGTGTTTTGAGTCCCAGTTTCTTTCAAATCCTTGTTCTCTAATGGAGTCGTGGACTGGTCATTAAAAATAACAAGACAAAAGTCAAAAGAGACAGCAAAGGAAATGTCACCTCACTCACAGTACAACCAGCAAATATTGATAACAAGTTGTCGTCGTAAACTGCAGTTTAAAAAAAAGATTATCTCCCTACTCGTGCCCAGGAATCAGTCAGAAGACCCAGTTCTACGTGTTCACTTCCCCTCAAACACTGCTGGTCCTGGGCCTTCCCTAGCTCATGGATCATAATCCACTATTGATTGGTCGGTGGAGTTCCACCTGCCACTCCCGCTGCCTCCGGTCCCCCATCAGGTTCTTCCCCCAGGCAGACCAGACACCGGTCCTAGCCTAGCCGCAGTGCTTGAGGAATATCAGGACCTAGCAGAGGCATTTAGCATGGAGCGGGCCATTTCACATCCTACTCAACGGCCCTATGATGCGCTATTGACAATCTCTCCCGGCCAGAGCGCGAATCCATGGAGAAATATATCAGACTGTTGCCGCAGGGATCATACGTAACTCGTCTTCACCCGTGGGAGTGAGATTCTTCTTTGTCCCCAAGAAGGACAAGACCCTCCGCCCCTACATCGACTACTGAGGTTTGAATTCAATTACTATAAAAAAAAACATCCTTTACCACTCATGATCCTCTGGTTCCGGGCCCTTAGCTGGGGCCAAGCTATTTACGAAATTGGATCTCAGCAACGCATATCATTTTGTCCGGATTAGGGAAGGCGACAAATGGAAGACGGCGTTTAACACACTCTTGGGACACTTTGAATATCTGGTGCGCCGTTTGGATTAACTAATGCTCCTGCCGTTTTTCAAGCGCTGGTTAATGATGTTCTACACAACTTCCTTAACCGTTTCGTGTTTGAATTTCTATCGGCGATTCATCCGGGACGATTCCACCCACAAACTAATGGCCAGACGGAGAGGCTAAACCAGGAGCTCAAGGCCATCCTCAGGTGTGTGATTGCTACCAACCCCCCCTTGGGTCGAGTACGCCCACAATTCCCACACGTCTACGGACACTGGACTGTCCCCATTTGAGGCGTCCTTGGGCTATCAGCCTCCACTGTTCCCCAGCCAGGAAGTTGAGGTTGCAGTACCATCAGTTCTGAGCAATGCCCGTCGTTGTGGGTGGCTGTGGAGAGACACTACGGCCGCTTTGCTTCGCACGGCAGAGCAGAACAGGAGGGTGGTAAATCAACGACAAGCACCCGCCCCGGCCTACTGCATCGGGCAGTCAAGTGTTTGGCTTTCGTCCAGGTACATCCCCCTACGCAGAGAGTCTGGGAAGCTTTCCCCCAGATATAGCGGTCCCTACCCAATCATCTCCAACAACCCAGTCTCTGAACTGCAATAGCACCAGTATTCCATGTCTCCTTCCTTAAGCCAGTCGTCTCCAGCAGTCCAATGGGCAAACAAATCCAGAGGGGCAAGCAGGAAATCCGTAAACTGGGACAGGCAGGGTTCAGAAACAGGATGGCCATCCGACAGGCAAACAAATCCAGAAAGGGCGCAGGCGAATAGTTCGTGGTCAAGAGAAGACAGGCTAGGTCAGGACGGGATATCGGTAATCGGAAAAACGCTGGAAAACTTGTCATGCACACAAGACACTCTGGCAGGGAACAAACAAATGTGACGGCCTTAAATAGTGAGTGGCTGATGAGGGGATGTGCTTCAGGTGAGGGCAAGGAGAACCAGGTGAGGGTAACGAGCTGATAATGTGGGAGGATCTGAAAAGACAGAGTTAGATAACATGCGGTGAAGATGAAATTAAACATGCAGTGAAGATGAAATTAAACTATGATGTGGTCTATTGTGTGACACATGTAGCTCAACTTAAGACCTACCTTTCATTTCAATAATTGCATATTAAACAAAAAAATTTGTAGCATTTTCAAACTGCCTGTCTGTATATCTCTACCTCTCTCACTTCATTAGACAACCGTCAGTAAACAGCTGGACAAGGCTTTGAAATCACTGAGTTTTTTGTTTGTTTATTTTTTACGAAACATTGGACCATTTGCGACGTAATGATTTCAGGGTCGCTAATGTTGTGGTTCATTTATCACCAGACAACATCATTCCCGGTTTGTTTGATGCTGTAGCTGTTTCGCCTGGCGCTCAGCACTGCATGAACACTAAGTGGACGAGGCGGGGGCGGCGGGGGCTGAGCGCCAAGGAGCATGTCGGGTCAAAATTCTCACAATAACTCAAATAAATGCCCCGTCACATATCAAAACACATTTGCAGGGAATTGATGACAAAGACAGTAATTTTCATTCTTAAATATTGATGAAAATTAGGCTCCATCAGAAGGGGCACTTCTCATCCAGGGTAGAAGGACAGGGGCTTGAGCATCACTAGGGGTCTGTCTGGCTATCTGTGCACGTGCCTGGGAACAAAAAAGATGTAGATCTATGATCCATGTATGCGTTTGCACGCATGGCCAATAAATCTGATTGTGATTACTCAGAGTAGCTCTCTGTTTGGCCCCTTTGTCTGCTGTCTGTGTCACACTGTGTCAAAAAAAAAAAGTAGATTTATGATCCATGTATGCGTTTGCACGCATTGCCAATAAATCTGATTGTGATTACTCAGAGTAGCTCTCTGTTTGGCCCCTTTGTCTGCTGTCTGTGTCAAAAAAAAAAAGTAGATTTATGATCCATGTATGCGTTTGCACGCATTGCCAATAAATCTGATTGTGATTACTCAGAGTAGCTCTCTGTTTGGCCCCTTTGTCTTCTGTCTGTGTCACTATGGCGGCCGCTCGACTGCAGGAAGTGTGCAGGATGTTTGCGGTGCTCCAGTCCCACGCATATACACACATCCATTTATGCCTGCTTGGTGACAAGTTTGCTCAGCTGATGTTTGAGTTTGGTGCTCAGATTAGACAATATGAGTCATGAATTAATAAGTGAATTAACATCATCGCTTATTTCCAAGCTCTCAAATTACTCCGAATATCTATAAACTATTGTGGTGGCGGGCGTGGTTTTGGCTCGTCTGCAGGGGGAGAGAGGGAGTGGCTCAGGGAACGGTACCAGGTGGAGGCAATTGGCCTCAGCTGATTACCCACTGACTGTTTGTATTGTGGTTTTAAAATGCAGTAGAGGCAAGCGGGAGAGCGAGCGACGGTGTGAGAGAGCAAGACGCCGGGAGACCTCGCGGATCAAAGAGAAAAGCATCAATAAAAAGCTCATTGAAACAGAACCCACTGTGTCGTACCGAGTCTGTAGGAAGTACCGAGGAAGGTGCCCCAAGCACCCACACCGTGACAGTGGCGCCCAACGTAGCGGGGGGACGACGAGATGGCACACAACGAGCGACAGCAGGGGATGCCGGCTCAGCCGATCATGGCGCTGGGACAGATGATCGGCGAGCTGGCGGTCATCCAGCGCGACCAAGCAGAGGCCAACCGGCAGTTCCTGGGGGCGCGCTAAGCCCAGGTGGGAAGACAGGCGCTGGCTGGCGGATGAGTGGCCGGTCCGGCTTTTGCCTCTCCTGTCCAGGGAGGCGCAGACGGCGGCCATGGGGCTGCCCCCGGCGGGACTACGCGTCCGTGCATAAGGCGGTAATCGACAGGCTGGGGCTGCTGCCAGAGGACCACCACCGGCGGTTTCGGCAGACCAGGTTGGAGCTAGAGGATCAGCCGTTTGTGTACGGGCAGCGGCTCAAAGACCCCGCGAACAGATGGCTGCTGCCTAACAGCGATAGGGGGTGGAGGCCGTGATGGAGAAGGTGGTGTTGGAGCAGTTTGCGGAGGGTCTCCCGACCCGGACGGCAGCGTGGGTGAAATACCACCGCCCACCGACCCTCAAAGCTGCCATCACCCACGCGGAGGATCACCTGGCGGTATACCCCAGCAGACAGCGGGACCAGGGGGGTACGCCATTCCCGGCCCAACCAGCGCAACGGGGAGGGGGGCAGCAGCAGCAGCCAGTGGAGCGACCCGTGCCGGCCCCACGACGGACATCGTTCCTCTCGGCCCGCTACCCACCGAACGCAGAGAGCACCGGCGCCCTTCCCCACCCACAGAGGGGTTCTCAAATGCCAGGGCAGGAATGTTGGAGGTGCGGGCAGGTGATTTGGGTTGCCGGCGTTCCAACACCCGCCCCTGGTCCGGGAGCGACATACCGCGTTCCGGTAAGAATCCAGAGGGGTAAACGCCAGGCAATGGTGGATTCGGGCTGTACGCAGTCTATGATACACCAGAGCCTGGATCGGCCCGGGGCATAGGTTGATGCATCACGGGTGAAAATAAGGTGTGTGCATGGGGACGTTCACGAGTATCCCATAGTGTCTGTGGAATTTAGGCATAGAGGGAAAAAGCATAGTGTGAAGGTAACGGTTAGCTCTCGCCTGACGCACCCCGTAATTTTGGGAACAGATTGGCCCGGGGTTTAATAAGCTAATGGGGCTGTCCGCGGGGGTGCGTTCACGGCCGACAGGGTTATGCAGTATGTGCGCGGTGCTCAGTGGTGACGTAAGGTCGTCCGACACTGCAGACTGGGAGGGGGAGCCAGCGGAGCCTCCCGTAGAGTCTCCGCCGGTTCCCTGGTTTCACCTACTTTACTAAGTGATTAGGATTGATGGTCAGTTGGTGCGCCCTGACGCAGCGCAATCATATCCACACTTTTCATTGATTAGGGACAGATTGTATAGAGTCGTGACACTCTGACGGGTCAGGAAAACACCCAATTGCTGTTGCCGAAAAGCCGTCGGGAAATTATTTTCCAGGCGGCTCATGGCTCATACAACCCGATGGCGGGGCATATGGGGTACGGGAAAACACCAGACCGGATAATGACCCGATTTTATTGGCCAGGCATATGGGGGGATGCCCTGACACTCAGGACGTCCGGAGTGTCAATTAGTGAACCACCCGGCCATTCCGAGGGGGCCGTTGCGTCCTTTACCGTTGGTAGAGGTCCTGTTCGAACGAATCGGCATGGACCTCATCGGGCCATTTCACCGGCGCACACGCGGATATCGCTTTGTGTTAGTCATTATGGATTATGGAACGCGTTATCCGGAGGCAGTGCCATTGCGCAATATCTCTGCTAAGAGCTTTGCGCAGGCTCTGTTCCAGGTCATTTCCCGAGTTGGAATCCCTAAGGAGAGGACTGACCAGGGCACCTCGTTCATGTCGCGCACACAGAGAACTTTACGGGTTACTGGGCATTAAGTCCATTCGTACTAGCGTGTATCACCCGCGTATGAATAAGACTCTGAAGTCCATGATCCATAAATGTATTAGCGAAGATGAACGTAATTTGGATAACTGGCTTGATCCTCTGTTGTTTGCAGTGCGGGAGGTTCCTCAGGCCTCCACGGGATTTTATCCCTATGAACTTTGTTTGGCAGGACACCTAGGGGGGTGCTGGACCTGATTAAAGAAAACTGGGAGGAAGGTCCGAGCCCTGGCAAGAACGAGATCCAGTACGTCCTGGACCTGCGGGCAAAGCTCCACACACTGGGTAGGATGTCACGGGGGAATTTCCTCCGGGCCCAAGAACGGCAACAGGCTGTGACAATTCACACCGGGAGAAAAGGTACTTGTGTTACTTCCTTCTTCCAACTCTAAACTCCTGGCTAAGTGGCAAGGGCCCTTTGAGGTCACGCGGCAGGTGGGGGATGTCTACTATGAGGTGGTGCGGTCTGACCGGGGCAGAGCTACGCAAATATACCACCTAAACATCCTGAAAGCCTGGAGGGAGGCGGAGTCCGTTGCCCTTGTGTCCGCGGTATCAGAAAGAGAAGAGCCGGAGGTGCCAAAAGCGGCTAATCCCACACCGCTCCCGTACAACGTCTCTCCGAGGACCAGAGAACGAACATTGCCCAGTTGCAGAAAAAGTTTGCCGATGTGTTCTCCCCCCTGCCAGGCTGGACCGACCTGATAGTTCACCCAATTGAGACTCCCCCGGGGGTGACGGTAAGATCACAACCCTACAGGATGCCCGAACACACAAGAAAAGTGGTTCGGGGGGAATTGGCTAGTATGTTGGAGATGGGGGTAATAGAAGAGTCCAACAGCGCCTGGTGTAGCTCCATCGTTCGTGTGGCTAAGAATGATGGGTCGGTACGGTTCTGTGTGGACTATCACAGGGTGAATGTGTCACGATTTGATGCCTTGTCGTGCCACCTACATGCTTACGCGCATGTAGGTGGGTGACAAAAATAGACTAAGAAGAAGACCGAAGAGCCCGCAAACGATCCACGCCGCTAACGGAACGTTGTAGGAAAATATCCATGCTTTGCAGCAAGAGGTCGCAACCCAATATCTCAAAAAGTAAGTTCTTTATATTCATATATGTTGGAGTAATTTGTCGACTTGAGCCGTGTTTTCAAACAGTAACGTAAAATCACAAGCCTGTTTACTCTGCCTGTGTACTTAAAGCCAGTAGTCGAGTTTAAAAAAGAAATCCGGAGGGATTGTCAGTTTTTTTCCCCTTAAAAAAAGACTGTTGGGGATTGTAATTACTTGTGGCCCTCGTGAAATTCCTGCCCTTGTTTCTACATAAAAAATAACTTCATTACATTAAAAGATGACCGACGGCCTTCAGAATTTCAGTAATTGTGTTTTTAGTGACGTGAGTTAATCTCAGCTAGCTTGGAAGCTACACGGCTAGCCGCTCCCTCTAGCATCAAGCATCGACCAATTGAAAATAACAAGCATGTTGCATGTATTATATTGCATGTTTGTGTGCGCAGTTGTGCCCCCAGCACGCGTTATAATTATATGACCTTATTTCATCATAAGTTATGTATTTACCTGGAGGGGTTGGGGAGTGGCAGTTTTATAGGAGGTATAATTTTGATCGTTTTACTCACGATGCTACAGCCAATGAGAGTACCTGCTCGCAGTTGAGTGAATTTAATCAAACTTCATGGCGGGTGGGGGAGGAGAGAAATAAGAACGTGTATGAAGTTATGACGTGTGTGTGTGTGTTTTTGATTGAGACACCTGACTGCTAAATATTTTATTTCACAGGTTCACTGTCCTTGTTGCATATCTTACATTCAAAGGCTCTGTAATGGGTAAGTACACACATTTATATAAGCCCTAAATGTGCATCTTCATTTGCCTTAAGATACATTTTAACCCCATGGGGACGGATAGGGTATCTATGACATATTCTAGCCGATCAAAAGGACTTGTGGGAGCGAGATAACAGAAAGAGCTGTGTGCGTAGAACAGAGTGCAGGAGCACACAGAGCCGAGTGACAGAATAACTTCATAAATACTATTTTTATTGAATGACCGGTTCATCTGAACTTTCTGGAGAGTCTGTGCTTTGCTAAGTGGCATGTTTGAGGAAAATGAGGCAAAAACGCATGTTACCTTTTGTATTGAAAGGGCATTATTTTATTCTTCACATATTTGGTTGAAAAACTGCACATTTATGTCAGGCAAAGGGATTAAAAAATAATATTTTCATTTAAAAACTCTTCAGTAGTACTGTTTGAGGTGTGATTCAGAGTAAAATATGACGAATATACTTTTTTTTTTATTCTTTAGTGTATTGTAGATTTTTCACTCATACTTCTTTTAAAAAGCACATTATATGTATATCATGACTTTGGTGCCTATATTTAGGAGAACCTAAGTCATGGTGTTCCATATACATTAGGAATTGTTTATAAGCCCAAATGTTAAAGTTGAAAGTTGAAAATGGCTTAGTCCTATGGATTTATTTGGAAATGATGGCATATTTCTATCTTGTATAGAATTTTGGTAGGTGCAGTGAGCCTTTTTGTCCTGACTCACATTTTGGGGATGAATGATATGACTAATGGTCTTGATGTATGTTGCAGGATTAGGTCCAGAGAATGTGGAGCTGTAAGGGGTGCACAGAAACTGTATCAAGTAGGTCCAAGCTTTTACATCACTACAAGTTAAAGCATCCACATTTTGGACGTAGTTCTCGCTATCCATGTACATACCAGCACAGTCCATGCACATTTAAGATGTGGAATGCCCTTATTGTCCACCAAAGTAAAATCCACACCGCAGGGGTCCCTCACAAAAAAGGAGCTATATTCAGTTGTCACATTTGTAGTTGTACTGATTTAGCATCAGAGAAGGATTATTTTTCTCATATAAATGGACATCTCAAACAAAAGGAGACATTCATTTGTATGTATTTAGGATGTGACTTTTAAGACAAACATTTATTGTACTTTTAAATCACATAAAAACCGAAAACACTCATCACACACTAGTTGATTTTAAACCATCTGCCAACAAATTGGAAGCAAACAGTGAGGAGTGTGTTGAACAGTCAGATACTTCCATTCGTTCAAACAGTCATTCTCAAGACTTGCATAAGGTCATTGAGCATAGATTTGCCGCAGCTTTGCTGAAGTTAGAAAATTTGGTCCATGTACCCACTTCAGCTGTAGATAAATTTCTTGAGGAACTCCATCATTTGATCTGTTCTGCCCCTGTGCCATTATCTTGTGACATTGTGAGTGACATCTTTCATCAGAGAAACCTCTCTGTTGATGAACTTGTAATTAGAGAAACTGTTAATGCAATTTGTTCTGGTAATCCAGTGCAAAGGTCCATACAAAAAGGTGTCTCTCTAAGTACAGCCTATCTGCGTAAGGAGTATTGCAAAAGAAACTTTGGGGTTATAGCGCATTCTTGATGCTGAAAACAAACGCAGTTTCCATTATGTCCCAATATTGAAATCCTTACAGCAGCTGTTAAATAGAGGGGACATTGTTACAAAAGTTGTTGAGGGTCATCAAAGACAGGAAGGCACAAATTCTGGTGGGACACATCAGTACAGAACCTCAAGGGACAGCTAGCTATTTAAGAAAAATTGTTTCTTTGCTGGAGAAAAGCAAAGGATCATCCTAAATTTTTATGTTGATGACTTTGAAACTTCTAACCCACTTGGCACGTCACGAAAGAAGCATAAGCTCTGTGCTGTTTGGGTATTGGCTAACTTGAATTACTGAAAATCAATTAAATAGAAATATTAGTTGACTTTTTTCCCACCATACTATTTTTATACTGGATTTGACATTTTAAATTTTATTGATTGTGATTAATATCCTTTGTGTTTCTGCAGAATAAAGGGCTTTGAAGATGGCCATGGCTGTGATCGTGAAGATCTTACTGACTGATGGCATGGAGTCTTGCACATGGACTCCCTGAATCTCTTGAAGACCTTCTGGCTGAAGTAAAAAAACAGTGTAACCTTCAGGGAAACATCAGACCTCAGTTTATGGACTCGTTTGGGAATGAGTTTATGAATCCAACTTCAGTTTCAGAGGTGGAGGACAGAGGGACTCTAAGAATAATTGATTTGTCAACACCCACAATGCAGCATGAGAGCTCTACAGTTCTACCCCTCCAACCATCAAGTCCTATCGCATCAAAAGAGTCTTCATCGCTATCAGATGAACTTGTGGATACAGATATACGGTCATCAAATGAGTCTACAAGCTCACGGTCCTCCTGGCCAGCTGTGTTTCATGTACCCAAGTTCTCCTATGATGCAGAATTAAAACTTCAGCGGGCAGGTTTAGTCTACATTCAAAATGGCACTGTACTCATTCCAGATCCCAAGTTGAAGTCTGCCATCCTTGATGGGTTAGTGCAGGAAATTGTGCAGTATAAAGTCTATGTTAGTGATATGGAGATGGAGATGGAACAAGTAGCCCAGAGTCTCATCAAGAAACATCCATGTCTAACTGAGAAGGGGTCCAGTACTGGATATGGTGGATGGAAGATGAGGTTGAAATATAAACTAACTACTGCACACAACTGAGAAAACTGGGATGCCCAGAAGTGACTGTGAACTCTTTGAAAAACAAACCTGTTGGAAAGCGCAGTGCAGCCTTTGGCATCAAAAAGGCAAAGAGAGCAGAAGTTAATTTTTGCCCCACATACCCATCAGCTGAAACTGAGGAGAGTCTACGAGCCATGTGGAAATCTTTACTCTTGGATGTAAAGAAGAGGAACAACCGAGAAGCTGTGAAGCTTAATATGTGTGACGACCCCTGCTGTGGAGGCAGCAGCCTTCCAATGAAATTTGGTTTTGGTGATTGAAGGCACCTGGGCCGGGTACCCTGTGATTAGAAAGCCCCGTATTCATTCATTCTGTCGCTCTCTCCTCTCTCCAGCAGATGTCCGTTGTGGTAGGGCAGCCGCTTGTTGAATCCTGTTTCCTTTTGGTTAAAAGCCCTTGACAACACCCATCATTTACACTTTACCCTCATGCACATCCTACACTACTGATAATACTGACATTCACATCCATCTGGAATGGTTGTGGCTTTTTGTCATTGTTGTGTTAAATAAAGAATATGTTACACCTCGGAAACCAGTGCAACTCCAATCTTGTCATGGCCCAAAGAGCCAGGTCGTGACAATATGGAAAAGACTTTTGCATATAGAAGACATGAGGTTGTGCGTGATGCACCGATGGTAGATTATTTCATGGCAAGATGGCCTGCTTTGTTCGAAGTCAGTGAGGTAAGGCTGATCTCATGCTGTTTTTGTTTTTTTTGTACTGTCAAATTGCTATTATACATAATAGTACATCATGTTATGTCTATGCCTCATCTTACTCTATTGTCCTGCTTTTGCTTTTGTGTGATGGTGACAGTTCTGTGCTTTTTTTAGATCAACGCTGAATTCAGAGAATTCCCACCGTTCCCCTTCAGTCCAGTCTCAGCTAGACCTCCACTCTGACAATCTGACAAGGCTGTTCCAAAAGAGGGGAGGAAATCTAGGGGAAAAGCTCAAAACAGTCACTGCACAAGTTGCTAATGTAAGTGATGCCTCCTACAGTCATAGAAATGTATCTATGTTCTACCTCTTCTGTAAGTCTCTTCAATCTTCCTCCACCATGGAGTACATGGCAAGGCTTGCACAATCATAGGAAACTTGAGACAAATACTCTGCACCCTTAGGACAGTTTATACCAATGGATGTTGTTAAGTTAAGGCACATGAGCTGAATTAAGAGACTAATCTAGAAAATGTCCTTTCAGTGTGATGATGTGGATCATTAAAGGACTCTGTGTCTACATGGGCGAAGATCCAGTTAACCTTCTACATGAATATGTGGTATGTATATGAATCCGTGCTTATACTCTTCTTCCGCTCTTCTCTAATTCTCATTCTGGATTACTTGTGCTGAAATTATTTATTAATCAAAATCATATTAATAATTTTCATCATCAATGGCTTACTGTTTCATACAAAAAAATCCATAGTGTTTTTTTGTTGATGCTAAAATAACTTCGGTAGGATGAACGGTTCTCAAGACTTTTGTCATAGCTCAGCATCTGTCTCATCTGTGTGTGCTGAAAGAGAATCCTGTGTTGATACACGGCCATCTGTGTTGCACATAAATGCAACAAAGATGGCTCATGGAACAGTTAATGCTTCATGTTTATATTTGCCTTATTATATTTGACACTAACTTTCACCTTCTCTAGATAGTGTCACTGTTTTATAATATATCATGTCCTTGATGGAGCTTGGTGAAAAGTTTTGATTTGGCTAACTGGTTTATTTACCTTTTTGTCTGTTTAATACAGAGCCTGGGTAACCACACCATCAATGAGGCCATTGAAGACACCACTGTTAGGATGTTCTTTGACAACAAAGATCCCTCCAGTGATGAAGTAGAGGACATTGGTATTGTTCTTGAACCTCAACTACCTTCATGTAAGAACCATTATTGTCCTTGCAAATGTAGATCTTGTGCTTAAACTAAATTTGGTTTTGAAAATAAAGTAATACAATTAAGTAATGGCTTGCTTTCCCACCACTACTATGTCAGTTAAGAATGTGCAAAATCCCCAAATTACCTCCAAATTTGAAAATGGGGTAAACTGTTGGAGGTCTATTCAACACATCTGACAAATGCTGACACTTAAATGAAAAAGGCACATGACCCTGAGAAAAAAAAAAATACACTACACTTGGTAGCAGCCCATCACAGAACATGCAGGTGACTGGTTCCAATAATCCTACTGAAAGTCCAATGAAAAAGCAGCAATGGTCCATATTCCAAAACAAGATGGCGAAACTGTTGTATCCATTTTGCCATTAGATGGCAACAGTTCACTGATGGAGTCTGTTTTTGAGAGCCTAAGCTTTCTTTGACAGTGTGTTGCCGTCCAGCTCCATCACAACCTTCTTGAGCACTTCGAACGAGTACTTAAGTTCAGGAGGGTAGTTGAGGTTCAAGGCATACATTAGGCCAAACAACATGGCAGCAGCTAAGGCAACGTTATCCAGACCATGCAGTACCACCTGGCCCTCCAGGACAATCCCAATGTTCTCTGGTCCATCAGTGGCATCTGTGGGTTTCACAACACCTATTCCCAGCGTGGTCTCCTCAATGGCTCATTGGTTCAGGTCTACATCTTCTGCCTGCAGAGTGCACATTCACAAAAAGAGTCATTTGAGAGAAAATAAAAACACTTAAAACCTAAATCTATCATGCCCTTAAAACATCATACTATTTAACGAGTATCTGCGTTAACTGATAAGTTTCCTCAAATAATGGTCTGGGCCTTTGTTTACCTCAGCAGCAAAGGGCACCAGGTCTGCAGTAAGTCCTATTTTTTTTATTATAGTCTACATTAAAGCAGATCTACATTGGCATTCAGGAACTTTAACTGGTTAACCGCTGTTAAGTAAGAAATGTAGCCAGTACCAAAGCAATACTTGATAATATTTTTTATAAAAAGGTCATAGTATTTTATGTAACTAGAAGGACCGTCAGTAAAATATTTTTGAATTGTACTACAATTTAATGGAATACCAAGGTCAGTGACTAACAATTGTCATTATTAGTTGATCTATTGTTTTCAATGGTTACCCATCATAAAAATTCCCACAACACAAAGCAACATAACATGATAGTGATAAATACATTTTGTGTTTAATTTCTAGCTCATATTTTAAGACATTTCACTCTACTTGTCTTATAAATGTAAAAATGGATATTCACAAAAAACATTAATTTTTTAATTTCAGTTTTCAACATATTTTAGGCTACTACCAAACATAAACTAATTTTAGACCACTTTAAAATTCAAAAACACTACCATACGGATATCTAAATAATTGGCTAGCTGTTCTGTTTCTTCAATAACTAGATGTTTTAGAAGTTCATGAAGTATTTAACATAAATCTCAAAAGTATTCTCTCACTAGATTTTCTGGATCCTCATTGAGGTACACACACCGACCCTTGAGTACGCATTCCCGCCCAACATAAACATCATCATCCTAAGTAAAGGGAAATAAGCAGAACAAGTCATGGGGTTAGAGGCCATAGCTCTATCAGATGTGTACAAATCAATAGCCCCACCTCCACACAAAAAATGCATTCTTACTTGACTCATATCTGCCGCTTGCCTATCTGTCCTCTTTTTTCGAAGATCCACCTTTTTCAATGGAAGGCCGAATCGCGTAAAAAAAGTCACGGTTATAAAAATACCTGTGTTCGTGTGGACAGGGCCTAAGTCAATAATGCGCGAAAAACTCCCATGCTGGTATAACCGAGCAGTTTAACGTTACCTTTTTCTCAGCTTGATTTAGAAAACATGAACATTCACGTTCCTGACTTTATCAAGTGTTGCGTTCTAATTAATAAGCACAGAGCAAATTTGTGCACGGTCAGCAAAAAAACTGCATTAAACATTTGCCTTAACTACTAGCTTAAGATAACCTAGCTAATTAATAAGTTGACCATGTGGTATAATTTAAGTCTGTACTTATACATTTAAAATTACCTTTCAAGAATGACAGTTACAATTAAGATAAAAGTTGCCCTCACTAGCATAATGCGAGTAGAAACATTAGCTAACCTTAGCATTGCTTGTTTTTGCTAGTTTAAAAACCTCTGCTCAGCAAATATAATGCCTCGAACAGGAATATCTTTAGCATAACGTTAGCTAACGCTAGCGAGTAGCAACATTAGCATTACCATTGACTATCCATGTAGCGAGTGGTAACGTTACCACTAATGTACGTTAGGTAACTGACTGACATTGACTAATTCCTGCTCAATGTTATACTGGGAGATAAAAACCTCAGCTTAGTCAAAATTGTAGTCAAACGGGACTGCGTCTGTCTTTGACAAATAAATGACACAGTGTTATTAACTTCACCGTGTGAAGAGCTGTCCAGACTTTTATGGTCCAGACGGATGAATTCCTGACTGGATTGAAAAAATGGCGCACAAAGATTTCCCTCAAAAACCTGCTCCTAATGGGCGGAGTTTCCAGACTAAACATAACAACTTCCTTTCTTTATAGACAAGTTTCCTGAGTGAAATAAGCGGGCCGCCATTGGCCTTTCACTCTGCCAACAACTTCCGGTTGTGTCTGCAAAGCACTTCCGGTTAGCGAGTTAGCGTCTTTTACGGTCTTTGGTTAGCGTGCAGAAAAAGTAAACTATGGATGGTGTTACACGCCGACACGGCTCCGGGACATATTGTGCTGTTCACGGTTGCAACAACTCGTGGCGATTGCTGAATGTTTGGTCGGAAGGAGAATGTTTCGACCAACCATTTACAAGGGAGTAAAATGCTATATATTTGCACTCAAATACGGACGGCTTATCATTCGCGGAAATCAACACAGTCTACTAATTATTACGCAGACGAATGTCAGCTTTTTCATAGAAAAAAAAGTAAGTTAATACCTTTATCCATTCCGAAGCTATTAATAGATATGTCAGGGGTGCGCACTTTGACGCTCGTCAGTCGACTTTGAAGGGTTAAAGCATGCTTTTAGTGCAGGCAGGCTAGAAGGGATTACTTTTTCTTTTTATTACTCTTCGTGTTCTGTTATATATTAACACACGGATACATACAAACATCTTAATACAAGCATAAGATGGGCTAACGTGCCTTCCAAAGCACGGCGGCTGCATGGCTACAGGTACAGCCTGCAGTCTCCACATCTTCCGTCTTGGTAACCAAAACCCAGGCGTAATGCGCTGAATTGTTAACGGACTGGCTTGGTTGAACATCGGCCTTTTATATGCCTATATCGTGTAAAAGTAGACAGCCCACTTTGTCGGAATGGAGGTACTGAAACGCCTCTGAGCTTATCAGGTTATTAATTGCATTCCCATCCACCGCCATGGAATCAATAAAATAAGAAAATATCTTGGATGTTGTGATGCTGGGCCATATCGACATGTTGTCCGCCCATGATGTTACCTTACTTTGATGCGGAATGGTCAAAACACCATTTTTAACAAGATTTTTGGTCGAATGTTGCCATTCCAAAGCCATTTTTACACCACTACTAAGCCTGCGCTGGAACTTCTTGGCAGAAACAGGAAGTAAACCGGAAGTCCCCGGGAAACTTGTCTATAACATGACTGAAACTTAAAAATTAAACATCCCTGAAGATTACAAGAATTCTACACGATTTACATATGTTTAGAGGAGGAACATAAATCAATTGTGTTATGTATACGAACTGTTCATTTGTAAAGTGAACAACCCCCATTTCCCTCTTTTTTTAGTGCACAGCGTGACAACTATGTATTATATGATGAGAGTGGGCTTTTACAGCCCACCGGTACCTGAGGGATGGGTTTATGAAGGGCTGTTCGGGCCATGATGCAACCACAACAGGTTTGTGCACGCCTCAGCATAGCAGGCCGCCAACGCATGCATGGCCCTCTTTTGGTCGGGTCTCAACACACTGAGTTGTAGCTTCTATTCTAATAATATTAAATAAATAGTAAGTATGTGCATTGGGGTGCTCTCAGTGTAATGATTTCCTATATGGACATCATCATCATGTGTGTCTGTCATTAAGACATGCCGAAACACCTACTGTTTTTTGCCGGGCTATTATTGATGACCTTGAATTATCATAAATGGGAAGTTTCCGAACCACAAAGGATCCAAGACGCGCTGTTGAATGTACAGAAGTTGCAGTTTCACACAAGCTCACTGTGTTTTAACTGAAGTGAAAGTAATCTTACACAGTGCATTGCTTTTATTTAGCCATGACTGTATCGTGCTTGTGGAAATAGTCCCAAATAAGGATTTATGTAGTCGTAGAAATAATTAAATCAATGTGTTTTGATGGAGATTAGAGTCACATGTCCACACAAACAAGTGAAATCAAATGTATTGTGTCAAACATGATGTTGGTTGTCCCTGCAGTGGTCCTGCCGTACACTTACTTGCTGTTGTGTCAAACCTGTGTTGCCTTCAGATAGGAACTCTTTGTTTCATGTGGCATGTGTGTTTGCTCTCAATTATCTCGAGAGAGATCTCTTCCGTCTGCCAACTACTTTCACACCTCTACTACCACCCCCCCCCCCCAACAGTGTCTGAATGTGGTTGTAATGTGCCCATGCAGAGAGAACATATAGACGTGTTCCTCTTTTACAACAGCATTTCTGTCTTCCCGACGGCAGCCGGTATCAATGGAGCCCCTGCTAACTGCTGGTCTGAGGGCTGCGCTCGTCTTCATCCTCCTCCTCTCTGCGGGTAAGATGAATGGATTGATGACGTTATAAAGGTACCGGAGCTGCCAATGCAGTGACTGACATCACGACAGCAACAGGTCCTGGATCTGTGCCTCCAGGACGAGGAGGTCGACTGAGTCAGAGCAGGAAGGCAGCGTGGAAGAAAACCGATAACAGCCTGACAGTTATTTTATGTAATGTTCTGGTAAAGTGGAAAATATTAAATTGATCAATTCACACGATCTAGCAGTGAGGACCGTTTAATGCTTGCAATGATTAACATGTTTGTATTAGAAATTCCGACAGTTCCAGAATGTTTACACTATTTTCAAATTCATTACAAAATGCTTAAGTGATGTCTGAAGGCTGGCGCATGCTTCTGCGTCTGTGTTCCGTTTTCTCCCCACGAAAAGGGCAACCCGGCATACATAGGACATTACTCAGGATTCCTCATTTGTTTGTTTATTTTGATCAAAGGGGAACCAGGTAATAAACCTGCAATAAGAAATGCAACGTTTCAATTTCCATGTGCATAGTACAACCAACACAGCTCCCCAGTTCTTTATTTGTATTTTGAATAATGTTAGAGATAAACATTAATATACTATAATAACAATAATAATAAGCCACCATCATCATAGTTTCATTATTTGCCTGTACATTCAAACATTATGCACCACATTCCCAATGCATGCAGTCTTTCCTTAGCAGGAAACTACCGCTGGAAACTACAACTACCAAAATGCCCCACGGCAAACTAGGAAGTACCTACGTTACATACCAGTCCGCAATTCATACTTTAAACATAAAAAGATAAAGAAAGTAAACACAGCAGGAACATATTATGGCAACATCAGACAACATGATGCGTACATCATAAAGCAGACAAGAAAACATTGGACATTAAGAGAGCTTACCAAGTGGCTGCACACCGGGTTGAAAGTCAAATTCACCATTCAACTGGCTGCTCGCACTTCGACTACTGGTTATATTTCACATCCTGTATCGTATGTTCTTTTATAATACGGGGGGAGATGAAATCAAGTGTTCTGATTGGTTGAGAGTCACGGTGTGTACTGAATTGAGCCATAATGTAATGTCACCTGTTTAGATTGACCTGAGCATTTGTCATTTCAGTTTTCAGCTCGGTGGCGATCGCCTAAAAACAGCTTGGTGGCGATTGCTTAAAAACAGCTCTTAACGAAAATTACGTTAAGTCCCTTCGACTATCCTTCTGGAAAAACATCTCTATGACTTTGGTGTAAAAGTCCCCTTTATATTTTCAACAGTCTTTGTCTCCATAGACATTATTGCTCGGGGTGAAAGTGGTCTTTGGTCGGTCCGATTCAGACTGTGTTTTCAGTTTTCAAGGACTGATAATGTGCACTTGACGTTCGCTAATTGAATGTTTTAGCTAGCACATGCTAACTACCCCATCAGTCTAATACGTGAAGAAGAAAAACTAGACCTCTAAAACAGCAGAAGGAGCCTGTGTGCTCACACACGCCCCCTTCAGGCAGGCAGAGGTACTGACTCCTCTGCCGCAGCAGTGACAAGCAGGAAGGGAAGGTGTCAGTCCAGCTGCCTCCTTACTGCTTTTTAACTGCGCCGTTATGTCAGATTAGGAGGAAATGCAGGTCCCAGACTATGGGATGGTAGGACATGTGATAAAACTGTGTACAAACAATACATTGGTGACATAGAGACATTAATTGCACATGCTCAAATTGAGCAAAAACATGAGCAGCTCAACCGGGTTCATGCGGGATTGCGCAATCCAAGAGGTTTGCCTCGCTGCCGCCTCCCCGTATTTGAAAAGGAAATTACACAAATTCAGCGATTTTGACTATAACAATCATCGGATTGATTGGAATCTAATGATTACACTTTGTGGCAGACCGGGGGGCGTGGAGGCGAGATTTCAGGAATGGACACACCAGTCAGATAACAAAATAAAGATCCTTTTAATTGATAACTTCGGGGAAGGGGCGGGGGTCAAGAGGCGTAAAAAAAGGCGATAATTCCAGCAGGTCATCTCCCATGCTGACGGTGTTCTTCCTTCTCCTGCTTTGACGTTCAGCCATCCTCTATATGAGTCACCTCTTAATTGGGTTGATTGGCTGCAGGTGTTCCCAATGCTAGTTGCACCCCATGCACTGGGTAATACTATCACCTCTCCAAACCTGGAGCCCAACCTTGGCTCGGGCCCCTCCTCCTGGTTTGCCACAACTTCTATCACAGATCAGTGGATTTTTTAATAATAATTTCTTTTCACATTTCATAATGACACAAGGGGAGGCACTGCCTCCATTAACTGCACGTCACTGGAAGGATTGAAACAAGAAGGAACTCGCGGCAAGAACTAAGGCTGGTGAAGTTGTGTGATTTGATTAAGAGCTTCTAATTTCCTCCAGGACGCTTTTTTGGGGGGCTGGAAACAAAATATCTCAGTTGGCTGTGCTACGACAGAATATGACATGACATTGCGACATAAACATTTTTTTTGCCTTCATTTGCAACTGGTGTTTTTTGGTCAACTCGCATGCTCTGCGCCTCCCTAGCAGGCCATGAGGGCCCCTGACCTTACAACACGCTCCCATCCCTCTGAAACATTTATTAAGGATTAATCATACATGTAGTAGTGCAACATATCTAAATAGACCTGTGGTTTAAAAGTCTCTATAGACACTTACTAGGACTCGTTTAGAGCTGTTCAACAAACGTGCGAACCAAAGATAACAGAGAAGCCACAAGTTTCCTCTGAGGAGGCGATGATCTCGTCCCATTGTCACGTACATTTGCCTTTTAATCTAAACACAGCGTTTGCTGTGTTTCTGTGCATCTGTAACAGTATAACATATCTTTGGTGATCAAACTGTAATTCATCATCCAATTGCCGTGGTGAGTTGAATTCATATTTCATGAGCGAGAGAGTGGAAGCTGAAACATACATGAAACCAAATATCTATAATCAACCTTTTAATAACAAAACCTCCTAAGCAGGAACAACTAGCATTCTGCTTCTTGCTCATGTTTGCCCCATGGGGGGTAATACACGCTTCCCCCCGGGTTCCAACTCGGGGCTTTGCTGCTCTGTTGTGTGTTTGATGCAATGCTTCAACATCAATGTTGTTGCTAATTACTGACATGCCCTACACTATGATTAAATAAATCCCCTCGGCATTAGGGATACTTCAAACAATGACGTAGCATTTAAAAAGTTGCATTTCTAAAAATGAATGAATATTTGGGACTAAAGTATTGTGAATGCTTTGACTCAGACATCAGAGCAATTTAGTTTGAATCGAATATACTTCAAGAAAAAACAACACCAAGCCACCTTTTGCCTCTTGTCCCCTTCAGGTACAAGTGAACATGATCTATACCTGAGTTTTTGTGGGACTTGGCGCCATGACAGCGGCGCCCTGAGCCTAATCGTCAACCTCTCCACGGGCTGCAGTGAGATCTCCATCTCAGCGGGGCAGAGCTCCTTGTCCATCGACGGGCAGATCACGGCTGGGTGCAGCCGGTCCGAAGTGATTCCCCTCAAGCAGCTGGGCCTCGAGTCCCAGGAGGAGACTCGCTTCTGTCTGTACTGGGAGCCACTGCTGGACCAGTTGAAGCTGCAGGTCAAAAGAGTTCCCATGCAGTGGAAGACCTAAAAACACGTTTCTCTCCTTCCGAAACGGAGGTTCATTTCATGTCTCCTTTCGCTGTGCAGGTGGGAGGGAAGAACCTGAGTCTGTGCTGGCCCAGAAGTGTGCAGGGCCTCTGCTGCACCGATCTGTCCAACAGCGGCAAGGCACCCGTGGCAATCTATGGCATCACCGATGGAACCATCAAGAACGATTTGTTCACGCACGAAACGCTGGAAGCATACAAGTTCATAGGAGAGTCCACCGACTGCAGTAAGGGAGAACGAATGTGCAGCATTAAGCAGTGTTTTCCACAGGGACTCGTTAAACATGTACACTGTAAAATGTAATTGTTGACTTTACTTAAAAAAATGAGTGCCCTTAACTAATTTCTGCTTAATTTGTTGACCATACTGAAGATAACTTAGTAAAGTTACTTTCTGCTCCGGAAAGTTATGAAACTTTCAAGTAACGTTTACTTAAAAACCCGGAGATACTCGGCTGCACTCGGCTCTAATACGCATGCGCACTCGACCACCGAAGACGTGATTTCCTTTGAGGCGGCTGCTGGAAGCGGGAAAAAAGCGCTGCTCGGTCCAGAAGGTAAGTTTCAGCTAACGTCACATGATCAAATGTTACCGTTTACTGGCACCGTTCTACCTAGCAAACTTACTCGTCCATTTGCCATATTATTCACGTGTTAGTCAACGTTAGTTTTGGGGGGTTAACTTTTATCTCTTCGATTTTCAAAGCTAACGTTAGCCGTTAACAGTTAAGCTAACGTTAGCTTGACCGTCAGTGTGGAACCTTCTAGAATAAATGTAACGTTGAATATAACAACAACTTGCGTTTCAGAATACTCTGAATGCTTATTAGCAGGGGTAAGAAGGTATTTTTGTTAGCTTTTTTATTGTTTGTCTCCGACTGTTTTCTACGGTGCAGCAAAACGTGACTTCAAAGAAGCGACCTCACCGGGAAACATACTCCCGTTCATCAATTTAACGTTAGTAACGTTAACTTGCACTGCACTTATACGACTTATTCACTTAGCGCTATTACATTTGATGTTAACGTTAGTTAACCGAAACATGTATTAACTTATTTAACGTCCGACAGGACAGTAGCGGTTATTAACGTAATAACGGTTAAACAACGTGGCCGCCTAACGCACGGTTATTAATTACCGCACCGCATTGTCTGAGTCACGGTAGTCATTGCGTAAAGACAAATGTAACGTTAAAAAAAACCTTCTATTTTAATACTTACGAAATTTAGCCAAAATGCAAAAAGGAACCTTTAAGCTCTCCCATCCCATGATTGCTTTTGTTGTTTCTTTTGCAGCTTTGCAGAACAAACGTAAATGGAAGTGTTGGCCAGCAACTTCAGGAATATCTGCAACAAGTCACTACAGCAGTAAGTTTCTCAAGCAAAGTAATGCTAATCATGGAGTGACCAAAGTAATGCCAGCGCATGCATAGCTGTCAATCTTAATAATTATGTGTGTTTGAATTTTTTTCAGGGTACAGATGTTACTGGGATGCAAACAGCAGTCCTCCGTGGCCTTCCTGTCATCCTTGGAGATGAGAACACAGACTTCTTTAAGACATGCTTTCTAAGTAGACTTTACTCAAAATTATTATCGGTATGTGTTTCCTCTGGTAATCTTTTGGTATATGTTACTTATCTTCCAATTGGTGCAGCTATACTTTATTTTGGTGCAGGATCAGGGCCCTTTAGTATCTACTCTCTTTCCCCACTCATTCTGAATAAGTGTCTTCTCTTACTTGATTATCTAATAATATCTAAATCAATTGCTGTGTCTCTTCAATGCTCCGATTAGTGAAATTTGGTGAGCATTGTTTTTCTGTGAGGCATAAACATATAACTTATGTGTTCTACCATAGAAATGCAATTTGACATGCAATTGTGGTTTTAATGCTGCTATTGTTTTTAGGACTCTCGAGACATGTCGCACACATTCATGGGGATCCTGACAGTGATTGCCGAAGACGGTGCCGCCTCTCTTCACTCGCTGCACCTTGAATCCACAACTACTGCCGTCATTTTGGAAGGAACACTGGTGATAAATTTCCCATCAAAATCTGCCACATCCCATGTGCCTGCTACCCTCCGATACCGAGGAACATCTTTGGGTTTGTTCATAGAGTGCTTCTCTCACTTGGACCAAAATCCCTCAAACCCAAACTACAATCACTCAAAAACCTACTAATGCAGTGAGGGGTTGTCTTCATGATGTTTATGGTCTGTGATATGCTGCGTTAGACCCAAGACCTTCACCCTTACTCTTTACTATGGAAAATGTTTTGTTCATGTTGTCCAGACATTGTCCATCTGTTTGTTACAAACCATAGTCCTAACTTTTCATGATTCAAGGCATGCTATTTTCATATTGTGAGTAATTTCTTTTTTTTTGCAAAAGTTTAGTTCATTCTAATATTTTAATACAACAAACAAGTAACAGAACATTGATTCATATTTGATTAATTGCCTTTAGTCTTACAGTTTAAATTGGATAGGACAGACTTTTTTTCTGTGGGTGTGGTGGCATCTTTCAAATGCCATTGGCACTAAAAAGAGAGGCAATCAGTTAATTTTATTGGAATGTAAAGATATTTTAAAAGTTTCAGCAAAATGTCCACATTTCAAAACATGTCATTTTTAATTGTTTTATTTTTAATCACGTTTTAAGAAAATGTGTGAGGAACTTCCTTAGAAATAAACTTTGTCTTCCATTATAACTGTTCTGTCTTTGTTTTCGAAGCTTACAGTTTCTAGTTCAGCTTACTTGAAAGTTTTGAGGGCAATTGGTTTCCTGATTATTTCTTAGTAAAGAGAATAGTTGGATTAGTATAAGTAAATTAACTTTTTCTTATTAGTACTGCTTACTTAATATAACCCAGATCTTTAAGTTGTCTGAACTGACTTATTTATTGTCAACATAATTAATCATTTTCCTACAAGTTTCCTATGCTAATGTTTACTGCAGTTACATGAGTTGCCTAAACTCAGTTATTTTCAGTATTAACAACTTAAAATTATTGAGCGACTTTTCTTAGAAATTTTGAGGCAATCGGTTTCCTAAAGTAAAGTCAATTTATTACATTTTACAGTGTAGGACTCAATGAGTGTCACAGATTAATGTTTGATGTGTGGTATTTTTGCAGAATCATTGTGTGACCAACAGAGCCGGGGATCCACCCACATCAACGTGTAATTTCCTCTATTTCTGTTTTTTCTGAAATCCGCCGTCACTGTTTTTATCATCACATGACTGTCTTAAATGCTGAGTCTGCTTCATGTAATGAGGCTTTATAAAGGACTGTGACTACAAACAGGAAGCTAAAGTTAAGAGCCTGTTAGACGGAGTTACAACAATAACCGTTTAATAACCCAATAATAACACAACAACCCACCATTTTTATTGTGGCGTGTGTGTTGACGTGTGTGTACAGGGAGCCGGCTGTAGGGAATGTGGAGCATCTGTGTGCTCACAGCTCTGAGGTGGACATGAAGGAGGGTTTCAGAGGCCACAACGTCACAGCGGCTGTAAGGACAACACACACACACACACACACACGGGGGATTTAGTGGAGCGAATAGGTGAGCAGTGAACCACATGAAAGCAAACGAAGGCAGCGTTTTTTCTGGCAAGGATGGATTGTGAAAGCTGACATTTGTCCTTAAAATAGTGCACCCAGCGTTTCACAGGCAGTGATTACCAACGTGTAACAGCAGGGGGCCGAGCAGCAGCGCGTTGGATGTGGTGGGTGGGAGGCGTTGGATGGAAAGGTTGGTTTCCACTTCTCTGTTCTCCGGTTCTCCGTCTCTAACCGAACAGCGGCCCTCTCTCTGTTCTGTGATACAGGCCACTAAAGGTGTACCGGCAGAGTCCAGTACCACCGTCCACCTGCCCCCCGCTCTGAAGACAGCTGCCACAAAGACCAGCAAGGTCGTCTGCACTTTCTTCAACAACAACTCCCTGTTCCAGGTAGCTGGGAAAAGAACACGTGCCTCCACTTTGAGATTAGACCCCGAGGCCTTAGTCCTTCTGTGTGTAGAGTTGAAGATGTGTGTGTGTGTGTGTGTGTGCGCTCCAGGAGGGTCACAAGGAGAACAGGCTTTTCAACGAAGTGGTGGCAATCACCGTGGAGAACGAGGTCATCGCTAATCTGTCTGAGCCAATCACGATTGACTTTCACCACGATGTCATACCTGTAAGCTTGTGTGTTTTTTTGCCTTCATTTTGTCAGTGCCAGTGTAATCGTTGCCCACGCTGCCTTGTGCCTATCCATACTTCAAATAATCATCAAATCGACTGTTAAAAATCCAGTACTGGAATCTGCTAAAAAAATGTAATTCAGTTTACTTTCATAGCCCCGAATGCCAAATATTTCTCAGAGGGCCAAACTTGACCACAACCTGTGTTACTGCAATGTTGTTCATGTGAATGCGAATGTGCAGCATCTGAATGAGAATCTCTCCCTCCTTTTTTTCTATTTCAGCAACTCCATTCAAAGAAATGTGTGTCCTGGGACACCAGGAAAGGTTGGAACCTTTTAGAATAAACATTGACTTGCTGTTAGTCCTGCAGATGAAGCCTGTTTCTAAAGCTGTGTTTCCTCATTGCAGATCCGTTGCAGGTGAATTGGTTGGCTGACGGATGTGAGACGCGACAGAAAGGAGCGAAACACACCGAGTGTCTCTGCAACCATCTGACTTACTTCTCTGTGCTGGTGGTGAGACGTGGTTACATGACTTCTACACACGTTACGTATTTGTGAAACAGGAACACTTGAGATTTGATGTGTGATGCCTCCGTCTCTCTGTTCATCTCAGCAAATGGAGCCTCGCCCAGTGCGCCACCTCCTGGCCCTCACCGCCATCACATCTCTGGGCTGTGCTGTGTCTGTAATCAGCTGTGTCGCTGTCTTCATTTTCCTCTGCAGGAAGAGGTGAATACTGATTTTACATGTGCAGTTTTCTAAAGGGATTTAGCACAAATCCAGCAACCTTCTCATTTCTATCCCCCTCCCTCTAGCAGGCGGTGCAAGGAGCAGTCCATTCCCATCCACATGGGCTTAGCCGTGTCTCTCGGCCTCCTCAACCTGCTCTTCTTCTTCACCGGGGTCCTGGCCAACGTGGGAGGGGAGAGGCTGTGTGTCTGGGTGGGGGCGGGCCTCCACTACACGCTGCTCAGTTCCTTTACCTGGATGGGCGTGGAGGTGTTCCACACCTTCTGGATGGTCCACGTGGTTTTCAGCCCCTCCCCGAAGGCCTGTGTGTGGAACCTGGTCGGCTTCGGTGAGCGTGATGAAGTGATGCTTCTTTGGTGGCGCGTTAAGGTGGCGTAGATATGTGACCCGTTAAATTCCCTCTGCAGCTCTACCTGCACTGCCCGTATTCATCCTGGCTGCCGTGGGGGACATTTACGGAGTGAGAGAGGTGGTGCCAAGCGATGACGTCTCCAATCCTTATCGGATGTAAGCAAGCAGTGTGAAGACAAATATATTTTCCCTGAAGAACCGTGGTGTTTGGATAGTGTATTAATATCACTGAGTAAAGTCCCCCCAGCGTTTAGCAGGAATACCACTTTACCGTCCTCTCTGGGATTGTGTTTGCTTTTCTCTCTCTGAGTGCGTTTGGTGTTTCCAGGTGCTGGATGAAAGACACCCCCAAGGCCTTGCTGGCCCACTACTTCACCAACATGACAGCCGTGGCCGTCCTGGTGATCTCGGGCTTAGTGATGCTCTTCCTGGTCTACAGGAAGATCCGCATCAGGGACGAATGGAGGCAGAACCGTGTGGCTTTTCTCAGCATCTGGGGCCTCAGCTGCCTCTACGGGACATCTTGGGGTCTGACCTTCTTGGACTTTGGACCCCTCTCTGACGTTATCCTCTTCCTCTCCTGCGTCCTCAACGCTTTTCAAGGTTGGTGCTCGAGGTGCACTGCGCCAGTTAGTCGGTTTGTGTAGTGTTGTCTGCTTCTTTGTGGTTCACCAGACTTTATACGACACTCGTGATCCAAGGCTGGGGGGAAAAAGACACACGCCACATATTTGTGTAGTTTTATCACCATGTTATCACCTCCACAGAACTACACAGTCAGGGGTATGTGCAGCCAGCGACGCATCGTATCAGTGTGAGAACGAGACAATGGCCGTGGTTAATCAGGGTACTGAAGGAAAACTACTTTTCCTCTCATGCAAGGGGCTTGTTTATGATTCAAGCCCAGGAGCTCAACTTATTAACCCTGTTTCTGCTGCACACTGGTGGCTCAGGGAGAGAATGTCTCCATGCCAACGTGGCGGTTTTATGAGTTAACATCAGTGGCATGGGTTGAGTTCTATAAAAGGTGGGTAACGTTTTGGTATAAACACGTCCCACTAAACAAATACTTAATTTGTGGAAATCCATTGAATTTCTTTTTTTTGCCATGTTGAGAAGACCTTCACCAGTACTGGAAACCAGAACTCATGCCCTCAGATCCTAAATCTGTTCAAGGGGATAATCAGATAGATATAGAGCGGATAGATGCACTACACTCTGTATATACTGTATTTTAGAGTAAAAAAATATACATCAGAAAAAAAAATGAGCATCCTTAACCTCAACCTTTCAACAACCAACAAAGACACTTAACTCGTAACTCGATGATTGAGCTGTAAAAAAAAATGTGTTGCTGGAAAACTTGAATGTAGCCCAAACGCTCAGTGTTGAGAATGTGAGGATACGCATTCACATCCTCTGCCAATGCAGTAGATATTTACAGTGCAGTTGTGGCAGATAAAACAAGTGACAATATCCTACAGCTCTATTATGACAGAAATCTTTGAAAGAAAAGAAGTTGTCTTCTCCCCTTGGAAGATAGCTTGTTTCTCTTTAAGTTACTCTGTGGACACATGAAATTAATTTCGGGACACAACTCTGCCTCGGTTGTGTCTCCACCTCCTGAGGAACTGACACAAAGGGGTCACCAAACCTTGTTTGTTTTTTCTCCCTCTCTGCTGTCCCAGGTTTCTTCCTGATGCTGCGGTTCTACATGCTGGCCTGGATGCGGAAGCAGGCCGGCGGCTCGGCTCTGGGCAGCACCAGCACCGGCTCCACCCGCCAGCACATGCTACAGGCCCCGGAGAAGAGCTAGACGGGCCGCCGGCGCTGCAGCACCAAAGCTTTAAGACATTCTTCTTATCTGCGTAGATGATCGCACCCTGTGCCGGCTGAAGAGCTCTCAGTGACCCCCCACCTGTCCTCCCTCTGGCTGCTAAACGCATGGGAGCACCACCTCATCGAGGCACCACCTCATCCACTTTGATGTACTTAGTCAGCGTCTTGGGTGCAGATGGTGTTAAATTGTCCTTTCAAGTGTTTCCTCTAAGACAGCGGTTCCCAAACCATTTAAGCCACGCAGCCTCTTCTACATCCCATCAGGGGCCCCGTTCCTCGTACGAGTTAGCTGAGATAATTTTCAGGATTAGATGACGTAGATCAGGCTTTTCCGGATCCTCGAGGCAGGTTTGTCTAATTCACCATAGCAACACATCGAAAAAACTTGAATCTGCACTGGTACAGGTTCATTGAGCTTCTGTATTAGTTCATTGATGAAGGAGCGATATCAGTTAGATTAACGTTTTATAAGGAGAGTTCTCCGACATCGCATAGACCCGTTATGACATCACGATGACATCCTGTACGAGCGCCACACGCTGCAGTCGAACATTGACTGCAGACTGTTCTTACATACTGTCCCACGGACTCACACACTCTCTCATGTCTCACACACTCTCTCATGCCTCACACACTTATGTCTCATGCCTTCTCTCATACTGTACATGTTTTTACAGTGTTGCGATGCAGAGAACATCTGGAAAACATGTGGTGAAAGCATGTCCGCTGTATGTTGTGCTCTTAGTTCTGTTGGTTTATTTGGCGCTTAATAAACTTCTTTATGTTCCATATTTCACTGCTTCAATTGATCAAATGTCTGGTTATGAACAATGGATATAAACGGATTCTCCCACACACGCACACACAATAAAACTCCTAGTTCTATATGGTCATCTACATACATATACACACACACACACACACACAGTACATACATCCTCGTAACTATTCATAACTATGAATTAGACTCGTTAGGCTTCTTTTATAAACTTATTCTGAAAGAAACCTTTAGAGAGACAGAGGAGGATCCTCCCCGGGACGGAGAGACTCCGTTGGCCGTACAGAATGAACAACATAAAAAACTTACAATACGTTCAATTCATCCGACAGAAATGATTCACAAATACACATAAGGTTAGCGCTGCTGGAATCTCAGCTGATTACAGTTTAAAACTCGATTCTGGCACAGGTAAATAACCAAACAAATAATGACCACTGTCCCTTACCTTGTATACGTGTGCGTTGTGAATTCAAATTCCCACTTCTCCAACAAAGCATCCCGGGCCGGCTTTTCCTCACTGAAATAGCCGGTGTCAACATTGAACTACATTGAAGAGTGACTTCCGCGTATGGCTTTCAAAATAAAGCCCCAATCAAACTGGTTGAACCTACAAAGGCTGCACAAACAAAACAAATAGATTGCCTCGCTCTCAAATAGTGTTTTAATAAGTATGTCAAGTCCAATGTGTAGAGACTCTTTTTACCTATAAAAGTGAGGTCCCCTTGGTTGGTGTTTTGAGTTTGTTTTGACCAGTGTTGGGTAAGTTACTGAAAATGAGTATTTAGTTACAGTACTAGTTACTTCTTTTAAAAGCTAATTGAATTACTTACCAGTTACTGTGTATCAAAAGTAATTAGTTACTCTGGAAAGTAACTTAAGTTACTTTTATGTCTGCTTTTTAAATGGAATGAATATAAATAGTACTGAACCGTCAAACACAATAAACACATTTTTTAGACCTATTTATTGTAATCAACAGGGCAACAGGCCTTCAAATCAAGGAATAGTACAAAAGTCCTTTTTAATACTTAATACTACACAAAATAATTGTTTCAGGCATTTGCCTGAAGGCAACTGACTCGACAGTTGTCAGGTAGCTCCTGGAGCTTCGGTGTGCTGCCACAAAGTTCTCCACCAGCCTGGCCGCTTCAGCTGCCGTTAATGGGTTGTGTTCTTTGACCCAGGTCCTCACCTCTGGACAGAGGACTCTGCGATACTGTTCCAGCACCATAGTCTCCATGAGGCCCTCCTTGCTGCTCCGGTCGTACTTGACCCACTTGGAGAAGAGATCCCTCAGGCGGACGTAAGGTTTGTGTGGCGTCTCCTCTGGGCTGGTCTCCAAGGCTCTGAACTCCAGACGATAAGTCTCTGAGTTGATCTCATATTTTTTTAGCACGGCCTCCCTTAAAAGGTCATAGTCCAAAGTGCTCTCTGGATCCATAGCTACAAATGCACACCGGGCCTTGCCAGTCAGGAGCGGAATGAGGTGAATGAGTCCTCCTTTGGCCAGTCAAAGACTGTTGCAAGCTGTTCGAAGGTGGTTAAATAGTGCTCAATGTCATCAGAGTCTTCCAGCCTAGCCATGTTTGGTTCATAGCCTCTAGGCCGTTGACTGAGGGTCGATGGTGGATCAGGTGTAGGCTCCCGTAGGGCTGCTGGAAACGGTATGGTCCCCCGTTCCCGAGTTACCTCCGCATCCAGCTGCAACTGAGTCACTTGATGAGTGAGGACTTGGAACTGATGGGCTTGCTTGGATGACTCCTTCTCCAGCCGCTCATCTCTGCTGCGCTGCACTTCCATAAAGGATTCAAACAACGCTGCCATCCGGTTGATAGCCGGATCAGCTGTGGCGGATTCGGCTCCAAGTGCTCCCTCTTCTTCCTCCTTCTTCTTCTCCCTTCGGTTGGACATCACGGCTTGATGTAATAATCCCTCTTCGCCTGACTCCAGATCCCACTTCTGACACCTCGGTTCAGTCCGTGACATTCCCATACACTTGGTTCTTGTGTACGGGATTGGGATTGAACATTTAACAATTATTCCACTGAACCCTCTCCTGTCGGACCATTGTCTGATAACCTTTGAATTTCTACTACCGGAATCTCCTCCTCCTGCCAAGGGTTTCTACAGTCGACACTTATCAGATATTGCTGTAACCTCATTTAAAGAAGCCATTGCTTCTGCTCTAAATTGTCTTGTCTCAAGATACCAGAAGACTCCTGTGAGAACTTCAGTCCATCCCAGATCGATCATTTTGTCGATGCTGCTACAGGCTCTTTGAGAGTGCCACTGGATGCTATTGCTCCTCTGGAAGGAAGGAAGAAGGAAGTTTGCTCCTTGGTATAACCCTCAAACCCGGAACCTAAAGCAAACTGTGCGGAAACGATTATGGCGTTTCACCAAATCAGAAGGATCTAGGCTAGTTTGGCAAGACAGCTTTAAAACATATAAGAAGGCAACACAAGAGCATCTTATTACTCATCATTAATAGAGGGAAATAAAAACAACTCCAGGTTTCTCTTCAGCACTGTAGCCAGACTGACAGAGAGTCACAGCTCTGTCGAGCCGTGTATTCCTTTGGACCTCAGTAGTAACGACTTCATGAATTTCTTCAATGATAAGATTCTACTATCTATCAAAGACTATCAAAGAGAAAATTGATGGTCTTCTGCCTTCAACCAGTGCCGACCTGTCCTCAGATGTAGGAACCTTGGATGCAGCAGTGGGCCCTGATGCCTGTTTGATGCCTTCTCTTCCATCAACCTTGATCAACTGACTTCTATAATAAAGTCTAAATCTTCTACTTGTCTCTTGGATCCGATTCCAACTAAGCTGCTTAAGGAAGTTTTTCCTTTAGTTAGCACGTCTTTACTAGATATTATGAGTCTTTGTTGACAGGACATGTACCACAGTCCTTCAAGGTAGCTGTAATTAAACCTCTTCTTAAGAAACCTACTCTTGCTCCCGAGGTGTTGGCTAACTACAGACCTATCTCTAATCTTCCCTTCCTCTCTAAGATCCTTGAGAAATCCATTGCAAATCAATTATGTGACTTTCTACAAAACAATGCTTTGTTTGAGGATTTCCAGTCAGGATTTTGAGTGCATCATAGCACAGAAACAGCACTAGTGAAAATTACAAATGATCTTCTACTTGCATCGGACCAAGGACTCCTCTCTTTTCTTGTCTTGCTGGACCTCAGTGCCGCATTTGATACCATAGACCATTGTATCCTGTTGCAGAGACTAGAACATTTGATTGGTATCAAAGGAACTGCACTCAGCTGGTTTAAATCCTATTTGTCGGATTGATCCCAGTGTGTGCTTGTAAACGGTGAATCCTCGAAGACCACCAATGTTGGTCCCACAAGGTTCTGTACTTGGACCGATTTTATTTACCTTCTATATGCTTTCTTTGGGCGATCTTATCAGGAAACGCCGTATAAACAATACTCAACCGTATCTGTCGATCAAACCAGAAGAGACCGACCAGCTTGTTGGACTTCAAGAATGTCTTGGAGACATGAAAACCTGAATGACGGCAACTTCCTGATGCCAAACTCAGAAAAAACAGAAGTTATCTTGAACTCAGCTGTCACACTTTTTATGGATGGAATTGCTCTGGTACCCAGCAGCACCGTAAAGAACCTTGGAGTTCTCTTCGACCGGGATATGTCCTTGAACTCTCATATAAAGAAGACTTCAAGGACTGCCTTTTTTCATCTACGTAATACATTGAAAATCAGGAACTTCCTGTCTCAAAGTGATGCAGAAAAATTAGTTCATGCGTTTGTTACAACAATCATGGACAGCCGGCTCCAGACTGGATTACTGTAATTCTTTGTTATCAGATCTGCTCTGCTAAATCTCTTCGCCTCTCCAGTTGATTCAGAATGCTGCAGCATGTGTATTAACAATCAAATTTGTCATTTGCGATTTTGGGCTTGTGGTGGCGGGCGTGGTTTGGCTCAGCTGCAGGGGGGACGGAGAGGGGAGTGGTTCAGGGAACGGTGCCGGGGGAGGCATAATCAGCCTCAGGTGGGACTAATCAATCCGTGTGCTCCTACCTTTTAAGTAGGAGAAATCCGGCGACAGCGGGAGAGTGCTGAGCGAGGCGAGGAGGCTGGAGCCGGCTGTCCATGATTGTTGTGAACAGTAAAATAAAGAGTGTAAAATGGAACCAACAGTGCATTCTCGTCATTACGAGACCCCCCCGTAGAACGAACCGGTCACAGGGCTATACAAAATAAAATGAATTGAATTAATAGATTTAATATAAATATATTCATATCGAAAAATATTTATCCTTTAATATAATATATTTATTATATGATATATATATATATGATATTTATAATAGTTATGATATGGTAGTTATCATATTCTGAATATGTGAAGGTGAAGGAGGGCATCGCCTAAGGTCAATAGTTACCATGACAATGAAGCAGCTCCTGGTCCAGATGGTCCCACTGTGTGCAGATCTTCCTCAGATTTCTGGTTCTGCTTTGAGCTCATTGTTAGCACACTGGAGATAAGATAAGAGTCGTGTGACAGAGGGACTGTAAAGAAAACTGTGCGTGTACAGTAGGGGAAACATGGAGAATTCTCACAGCAAACAGGCCACATGTTTGGGGAGGGAAAAAGAAATATAACAGGCTCCAGGGGGATTCGCACAAAGATAAGAAGGAGGGCAGAGTGAGCAGAAAAACAGCAAGCCTGTGAAAAGCTTCTTCTGCACTGGTGAACTCTCACTGATCAGACAAAGAGCTGTTACACTCAAAGGACTTTTATTAATTGTCTTTTTTCATCCACAAAAAGCAGCTATGCACAATCATTTAAATGACAACATACCGCCTCAGTAAATCCACAAAAAGTGCAAATATCACAGTATCTAAAAAATCTCACATGAAATATTCGGCCAAATGATACAATCACGAAGAAGAAATCTATATTCTAAAAGGACCGCATTCGTCCAACCAGATCGTTTGAATCAACTCTATTTTGGTCCATTTGGAGGATAAAGGCCTAAAAATTATGTTTTTTTTTAATAATTATTTTGACTGAAGGTATAAATATGGACTGGAAAAATGAAAAATGAATTCTGTCATCTATTATTAACATTCAGCTATCTATTCCACTATGCACATGTCATATTAAGAATATTAAAACAATATAAAACACAACTCACTAAGTAGTTGTTTTGAAAAGATTGAAAATCGAAAGTGCTAAAAAAATCATACAAGTACAAATACAAAAATAAAAAGCTTATCTAAGGTTCAAGGAGTGCTTCGACAACAATAATAATATAGATCATTTTCAATTCAATAAAAGGGAAATCACAGCACAGTAACCTGTAATCTTTTAACATCCCCACGTGTCCCTGTCTGCATTTAAAAGCTTCACATACAGTTTACAAATGAGTATTTCAAATAAATTCTCTCCCTTCTCTACTAGACTCGGTCTAGGTGTTTTTTTCCTGAGTGACAGTCTCATCTCCTCCGTTGTCCTGGTGAACGTGAATTTGACGGCTCAGTGGTTGATTACAGTCAGCTCATCTCCACCCGGGTGCAATCTGTGGCTTTAATCAACCGAAGCCAAGTGGATCCAACATGTGATGATCAGTGTTTCCCCTCAGTTTTCAGCTTTTCTTGGAGAAAACACTGGAACGGCCAAATTAACACCATCTGAACCCAAGACACTGACTAAGTGCATCAAAGTGGATGAGGTGGTGCATCAATGAGGTGGTGCTCCCATGAGCTGCGCTTGCATTTAGCAGCCAGAGGGAGGACAGGTGGGGGGTCACTGAGAGCTCTTCAGCCGGCACAGCGGGCTGCAGCGCCGGCGGCCCGTCTAGCTCTTCTCCGGGGCCTGTAGCATGTGCTGGCGGGTGGAGCCGGTGCTGGTGCTGCCCAGAGCCGAGCCGCCGGCCTGCTTCCGCATCCAGGCCAGCATGTAGAACCGCAGCATCAGGAAGAAACCTGGGACAGCAGAGAGGGAGAAAAAAACAAACAAGGTTTGGTGACCCCTTTGTGTCAGTTCCTCAGGAGGTGGAGACACAACCGAGGCAGAGTTGTGTCCCGAAATTAATTTCATGTGACCACAGAGTAACTTAAAGAGAAACAAGCTATCTTCCAAGGGGAGAAGACAACTTCTTTTCTTTCAAAGATTTCTGTCATAATAGAGCTGTAGGATATTGTCACTTGTTTTATCTGCCACAACTGCACTGTAAATATCTACTGCATTGGCAGAGGATGTGAATGCGTATCCTCACATTCTCAACACTGAGCGTTTGGGCTACATTCAAGTTTTCCAGCAACACATTTTTTTTTACAGCTCAATCATCGAGTTACGAGTTAAGCGTCTTTGTTGGTTGTTGAAAGGTTGAGGTTAAGGATGCTCATTTTTTTTTGCTGATGTATATTTTTTTACTCTAAAATACAGTATATACAGAGTGTAGTGCATCTATCTGCTCTATATCTATCTGATAATCCCCTTGAACAGATTTAGGATCTGAGGGCATGAGTTCTGGTTTCCAGTACTGGTGAAGGTCTTCTCAACATGGCAAAAAAAAGATATTCAATGGATTTCCACAAATTAAGTATTTGTTTAGTGGGACGTGTTTATACCAAAACGTTACCCACCTTTTATAGAACTCAACCCATGCCACTGATGTTAACTCATAAAACCGCCACGTTGGCATGGAGACATTCTCTCCCTGAGCCACCAGTGTGCAGCAGAAACAGGGTTAATAAGTTGAGCTCCTGGGCTTGAATCATAAACAAGCCCCTTGCATGAGAGGAAAAGTAGTTTTCCTTCAGTACCCTGATTAACCACGGCCATTGTCTCGTTCTCACACTGATACGATGCGTCGCTGGCTGCACATACCCCTGACTGTGTAGTTCTGTGGAGGTGATAACATGGTGATAAAACTACACAAATATGTGGCGTGTGTCTTTTTCCCCCCAGCCTTGGATCACGAGTGTCGTATAAAGTCTGGTGAACCACAAAGAAGCAGACAACACTACACAAACCGACTAACTGGCGCAGTGCACCTCGAGCACCAACCTTGAAAAGCGTTGAGGACGCAGGAGAGGAAGAGGATAACGTCAGAGAGGGGTCCAAAGTCCAAGAAGGTCAGACCCCAAGATGTCCCGTAGAGGCAGCTGAGGCCCCAGATGCTGAGAAAAGCCACACGGTTCTGCCTCCATTCGTCCCTGATGCGGATCTTCCTGTAGACCAGGAAGAGCATCACTAAGCCCGAGATCACCAGGACGGCCACGGCTGTCATGTTGGTGAAGTAGTGGGCCAGCAAGGCCTTGGGGGTGTCTTTCATCCAGCACCTGGAAACACCAAACGCACTCAGAGAGAGAAAAGCAAACACAATCCCAGAGAGGACGGTAAGGTGGTATTCCTGCTAAACGCTGGGGGGACTTTACTCAGTGATATTAATACACTATCCAAACACCACGGTTCTTCAGGGAAAATATATTTGTCTTCACACTGCTTGCTTACATCCGATAAGGATTGGAGACGTCATCGCTTGGCACCACCTCTCTCACTCCGTAAATGTCCCCCACGGCAGCCAGGATGAATACGGGCAGTGCAGGTAGAGCTGCAGAGGGAATTTAACGGGTCACATATCTACGCCACCTTAACGCGCCACCAAAGAAGCATCACTTCATCACGCTCACCGAACCCGACCAGGTTCCACACACAGGCCTTCGGGGAGGGGCTGAAAACCACGTGGACCATCCAGAAGGTGTGGAACACCTCCACGCCCATCCAGGTAAAGGAACTGAGCAGCGTGTAGTGGAGGCCTGCCCCCACCCAGACACACAGCCTCTCCCCTCCCACGTTGGCCAGGACCCCGGTGAAGAAGAAGAGCAGGTTGAGGAGGCCGAGAGACACGGCTAAGCCCATGTGGATGGGAATGGACTGCTCCTTGCACCGCCTGCTAGAGGGAGGGGGATAGAAATGAGAAGGTTGCTGGATTTGTGCTAAATCCCTTTAGAAAACTGCACATGTAAAATCAGTATTCACCTCTTCCTGCAGAGGAAAATGAAGACAGCGACACAGCTGATTACAGACACAGCACAGCCCAGAGATGTGATGGCGGTGAGGGCCAGGAGGTGGCGCACTGGGCGAGGCTCCATTTGCTGAGATGAACAGAGAGACGGAGGCATCACACATCAAATCACAAGTGTTCCTGTTTCACAAATACGTAACGTGTGTAGAAGTCATGTAACCACGTCTCACCACCAGCACAGAGAAGTAAGTCAGATGGTTGCAGAGACACTCGGTGTGTTTCGCTCCTTTCTGTCGCGTCTCACATCCGTCAGCCAACCAATTCACCTGCAACGGATCTGCAATGAGGAAACACAGCTTTAGAAACAGGCTTCATCTGCAGGACTAACAGCAAGTCAATGTTTATTCTAAAAGGTTCCAACCTTTCCTGGTGTCCCAGGACACACATTTCTTCGAATGGAGTTGCTGAAATAGAAAAAAAGGAGGGAGAGATTCTCATTCAGATGCTGCACATTCGTATTCACATGAACAACATTGCAGTAACACAGGTTGTGGTCAAGTTTGGCCCTCTGAGAAATATTTGGCATTCGGGGCTATGAAAGTAAACTGAATTACATTTTTTTAGCAGATTCCAGTACTGGATTTTTAACAGTCGATTTGATGATTATTTGAAGTATGGATAGGCACAAGGCAGCGTGGGCAACGATCACACTGGCACTGACAAAATGAAGGCAAAAAAACACACAAGCTTACAGGTATGACATCGTGGTGAAAGTCAATCGTGATTGGCTCAGACAGATTAGCGATGACCTCGTTCTCCACGGTGATTCCCACCACTTCGTTGAAAAGCCTGTTCTCCTTGTGACCCTCCTGGAGCGCACACACACACACACACACACACACACATCTTCAACTCTACACACAGAAGGACTAAGGCCTTGGGGTCTAATCTCAAAGTGGAGGCACGTGTTCTTTTCCCAGCTACCTGGAACAGGGAGTTGTTGTTGAAGAAAGTGCAGACGACCTTGCTGGTCTTTGTGGCAGCTGTCTTCAGAGCGGGGGGCAGGTGGACGGTGGTACTGGACTCTGCCGGTACACCTTTAGTGGCCTGTATCACAGAACAGAGAGAGGGCCGCTGCTCGGTTAGAGACGGAGAACCGGAGAACAGAGAAGTGGAAACCAACCTTTCCATCCAACGCCTCCCACCCACCACATCCAACGCGCTGCTGCTCGGCCCCCTGCTGTTACACGTTGGTAATCACTGCCTGTGAAACGCTGGGTGCACTATTTTAAGGACAAATGTCAGCTTTCACAATCCATCCTTGCCAGAAAAAACGCTGCCTTCGTTTGCTTTCATGTGGTTCACTGCTCACCTATTCTCTCCACTAAATCCCCCGTGTGTGTGTGTGTGTGTGTGTGTGTGTGTGTGTGTGCGTGTTGTCCTTACAGCCGCTGTGACGTTGTGACCTCTGAAACCCTCCTTCATGTCCACCTCAGAGCTGTGAGCACACAGATGCTCCACATTCCCTACAGCCGGCTCCCTGTACACACACATCAACACACACTTTTAAATGAACAACGGTTATTGTTGTAACTCCGTCTAACAGGCTCTTAACTTTAGCTTCCTGTTTGTAGTCACAGCCCTTTATAAAGCCTCATTACATGAAGCAGACTCAGCAATTCATGTGATGATAAAAACAGTGACGGCGGATTTCAGAAGAAACAGAAATAGAGGAAATTACACGTTGACGTGGGTGGATCCCCGGCTCTGTTGGTCACATAATGATTCTGCAAAAAAACACACAACAAACATTAAACTGTGACACTTGTGTGGAAAACACTGCTTAATGCTGCACATTCGTTCTCCCTTACTGCAGTCGGTGGACTCTCCTATGAACTTGTATGCTTCCAGCGTTTCGTGCGTGAACAAATCGTTCTTGATGGTTCCATCGGTGATGCCATAGATTGCCACGGGTGCCTTGCCGCTGTTGGACAGATCGGTGCAGCAGAGGCCCTGCACACTTCTGGGCCAGCACAGACTCAGGTTCTTCCCTCCCACCTGCACAGCGAAAGGAGACATGAAATGAACCTCCGTTTCGGAAGGAGAGAAACGTGTTTTTAGGTCTTCCACTGCATGGGAACTCTTTTGACCTGCAGCTTCAACTGGTCCAGCAGTGGCTCCCAGTACAGACAGAAGCGAGTCTCCTCCTGGGACTCGAGGCCCAGCTGCTTGAGGGGAATCACTTCGGACCGGCTGCACCCAGCCGTGATCTGCCCGTCGATGGACAAGGAGCTCTGCCCCGCTGAGATGGAGATCTCACTGCAGCCCGTGGAGAGGTTGACGATTAGGCTCAGGGCGCCGCTGTCATGGCGCCAAGTCCCACAAAAACTCAGGTATAGATCATGTTCACTTGTACCTGAAGGGGACAAGAGGCAAAAGGTGGCTTGGTGTTGTTTTTTCTTGAAGTATATTCGATTCAAACTAAATTGCTCTGATGTCTGAGTCAAAGCATTCACAATACTTTAGTCCCAAATATTCATTCATTTTTAGAAATGCAACTTTTTAAATGCTACGTCATTGTTTGAAGTATCCCTAATGCCGAGGGGATTTATTTAATCATAGTGTAGGGCATGTCAGTAATTAGCAACAACATTGATGTTGAAGCATTGCATCAAACACACAACAGAGCAGCAAAGCAGACAGAGTGGGAACCTGGGGGGGAAGCGTTTGCCCCATGGGGCAAACATGAGCAAGAAGCAGAATGGTGGCTCCTCGACTATCAAAGCTGTTCCTGCTCAGGAAGTTCGGAGTTCTGTTATAAAAAACTTTGTTATAGACATGTTATGGAAGCAGAGGCCGTATGCACTGACACAACAATCCTCTGTGAGGTTTCCACAAAACAAAAACCTACTAGAATTTTTCTAAAAATGAAGAAAATCCTCATCTCTTAAATAATAGTTTAAACAAGCTTTTGTATATTTCTTTGGGCTAAAATAATGGTCAACCATAATTGCCATAGTTCAAACCATAGTGGCCTCTGGCGAGTTTAGATGACCAGGGCACCACTCGGCTTGATTGTCTTTGGTTCGCACGTTTGTTGAACAGCTAAACACAAGTCAACCCAACAAACACGAGGCAGAATGGGCCCCTGAACCCTTACATACTATTTAGATTTAGTCCTTAGCAGTTCGCTTCGCGCCAACTTTCCCCCAGATCAAGAACTCTTGAACCACAGCTAATCTAGAATGTCTAGATAAATCTCACTACTACATGTATGATTAATCCTTATTAAATGTTTCATGTCAATCATCGCAAACATTAGAAGTAATAATTATCAATATGACTTTTTTGAATATTTTCCACTTTACCAGAACATTACATAATAAAATAAATGTCAGGCTGTTATCGGTTTTCTCCCACAATGTTTTCCTGCTGTGACTCAGTCGACCTCCTCGTCCTGGAGGCACAGATCCAGGACCTGTTGCTGTCGTGATGTCAGTCACTGCATTGGCATCAATCCTTTCATCTTACCCGCAGCGAGGAGGAGGAGGATGAAGACGAGCGCAGCCCTCAGACCAGCAGTCAGCAGCGGCTCCATAGATACCGGCTGCCGTCGGGAAGACAGAGAGAGAGAGAAATGCTGTTGTAAAAGAGGAACACGAGATCTTTCTGAGAGCAAACGCACATCCCACATGAAACAAAGAGTTCCTATCTGAAGGCAACACAGGTTTGACACAACAGCATTTATTTACGACAGCATTCTTACTGCTTTGCTATCTGCTCCCTCTTATCAATGAATACAAAAGAGTTTGTGCTCAAAATACACACAGGGACCTTTCTGTGCTGTTATCAATGGAAACACACTTCCCCTCTGCGCGCACACACACACACACGCGCAAAAACACACACACTCTTGCCATCTTGTTATTCCGATTAGTGCTTTTTGTGTATAGTGCCGTATACACAGATGTTACATTACTGGATAGAACGAGAAGAAAAAGCAGATTTCCCAGAAAAGAGTCACTTCACGCCACGTGAGTGTGACCACACAGACGTGTGACAACAGACCTTCTGGTCATCTTCGGTTTCTCCCAGACGAGCCGACTCACTGGGGGCGGCTGTCACTGCGCACTACAGATGCAGACATCGATTCTGAACAAGGGAGGGGGGGGGGGGGGGGGTGCAACATTGCATGACAGGAAGGAACCGCAGACACATGAGAGAGCAACATGAAAGAGACAGACAGAAAGAGACAGAGAGGGCTGCAAAGCCTGGTGGTGGGGGGATAGGGGGGGGGGGGGGGGGGGGGGGGGGGGGACCTATGTCTCACAGACACACTCACCCTCACAGAGCTACGGAGATCTACAGCCTCGTCCACTCCACGCTAGCTCATCCTATGTGTTGCTTCAGTCAGCAGCCATAACATCAATCTGCTGGGGGGGCAAGTCAACCCTCAGCTGGTATCCTGTGCTATCCAGCTAATTGCTCTATAAAAGCAATCCCTCCACGAGCAGTGTGGAAACGTCTCTCTGCGGACCTCACTGCTGGACTGTGTGAAGACACTGTGATATAAATAATGAATAGAGGGGACTCTAAAGTGAAAGTTCTGTAAAGAATGCAGCATATCGATTACTGTTTGACACAATACATGTGTTTTCACTTTGACTAGATTGTGACATGTGACTCTGACCCCCAACAGACAAATGCCCACATTTTATTATTTCCATGACTACATGAATCCTTATTTGGGGCCATTTCCACCGGCATGACGGTGAAGGCTAAATGAAAGCAATGCACTATAATAACACATTAACATTAACAAAAACATTACTTTCACTTCAGTTAAAACACGGTGATATTGTGTGAAACTGAAACTTCTGTATATTCAACACAGCATGACTTAGTCATGGATCCTTAGTGGTTCACTTCCCATTTTTGATAATTCAAGGGCGTCAATAGTGAGTAGGTGTTTAGGCGTCTCTTCCTGTGGCTTTGGTATAAACCAATATGACACACGCATTATATGCAAAGCGTTAGCAAGCCGCAGTGGACTCCCGCTCAGAGTGCGTGGACACCCGACCAAAAGAGGGCCATGCATGCGTTGGCGGCCTGCTATGCTGAGGCGTGCACAAACGTGTTGCGGTTGCATCATGGCCCAGACAGCCCTTCACAAACCCATCCATCAGGTACGGGTGGGCCGTAAAAGCCCCCTCTCATCATATAATAATACACATTTTATGGATATTCGGTTGAGGAATTTGAGAACTTGGAAATGAGCGGATGATGTTAATTCACGTATTAATTCATGACTCATATCGTCCATCGTGTGATGTGAGCCCCAATCTTCTGTCAGCCGAGCAAACCTCTTGTCAATTGATTGGCTATTTCCCTTTGACAAATCAGGATTAGACAAATTTGTCAATTTGATGGTAAAGAAATACCTCAGGATAAGCAGTTTACCAAAATGTCCCACGGTTATAATCTCACTGTCTCGGTTTATGAATGTATATACTTATCTTTCTATTTTATCACTTTTTATTCAAAATTAGCAACCGGATTATTGCGGGAACATGGAAAGAATAATATTAGCCTATTGAAATGTTCAGAATTATGTGTTGTTTGCTTGACGCGCGTTGACGGAAATCTGCACAGCGGCCTAAAATAATAAAACTATGTGACTCGGTTAAGACTTTTTGAAGGGATCTAAAAACTGCAGACTGATTTCACCAGTTGAGTTTGCTCAGAGAAGTCACGACGGGACACTTTGTCCCCTGATTAATTAACACCTGTATTTAGCATCGGTCTAATCTGTGGCCGTCTAGTTGTCGTGATGTTGGAGCCGTCTGCCGTCTCTCCAACAAACAGCGCTTCTGAGAAACAAATTACATTTAAAAAGGTCAACATTGAGGTAACGCCACAGAAATCCAGAGCAAGTTGCTGAAGATAACCGTGGACAAAGTACGCAGCCAGAGATGATGTCATGGTGCGTTTGCTGATAGCTACACACACTAAAGAAACAACGTCCCCGTTGGCTGATTAAATGTAGCCCACAGCAGCAAGAGTAGAGAGCAGCCCTTCAGCATCACGCTGGTGGCACGTTCACACGTGGGTTTAATGTGTGATTAACGCCCCCGGCCGGCCCCACCCTGCACTTTACGGCTCTCTGACTACAAGCGGCACGCTGATGAAGACTAAACACAACTCTGGCAGCTGGCTACACAACACAGTGACGGGCTCAGTGCTGCAGAAGGGTTTGAGGGATGGCGAGAACGTCCCCCAGCCTCCGACACAAGTCCCCCCTCTGTGTGCACGTGCATGATCGCACCACACGTAGGAAACACAAAGGTGTGACCACTCTGTTTGCATTTCAGTGTCAGATGCTTTAGATGGAGCTTAAAAGCAGAACTTTGCTTTCAGATGAAACGCCTGTGATGATCCGCCTCTGTCGGACGTGACGTCTAAACTAGTTGAAACAACTTGTAAGCGAACTCCCCCTTCACCCCCCACCCGGCCCCCCGCCCGCACCCTCTCCATTGTTCCTGCATGGCACCAATTCAGCACAAGAATTTCCCCTTTTCATTCTTTTCTGTGAGTGTGCGCTCGTGTGCGTGTGTGTGTGTGTGTGACTGGAGCGCCGCAGACATGCCGCCCTAACGCAACATTTGTCTTTTTCAGCGGGAGGCACACACTACTGAAACTCGCCCCCCCCCTTCTCACTCGCTTCACCTCCAGTGACCCACGCATGTGTGAAGGAGACGGGCCGCTGTAAAAGCCCCGCGCTTCCACTCCGCCGCCTCGCTCGCCGCTTTCCAGTAAAAGGCAGCCGGGCGCCGTCCTACTTCGGCTGCTTGGTACGTCTCTGTGACTCACGCCGCCGTCCTCGCGTCCCGTTTTGACGTGTGTGACACAGACAGCAGACAGAGGGGCCAAACAGGGCAATCAATCGCCATCACCATCACCATTTATTGGCCATGCGTGCAAACGCATACATGGACTTTGGCTCCGGTTTTCACTTTGGTCTCCACATACGTACACAGGTTTTTATCAATAAAAAAGTAAAAAAATATATAAAACAAGGAGCACGTAAAGTAGAACAGATAAACATTTAATGACTATGCACATATAAATATATATCCAAAACTATGACCATAAAAATATATAAGAACAACAACAATTTAGGTAAAAGTGTTTGTCATTCGATGGAAGTAGAGAGAACTGATCTTCATATTTAACCTCAAACCCTGATGAGATCTAGAGAGGATAACTTTCGATCAAATGTTATTATTTGGGTTTTTCTTCTGAACATAAATTTAAACTGAGTTTAAACCACACGCCACAACTTGAGAAGACGTTAAACCGTCTCGGCCAGCGCAGGTTTTGTTAGCCTGCAACACGCGTCACAGGTGGAGGCTTTGGGGACGACTTGGTGACCTGCTGGGTGCGAGGGAAGGATGTGGCGGCACATACAGTAGCAGGTGGAGCGAAACCCGGAGGCCAGACGCAAAGGAGACAAACTGGTGGTAAAACCGAAAAAGACTGTTCAACAAAATGTTGGAGGTCCAGTTGAGAACAGCTGGTTTCTGATCCAGCCAAGAAAATAATGTCTTGCACTGATTGTAGGACGTACAGGAGTGACAAGGTTAAGGGACAAGAAACAAGCTCCTCTTTCTGTCTTTGTATTAAACAGCTTTTATACAAAAGGAGCTTTACGCGTTTATAAGAGTGGGAGATTTGACTAATATATTTACAATGGTCATTTACATTCGAAAGGATTGTAAATCTTGTTCTTCAAGCCGATTGTAGTCAACTGTATTTAAATAAAACTTGATTTCCCAGCACCAAACTAAATTGTGGCTAATGAAATTGCTGAATGTCTAGTGACTTTGGAAAGCAAGCGGCTGGTGAGCAAAAATGTTAATGTCAAGCCCTGCATGCGTACACAGATTATTAATTGATAAGTACTACATATGACTGTGGACTCCATCAAAAGGCTGATTTGGCCTCCGTGCTACAGCTGCACTTCAAATCGAACATTCCTGTGACATGTCAGACTTGTTTTCGGTACAGCAGAGTAAGCTACCTTGAAAATACCACTTCCTGCCGTTCTCAAAGTTCTTTTGTGAGAGTGCTTTTCATGTCTGCTCCTGCATTTAGACGTTCACCTTGTTTTACTTTCGGTAAACAAACCTTGACTCATATACGGACTGACGTACACCATCCGCTTTGCAGTCGGCTGAATTTGTAGTTTGTATTTAGTCCTGCCAGAGTTTTTTAGGGTTTAGTCCCAGCAGCCCAGTGAGGGAGCAAAGAATGCGCAGCGAAGAGTAACCCAAGGAACAAAAGCTGCTCTTTGTTGTCCGGCCTCAGGGTGACAGTGAGCGTGAATACCGGTCAAAGGTCACTGGCTGCTACGGAGGCTGTTAAAGCTGACAGCCCTGAAGAAATACACACAGGAAAAGCTTTAAACTGTGGACGGCGAAGCTCAATGTATTTTGTAAATGAAAATCCCTTCTTTGCTTTGCTTCTGTAGTACCGCGCTGACCTCACTTCTGTGGCCGCTGAGAGAACGCCGCACTGTGCTACTGTTGTGCGCTGCTGCCAACAGATAAGATTTGCGTTGGCCTTCTGGAGGCATTCTTTGCTTGACACGTTGAATTAAAAGGACCTGCGTGTGAAAACGGAAAATGATGGTCTCACACTGAGCAGCTACTGAAAGTCAGACTTGTGACTTCTACTTGAACGTACACCCCGTAAAGCCGTGGCGTTTTTTTCTTTTACGTCGGAATACAGCAAACTAAGTCCAATAACAAGCGGCACAGTTCTGTGCACGGCAACGTATCCACTTGAACGCTGCATGTCGTACGGATGGTGTGGGTTTCCCCGAGGCTACCTTTGTGGGAGGACCTTGCATTCTTTGTGCGAGCACCATAGTGATGCGGCGTGCGCGTCTGCGTGTGCGTGTACGTATTCCTTGATCTGTATCTCTGTGAGGACATTGGAGGAGCAGGTGGAATGCTGCAGATATGTCCTTTGGGGCTATGAATAAATCAATAAAACAACAGCCACACACATGCACAGACATCAGCCAGCATGTTATTAGGGCCTAATTCAGCCCCCAGCGTGGCCTTAGGTGTGGGTCACTGGGTTTAGTCTGTCCTCAGGGGCTTTCTTTTCCTCATTACCAGAAATAAAAAGCCAGCACAATGGAGAAGGACATTCTGCAATTTATATTCCTATGCAATATTTACATTTTATGGGGAGGGGGAGTTCACAAAAAAAATCCCTCCATGATTGTCATCTGTTCACTTTCAGTACTCGTCTGATCTGCAGGCTTTGCAGATGTTCAATATGGGGCAATGCCCCGGTTATTTTTTAAGGCTTTTTCACACCATGTTTTTTTTTTTCCACAGAGTGAAGTCTCGTGATTGTGCACAAAGGCAGAGTCAGGAAACCACATGCTGTAAGAAGAGCGAGGTAGAGAGAGAATAATAGCTGGTCGCCCTGTTACTGTCAATAGCGAGATCTTTGTGATCCCTGCCCCAAAACCTTACAAAATAAAGAAAATATATTATATATATATATATATATATATATATATATATATATATATATAGAGAGAGAGAGAGAGAGAGAGAGAGAGAGAGAGAGAGAGAGAGAGATAAAAATAAATAAATAAATACATATTTTAATATATAAATATTCCCAATATGGGTTCTGTATGAGTATTTATACATGATATACAATAATATATTATAACAATAGTAAACATATTTTAAAAGTGATGTTTTTATTTGTAAAAGAGGTGCCTTAGAATATCAGACATGGTCAAATGCATTTCATAGCCCAGCTTGTTCCACCTGAGGTGTAACGTTGGTCTTGTGACCTTTACCTTCACTGGAGGTTTCTCGTCTCTTCTGAAATGCCCGAAGCCTCCACGTAGAACTTCCACGCACCGGTTCCTCGCAAACTGGACCCGGTGAGGAAGGTGCTACACGCGGCGTTGGCAGCCGGGGATGGACGCTCCTATTCGGTGAACCACCCGCGCTGCCTCAGGTAGACCAAACCGACTTTAAATAGCTGTTCACCCGCTGCTCTTCGGCTTATTTTGGACGTCTTCAACGAACCCGAGACTTGAGAAGTGGAAAGTCCAAAAGAACCAGCGGCCGGTCTGACGCTCCGTGGACCCCGTCACGCGGAGCCTGTGAGCGGACGGGCTGTCAGCGGGACTGAGGTACGGAACCGCAGCTCCGGTCAAGGCAGCTGCGATGAACGGAGCTTCCGGCCAGGATTTTCAAAATGCGTGATAAGAAATCAACGATCCGACCTATGTAGAAAACTACTCATATAGCTTGTTGTCTCTTTTCTTTTTAACATTCCCTCTGGTCCAGATACGTTTGCTTCCTTGAATCTGACGGCTATTATTACACATTGAGTTCCTACCACTTGCTCCAATACTTTGTACAGCTTGACACGCTGCTCCCTAGTTAGCTTCTCTTTTTTATTTTGAAGGCAATGTCATTTCCGTTTATGTTCGGTCGTCTACGTCTCACCTGTCGGGTAACAAGGTGTGAAACGGGAGCACAGGCGGAGTGACCTGGATGTGGCTTCACAGAGAGGAGGGGCAACAATCCCAGAAGAAGACGCCTCATAGCAGTGTTTGTTTAATAAATAGATAACCATTCATGCTTTTGAATACTCAATGAACGAAGGATTTAGTTGGAGCTCAATTCAAGATGCTGACTGTTATCGTGTTTGGACCTTTTAGGAGTTCCATCACAGGGGGACGTGTTACCTTGGACATCTCCTAAAGCCTTGTGTGCATGAGTTCATTGTGTGTATAAACCGCCCCGTTTTTGTTTCAGGTATTGTTTGAACACTTATTCCACAGGCAGCTGGCGCTCTTACGTGTGACCACAAACCGCAGCTTTGTGTTCGGCTGCTTTGAACCGTAATCCAGCAAAGAAATTGTTATTTCCGAAAAACCAGCCGTGTGAACGGAAAACATAAAGCCACCTTGGGGAGAGTGTGAAGTCTCTATAGCGCAGTTTTAATCCACATCCTTGGGATGTGAGAGTGATTAAAAAAACGTCAGCTCCACCAAAGAGTATTGCTTCCTTTCATGAACAAAGATAATAAACACTATACACTAAACACTATTGTGCACGGCCTTTTGTGGTACAACAGACTGACACCTTTATCATGGCCTTTGTTACAAATCAGATGAAGTTAATGTAGCCACCTCTGACATTACGCGAAGATATGACGATAAAAGGCAACACAGTCGTCCTAAAGTGAATCAGACAGCCAGCAAGGACCTGCGTGAGCCCCGTGCTCATAAACCCTTTGTGGGATTTCTTCTACTTCCGGCTGTGTTGCACATTTGTTGCTCCACTAACGTCTGGTGCTTCTGCAGCGCTGATGAAATGACCTCTGAAGTATAAATGAACTCCACTTTGCCTTCTGTTGGAATAGTGCTTTGCATAAAAGTTCCCACTGTGCACCTGCAGCTGATCAAAAGCAGGTTAATGTTTAAACCCGGGGCATTTTATCAATGTCACATTGTTGGTGCTCACCCGACAATTTTAATCACATTTCCCACTAAAATCCTGAACCTGTTAGATTGAACTCTTATATCTTCTAAACGAAAGAAGGAAAAGTATGGGAAGAGGGGAGGGGGAGAGAGAAAGAGGGGGTGGGGGTGGCTAGATTCTGCACCTGGCTCCTCTTTTCTTTTCAACCGTCTACGTGAGTGGTTGAGAGAATGTGTGTGTGTGTGTGTGTGTGTGTGTGCGTTTGTCAGCAGGATTCTTCAGTTGAATTGCGTGGGCTTGGCTAATAAAGGGCCCACTGTCTCCACGTTGACTGCGGTGCTGTCTCTCTGTCTCTGTCTCTGTCTCTCTGTCTCACACACACACAAAGAAAGAGAGTAAAATACGACAGTTAAAACCCCCCCGAAAAAACGCAGCAGAAGAACTGCCAGCAGACATGCGGGTGACTTCCCTTCCCTTCGCCCACCCGCCAAATGCGGGTAGAATTCGGCTGTTGCGGGTAAAGCGATCACTCTCACTTAGCCACTTTAGCGGGTGGAACTCCATGTATCTCCCATCTTTGTTTGTTTATTGTAGCGTAACGGACGGTCTCATAGTGTTTTGCACTTGAGACAGTATGTCCCTTCGGTGTTGCTGCAGGGGCAGAAGGGTGCTTGGGGGGGTTATTGGTGACAGCGGTGGTGTGTGCAAACCGAGTGCTGACGACCACCACCAAGCCGCGAGCGTGAGCCTCCTTAGTTTAGCTGTCAGGCTCAATACGCTACACTGCCGGTTCAAGTTGTGCAGATGTTTTCATACAAAAGGAGCTTTACACACTTATAAGAGCTGGAGCTTTACATTTTATGTAGTCTTGATTCGGGCGTTTACAATGGTTATTTACATTTGAAAGGATTGTAAATCTACTTTTTCAAGTCAATTGTAGCAAACTGTGGTCAACCTTGATCGAATTTAACTCAATTTCCAACAACAAAAATTGGAAAACCACTAGCCACAGTGGCAGGTGAGCAAAAATGCTAATGTGGAGCTCCGCTTCCTTCCCTTAATAGATGAGCTATTAGGCCTGTCGTTAACAAGGCGAGGTGCAGCAGACCATATCAGAGCAGGCGGGTCTGCAACGAACAATGTCCCAGCTTGTGTATATCGGCCCAAAGGTGTGCGATGACCGTGCGTGATCTCCTGTCAAAAAGCTCCAAATATGGGCAGGAGAAAGTCGGACTGTCCAATCGTGTGAGAGGTGTGGGGGGAACAGGAAAGCACACAGCACTCAGCTCGCTGGTGTCATATCCTGTAATTTGGGTTAAAATGATCAAACCCAGCAAATGTTTTTATGATTTTTGGACCAATATCTCATGCTTGTAAGAGCAGGGTTCTGTCTCTGAGTGTAGGTTCATTTGAGTTACTATGGAGGAACAAAGTCCCCTCCTAAATGCCAACGGTATTGCTGGTTGTGCACCTGAAAGGACGAAACCCACACTTTGCTACATGCAGGGTCTCTAACAGTAATTTCCTTCTTTTTTATTTACCAAATATTATCCTGCTTCCAAATCTCAATGCTGACCTTGACCCACATTCTCTGTTCAGCCTGCAATGTTTTCTCAAATGCTTCAATCTAGTCTAATTCTAATATCTAATTCATTCTTATTCTAACAGAGGACTTTTTATATGATATAAAATGCTTTTTGTGATGCTAGGCGCTCACAGGCCTCCCTTCTAGGTAACATATGGGATTCAAGGCATTGATGTACCAATTACTGTGATTTGCTAAGTCAGACAGCAGGCAATCTTATACAGCAATACCTATGAAAAATAAAGCGCCACAATTTGTAGATATCCCATGACATTACTTAAATTACTCTCGCTCTGGGTGTTTTGTTATCTGAGCTTCTCCTTGCTTTGTTGAGCTAGCCGCACCCGCCATGTGTGTTTTTAGTGCCCGTTTCATATGAAGGCAAACTTAGAGGCAAATCAGGTCCATACTTTAACGTCGAGAGGCTGTTCTCTGCTTGATCACTCGCATTTTTTCTTTTGGACAAAAAGGGGCCGATGCAGTCGTCAAGGTATCTCTACATTTAATTGGTTATAATCCTCGTCTTTGGCTGGATTTCATCTTCTCTGTTAAACATTCTCAGAACTGTAGAAGCCTGTTCCCGCACAAAAAACATAAAGGCATTGGAGAGTCGAAATTATGAGATAAAGCTAAAATTCTGAGATCAGACATGAGCGTGCTCCTTTATAGTTCCGTAAAGTTAGCAAGAAATTCACAGATCCAGACTTCCCGGTTCAATAGTTCGTCAGCGAAATGTTATTTCACCAATGGACAAATTGGTCTTAATGCGTGGCCGAAATGAGACTCCGCATTGGTAAAATGATGGTGAATTAGGGTTGTAGCTGGTTGTCGACTTCACCACGGTTACAGAGAGTTTGTGTTTTAACAATGTTTTATCTCATTAAGTCGACTTTCTATCCCTTATTTTTATTGTGGAAAAAGGCTTCTATAGTTCTGGGAATGCATAACCCGAGCCAATCTAAAGACGGGGTTTGTAACCAATTAGATGTAAAGGTACCATGGTGACTGGCTCCGCCCCCTTACTGTCAAACAGAAAAATCACGAGCCAGCGAGCAAATAGCCTGCAAAGACTTTTGCTCGCTAATGATTTGCGCATGGACCTGATTTGTGATCTCGTATATGAGGCTATAGCTGATTAGAGCATCCTAAACAATGGCGTTGCCGCGGAAGCGTAGCACCCCCCCCCGCTGGAGTTTTGAGTTTACGTCAATTTCACAGAATTGTAGCAACCATTCACATTTGTCTTTAACTAATTAACTATCATTCTTTGCAGTGTGTCTGCAGGTTGTACCTTTGGTCCTTCCCTTGAAGTGAATTAAGTCAGACATAGGAAAGCATTAAGGACAAATTCTTAGCCTATTTACTAACATCCATAAATTAATTTTTTTTTTGCCAATAAAAATAAATTTTGGAAGAAGTTGGTCAAATATGCTAAAATGTGCAAAAAAATACTATGTATAGAGTATATATATATATATAATCTATTTAGACCAAGGCCGAAATAATTGGCCGATTACAATGATTGACACCTCTTTGGAATTGTCAGAGGCTACAAATGAGCCATTTCCAATGAAATGAGATTGAGAACACTGTTAGGCAACGAGGAGCAGCAGAGCAGCTGCATGGGGAAGGGTCTGGCTAGCTACGATGGGCTGACGCGTAACCTTTGAACCTTACATCTAAGAACAAAAACTTCTAGACGCCAAGAGAGTGGTGGTACTGGCTAACAGGAAGTCGTCTCGTAATAGTTTGTTTTGCCGGCAGCAAACACTTTTCATGGCAAACTGTTTAAAGGGACATTTTGCAAATATCGTTTGCCAAACAAAACAGTCTCTGTGCCGAGCTACGAATGTTTCGACTACCCACGTCGCTCAATTCTCGTCAACAAGTAATTGTTCTGTATTATGTATCAACATTCTTTCTTTTCTCAATCGAATGATGACAGTTTGTTCTGTCTGCAGTTTTCAGAGCTACTGGAAACCAAATCTTGTAATTGAGATCCAGGTGGGAGCGATAGGCGTTCTGAGCAGCCATGCAGCTTCTCTCCCGCCTCCTCAACTCCTCCCTTGGTCTCTCTTTTAACCCCACCGCCCCCTTCTTTTTTTTAAATATCCCCATTTTAGGAACATCCTTTCCCTGACGGCATTTTACCGTTGCTTTAAAATGTGATAATAACTGATATGGTGGGATTCCTGCTTTAGTATGACTGCCTCATGAAACCCACATGAAACACACACTCAATCATGAGTCTCAACAGGATTATCTCTCATCTCTTTGTTTGAAATACGGGCATGAATATTTGAGGGTTCTGTTGGCTGAACACACAAACACACACACACACACACACACACACACACACACACACACACACACACACACACAGGACTGCCGTTGTGCATTATTGAAAGATTGTTAAACCGTCATCACACACAAGCACTAAACCAAACCCACATGGGTCCTCATCTGCCGGGCTTTGTCACCATGGTGACAACTGTGTGCCCCGCTAGAGGCCAGCTGGTGACTGTGAAGTGTGTGTGTGAGAGAGACAAAACAAAGAGGCGACATGTTGAGCCGCGTGGAGAATTACTCATTCAGCGGTCTGTTTCTTCACATTAAATGCTGAGGCACACACTTTAAATCCCAAGAAGAAGAAGAGAGAAAGCACTGCACGCATTAACATATTGAGTATCGATCCTTGTATTGATTGCCAGTTGCAAAAGAGCATTTATTCCCCGATTCATTTTCGCACGTCGGGAGTAGTGTTGTCTCCGCAGACAGTGAACCATCTGTTTCCTCCACTGCTGCAGCGAGACGTATGGAGCATGTAGAGACTTGACAGGCTGTCTGGTTGGCAGAGGGACAGCAATGCGTTCTTCTCTTTTTTTGGTTTGCTACATGATTACAGACTTTCTACTACGGAAACATCCAGGCCTCCCTCCCCACCATTCCTCATGTACTTAGTCACTCTCTCGACCGGCTTCCCTCTCTGCTCTCAGCTCCACCTTGGAGCAGGCTGAAACATCACATTACAGTACATGTCATTTAGCTGACGCTTTTATCCAAAGTGACTTACAATAAGTGCATTCAACCAAAGGGTACAAACTCAAGAAACAAGAAAGTGCAAATTCATCAAATAAGCCATTTGCTATATATAAGTGCCATTAAAAGTACAATTTAAGTGCTCCAATTTGTTAGTCTTTTAGTGGAGGTAGAGTCTGAAGAGGTGTGTCTTTAGTTTGCGGTGAAAGATGTGAAGGCTCTCTGCGGTCCTGGTGTCTTCAGAGAGCTCGTTCCACCATTTATGAGCCAGGACAGCAAAGAGTTGTGATCTAGTCCAGTGTTTTGCTCTCAGTGAGGGAGCGACGAGCAGTTTTGCAGGTGGAGAGTGCGGGTTGGGATGTAGGGTTTGACCATGTCCTGGATGTAAGCTGGACCCGATCCATTCTCAGCATGGTACGTGAGCACCAATGTTTTGAACTGGATGCGGGCAGCCACCGGTAGCCAGTGAAGAGAGCGGAGGAGTGGAGTAGTGTGGGAGAATTTCAGAAGGTTGAAGACCAGTCGAGCTGCTGCATTCTGGATGAGTCTGCTTGCATTGAGGAAAATAAAATACTCTGATTGCTGTCTGCCGTACTGCATGTGGGTCCGTACCTCCCCCTCACACAATGTCTCCAAAGACAGACTGGATACAGACTGGTTCGACATCTAAGGAGATGTGCTCATTCACTCTCCTACATGAGCTGGATGAGAAGATTGATACCACTGTGCCCAACAAATAGAAAAATAACCTTTTCATTTGTTAGACCGGATGAAGCTGTAAGAGGGATCCCAGCCTATCTGCATCCTTCACCTCGCATTTTTACCTTCGCCTCATGTTCTAGTGGCTCCTTTTGTACTTCAAGAGATCCATGGAGGGGTTTGTTCTTTCTATCGCCGAGATGTTACCTGATCATAGATAGCTGCAGATCTCCCAGGTATACTTAAGGGACCTAAAGCTTAACTTTGTTAGCTTAACGTAATACAAAGACTAGAAACGGGGTCAACCTGGTTCATTCAAACAGTAAGAAAGTCCACCTAAAGACACTCTGAAGCTACATACAAAGGATTAAGTGTACATTGTCTTACCTTCTTACCTTTTGGACAGTGTGTTTTTTATGCTAAGCTAAGTGGCTGCAGACTAACCTTCATATTCACATCACAGGCATTAGAGTGGTTTCAATCTCTTCATCTCTTCACCACAGTGATTTAGCCTCATTTATTCTTTTATAGCGTGATTCATGTTCAAACTGACTTTGTTTCACAGTTATCTTACCACGTGGGATTTTCAGTGACAAGTCATACAGTATATATGGTACATTTCTCCCTCATCAGATGTCCTGGTACCTTCAGGCTTCCCACTTCTGCCCCTGGTCTTTCTCAATATGTGTTCTTGTCTGTACTTGTTTATACAATATTAAACTGCATTAGTTTTTCTTTCAGTATTCAATGTAAATTGTCAAGTCTACATGGAAGTGGGAGGACAGGTTACAAAGACGTATAACGTTGAGATAGATTTAAAAAGCAAGCGGGACGTGATAATACTTCTTGATGAATTGAAAATATAGTCCACTATGTTCTACCATTGCACCTAAGACATACAAATTGAAGAAAAAGAAATCAAGAGGAACTAACGTGCCATTGTGTTCCAACCACGGAAGGAGAGAAAAAAGTGCCAGGTGGAGATGTGTGTCTGGTGTAAATCTTGATAAGTCTGTTCCCGCTGTAACAGGTGATGAAACCTCCACGACAACGGCACACAAAACTGCATCTGGTCCGGTGAAAGCTCTCTTCCTACAAGGCAGCCAGATTACAGTACAGTTAATTCATTGTTCCCACTAAAGAAGGTTCGGGGAGGTATGGGGGGGCCTTCAATGTTACTCTATCATCAAAGGGGATGCGACAGAAGGACTTAGGGAACCACTGCCCAGGTGGAAAAGGGAGGCGACGACCTCCCCCATCATCCACCTCGCTGATCCGACCAGGCAGCCTCCACCGACACCCTGGTGCTGTGGACCCAGTGGACCAGGACAGGGAGGACAGGGAGGACCAGAAGAAGGACTGACGGGAGCAGAGTGTTGGAAACACGCTGCAGTGAAGAGGAGTGCGCTGTGGTGCTCGTGTGTTAACGACATTGAGAAACAGCACAGGGATACGTGGTCACCTTAAACCTGATGTCACTTGTTCGATAGTGCACCTTATTTTTATATATTTTACATTTTTAACTTTAACTTTATTCTCTTATTTTATACTAACCCATAGCCTTATTCTACTAACCCATTGCATTAGCATTGCATTTCATTGTATTACTTGTGCACTACTGCTGTGTTGTCTATTGTTACACTGTCTACTGCCACGCACCAACCGCCAAGACAGATTTCTTGTATGTTTGACACATTTTGGCAATAAATGTTTCCTGATGTTGTCCGTAATAACAGGTAAATATGTTTCTAAGCACAACAGCTTCAACAGAAAAGTATTTCAGGTGCAGAGAAACAAAAGAAAACGGACCAAAACAAAGTATTGTGTTAGAATCAGCTTTATTTACAGAAATGTAACTTTAGATTTGCCTTTACTTCACTAGAACTATACGACACTTTACTGTACAGCGCACCAGAAAGCAGCAGTGAAAACAGAGATACACCATCATTTTATGTCATTTCAAACAAACGAACCTCTCATTATAAAATCCACTATACTTGTACAGGAGCGCCCTCTAGCAGCTTGTTCTCCCTTCAGGAAGAGAGAAGGGAAAGCAAGTAGATAAAAGTAGGAAATAGCGTTACTTCATCTGATACGCCAGGATGAACCCGCTGTTTGCAGCAGAGGAGACGCACTCCTGCTATTATCGGATCTACACCGTGGCTGCTTTACGAGATAGTAATCACAGAGAGGGTGGAAGCCCCTCCCCTTTCCTTCCCCGTGCGCCATTGGCTCGCGGTTCCGCCGCTCTGGGCCTGGATCAGCCTAGCTGTCGTCGGCCTGCAGCATCTTCTCGATCTCTTGGTCCCACTGGTCGTCCTTGTGGTCCTCCTCGGTCACCACCTCGTACTCCTGGAGCTCCTGCTGCAGCTCCTTCTCCCAGTCCGCCGTCTCGTCTGAGTAGGAGAAAGGCGGGTTATTTACTCCGCGATGCAGTGAGACTACAAAGGAATCGGGTCTTCCAAAGGCCAAATAGAGCATCCAGCTGAAGAATCAGAAGCTGACCCTCTGGAGAGGGGACGCTGTCCTTCTTGTCCAGCACCAGCTGCTCCATCTCTTTCCTCAGGTCCTCCTGGTCGATGCCCGTCGAGTCGAAGGCGTCGCTCGCAAACTCGGACACGCCGGGACTCGCGGACATCTCCTCCTCCTCGACTTCCTCCCGGGGTGGCTGAGCGGCACAGGAAAACAGGAAAAAGGGCCGTACTCGTCTTTGGGGATTTTCGGAATGAGTGTTGGAAAGTCACGTGCATTTCGGTGCTCTTACCTTCGGTGCGTCGCTGATGGAAACTGGGGGCGTTTTTGGTCTCACGTTGTCTGCATTAAAAAAACAACACACAATGCGAATCACAACGCAGCGTTGGCAAGGATTATTTTCCTCTCGTCTCTTTTTACACACAAACTTTCCTGGGATCACATTCAGCCCGGTCCAACTACAATATACACCACAACTTCAAATATTTTCCTCCTAAGGAATCCAATCAGATGCTTTCCCAAGAGAAAAAAGCAGAGGAGCTCCTGATGACAAGGCAGGTCATTCGCCCTCACGGGGAGCGGCAGTCTGCTCCTCACACAAACTTCAGGCACTTTTTTCTCTCTCCTTTATCATTCATTGAATGTGTTTTGTAGATCATTATGTCATAATATATAATATATTAATATAATTCAAGCAGAGCGAAGAGGTTCGAACCTATCAGCTAATGTTATTGATTGCTAGGTGCCAATCCAAGTACTTTTTAAAACCACATCAACCAATCAATGTATGCGACAAGTAGCCACAGTGTGTCTGTGCGTTGGCTTTTTGGAGTTTGAGGCTTCTGCCTGATGAAGTTCACTCTGTGAGCAGCAGCCGTTCAAGCTCAGTGCTGAGGCTTTGTGAACAACATGAGTAGTTAGGGATGGTAATGTTTGGGTGTTTTCCAATACCGGTGCCACAAAACAACGATTGCCAACGTTAAAAAAAGGCTTTTCTCTTAGTGCCAATGCCAATTGAACAATGTACTGTTTAAAGTATACTGTAAATAGAAATAAATAGAAAACATCTGGCTTCAAACTACAGCTTCAGACTTTTTAACGTAAAACTGCGGACAATATTAACTGTTAGCAACGGTTTACAGTAAACTTACAGTGTGTCCCCTCTGAACCGGAAGTGTATATATTATTGAAAAGCATTTACGTTACATTGAAAAATGTGTAAAAAACAAACTTTTGGTACCCAACCCCATGTGTAATTGATAATAAATAAATAAAGGGAAATGTGAAGGTCGGTCGGACCTGTGAAGACGACGTCCTCGGGGGAGACACTGGCCCCTCTGTCCTCGCCGTCCTTCTGATGCTGCTGGGCCGCCAGCGCCGTGAGCTGAGCCGACTGCTTGACCAGAGACACCCGGTAGAAGTAATTCCTCCAGAAAACCTCCTCCTTCACCCTGCCGAACACACCACACGTCGTATCAGCGTTTGGATGTCGACCCGAGGGTCTCACACACACACACACACACACACACACACACACGGAGAGTACTGACTGTTTGGGAACCAGGTCGAAGCGCATGCGGTTGAGGAGCTGGTCCTCCTCCAGCATCACTGCAGCCAGAGGATACATCTGCTCCATGTCAAAGTGGAACTGGACACCAGCAGGAGGGTCACGCACGAAATTTCTCTTGTCCTACAATCAGCGGCCCGGAGAGGTGGGTTTGAACAAAGGATTAAATATCAGGGTATAAAGAGCGATAAGGTCACAGATATGACGACAGATTTATTGGGTGCTTACAGCTGACAGAGCGAGGATCTGCTGCATGATGGTCTCCTCCTCGTTGTAGCCGACCCAAGGAGGCACGGCGGCATCTGGACACAAACAAGGAAGACTAACTACGGCCCCTCAAGACACACTTCAAATATGTGTGAAAGAATGAGGGTCACTTCACTCCCACTGTTTCTAGAAGGCCTCGGCAGTGTCGCCCACACAAAAGACAGGGCGTATAAAGCGAGCGACTAAGTCACAGGCTGTAGGTTGTCCCGTGATGCAGGCGTTCACAGAACACAACGCATACTTTTCACGGAGGTTTACTCTGGATGTCGTGTCACAGAGTTTTATATTGTAAAGAACATTCAGTCCTGTGATTCGGACGTTACCAGATTTTTTGGCCTTCTTCTCTTGGACGAACTTCTCTTGTTCCTTCTGAAAGTCTCCAAGGAAAGTCTAAGCGCGCACACACACACACACACACACACACACACACACGGATTACAGAAGAGTAAAGGGGCAGGAGGACCCATGTCATGCTCAAATATTTTCCCCACGTGACGCCAAACTTGTCAAACAGGGTGACGTCAGCCACTTGCCTTGTCTATGATGCCATCGATCTTCCCCTCTTCCACCGTCTTCTTGATGTTCTGAGCCGTCTCCACCACCGACTCGGAGATCTTCTTGGAGGCACTGGACGCAAAGCTGAAGATGTAATCTTTGTAGAAGAGAGGAAAGCGTGGGTGAGTGAATGATCATCATCAGATTGAGGGCCTATTGCCAAAAAGCATTGCAACGAGTAGCAATGTCGTGGTTAGCATAGCACCAAAACCTCAAGTCTTGAGACGCATTTAGCTAATGACTTAGCTTAGCTAGCTTTGTTTCCCCTTCCCGCAAAAACAGCAGCTTCTTTCTCACCACCAAGTCCTTGTCCGTGCTCGGAGATGTCTCCGTCTGCCTCCGGGTCTCCGGCGCCGTCAGCTGGCCGCGGTTTGTTTACCTCGTTTTGTGCTTCCACCACCTTTTCTTCCTGCTCCGCCGCACGCAGGTTGTCCGCGTCGCTGCGCGTCTGGTTCTCCAGACCCAGCCACGTCCCGAGGCCCCTGAACATGCTGGTCGGGGTGCAGTGACAAGTTTTATATTTTGGTTTGAGCAAAAAGCCACAATCACAACAGAAGGTGATTCTTCGCTCTACGCAACCAGGAAACGCGCTGGCAGCCTTTCTTCTTCTCGCGTTAGAAGCTGTGTGAGTGAAGTGAGTGCTGCTGCCGCCCGGTGGCCGGAGGACGAGCGGTCAAAAAAAATGCACTGGACCGTAATAATTTAGGCAATAATATTACCGAAGTATTTATTACAGAAAGGCCCTAATACATTAAAAACATGTAATATAGCGTTATATCTAAAAGTATATGTTTAAGGGGACAAAGGAAGGACTGTTGCTATGGTAATGATTGTAGTAAACAGTAGTTCTTATGAAAGACTGTGCGTGACTCAACCGTTGGGTGGCGGTAAAGAGCTCATCTTAAAAACAAGACAAGACGAGGAGGAAGAGCGGAGGACTCATGTCACATCAGCCTAAGGTGAGTTTGCTGTTGATTGTGGTTCACGTCTTGTTAAATGGAAGGAATTTAGTCAGAGATATGTGACTATGATTATTCCCACGGAGCCTGATCAGAATGGTTGGAGCGGAGTTTCACTGGAACGATTAGCCGGGCAGCTAGGCCGCTTACGCCAGACCCCATCCACGCATCAGCCGTTCGTAACGGAGCGAGCGCAAACTGAATGCGTAAAGCGAAATGGAAATTATTTTAAACGCTCCGGAGTAAACGACGGTGTCGGGGTGAATTCGGCTTGCGTAGAAGAGCGATTTGTGGTAACTCGTACGTTGTTATTTTGTGCTCCGTCACGATAAGATGGTCGAGCAGCTGAATGATCCTAACGGACGCGTTCATACATCCACAGTAACTGCGACAGGTCCGATACTTTCTCTTTCCTTTTTGAAACAGTGACGTATTTTCCCAGCCTGAACATGAAGACTCTGATGGTGTTCGACTTTGACGACACGGTGGTGGATGACAACAGTGACACTTGGGTGATCAGGTAATACTATTAAACTATGAAAAAGATTGTAACCGCGCACAAGTTGTCACATATTTTCAACGCTGTAAAATGAAGCCTAATACCGTTTAACCACAGATTAAATTCAATTCGCTATGTTTTATTTCCAAGCACATCTGTTTGTTTTCTCCTCTTCCCAGATGCCTTCCAAGTAACACGCTTCCTGACTCTGTGAAGAATTCCTACAGAAAAGGCCACTGGACTGAGTTCATGGGCAGAGTGATGAGCTACATAGGTGAGTATCTATTACCTCTTCCGTAGTTTGGTCAGTCGTCGGGTTTATTTTGAATGGCACCACTACCCACTCTTCGGTCCTTTCCATCTCTTTATATATATTATTTTACCTTTCCGTGCAGGAGACCAGAAGGTCACCCCCGAGGGGATCCGCAGCGTGATGGAGACCATCCCCTTCGCCCCCGGAATGACAGACCTGCTGACGTTCATATCCGATCACAAGAGCACCATTGACTGCATCGTCATCTCCGACTCCAACACCCTGTTCATAGACTGGATCCTCCAAGCGTCTGGACTCCAGGCGGCGGTCGACCGGGTCTTCACCAACCCGGCGAAGTTCAACGAGCTCGGGTACATGGAGGTGCGTTGCCACCACTCCCACGACTGCGAGCGCTGCCCCGTCAACCTATGCAAGAGGAAAGTCCTGCAGCTGTTCCTGTCGGAGCAGTGCGCCCGAGGAGTGGAGTACCAACGGGTGGTGTATGCGGGCGACGGCGGGAACGATCTCTGTCCCACTTCCTGTCTCGGGGAACGCGACGTGGTGATGCCCAGGAAGGGGTTCACCCTGGAGAAACTGCTGGCCAAACTGGAGGATGACGCTCCCCTGAGTGCCAGAGTGGTGGCGTGGAGCAGTGGCACCGCCATCCTCGAGGAACTGAAAGCAAGTATGCAGTCGTGACCCGGGACACCGAGAGCGCCATCAAAAGTACCAGTTGTGACTTGAAACTGAAATATTGCAAAAAATAATAATTGTTAGTCGATCAAATATATATATTTTTAAAGTCTGATTGTGTTGTTAAAATAATTTTGAATTGGGAACAAATCCATCATTTACTCTGAGCTGAAATGAAGGAATCAAGGTAGTGTTTGGAAGTGGAAGTCTGGAATAAAAAATTAAAAATCTACATATATATCTATACCTACAATTGTCCAGTCAGGGCGGAGCTGCTGTGCAGACAGGGAGTGCACGTCCGCCCGCACACAGCTACTAGCCCTATCAGGTTTACAAGGTTGTAAACTTAGGGGTTTACCACCCCCAGTCGCCATAGCAACACATGTGGTATTTCCAGTCTACCTGCTGCGTCATGCAGGGGGAGTTGTGTAAGCAGCAGTGTTTCCCCCCCTTCACGCTACGCTGCTTTACTCCGATCTCCCCGTTTCAATGAGACACTTTGTGGTCCGGATCTTCCTGCTAGAAGGCGCTTCACGTGATATGAGAGCATATCTGTGGGCGCGGCTGCAGTGAGCGAGCAAACGCAGCGCGCTCACGTGGTCGGATGACACGCGCTAAATCTTCCTACAGCTAATTATGTTATGCACTGAATATTAAAGAGAGAAACTTAAGCAATGGGCAAGAAAACAAATAATTCTGTTGTTGTTACCACCCTCTAAACACATCAAAACATAATAATTGAATCCTCCCCTTCAGCCCTTAATGTCACTACAATATGTTTGTAAGTACAAGTTGTTAAATGTCAGTTATAATATGAGCTGATGCACTTACCACTATACCAGTTACACCTTTGTGTAACTGGTATATATTACATTGCAATTAGCATTTTTAGGCCTAGTCACAGGTAGTAAGCCATGTCACTGTGGCCGTGAGTCATAATTCACATTGATTCATTCATTCGGTCATCACCTCTGCTTTTCCTACTGTGAAATGTCCTCAGTGAGTAAGTAAACAGGATTTAAACAGGATCTAATCTAGTAAACAGGATTCTGTGCAGCAGACAGCATTTCAAAACAACACTTCTTTCATTAGTTTACCTCAGTTGCACAATATTGTGTAAAGATTGATGAAATTAAATGTTGTCAATGCAAAGTTGGATGGTGTACAAGTCACCCAAAGTTTGGATTTACACAATGCATCTTAAATGTGCCGCTCTGACTGTTTTACATCTCAGCGTAGCAGTTTGTAGTCCTACACACAATTAATTGGCATAAACTTCAACGTATAAGTAAAATGAACAAAGTCCATGTCTCAGAACTGTGTTATTTTAAATCATTAATCAAGGCTTCGTTCAGTAATATTAAACAGAGTATTAAAATGATCAGTGGACTTGGTCCATATATACCAGCAATGACAAACCTGGATACAATGTGGTTTCTCTAACTTACACGAGAGAGAAACTGTCCTGTGAAATGTGATTTGTTTATTCAACTTGTGATTCTAATAATGCGAATAAAATAGAAACTTTTTTTCCTTCTCATGTCTCCATGCCTTTGTTGAGCTGTGATGGTTTGGGTTGCATAAGCCAGGACATTAATATCAATTTCCTTTTTACTTTGTATGATTAAACGGAGTGGACAAAATACCAGAAACCCCTGATGGGGTCCAATTGAGGTCTATGAGGGGGGTCGGTAAATGGCTGAAACAAGCTCTTTGGAGGCAATAGACAGTAAATAGACCTTTATCAATTATAGAGCATTTACTAGGTTAAACCTGCTAAGAAAAAACATCCAGTCCGTCATCTGTCAAAAGGCCAAAGAAAGGGATCGGCCGTTTGATCCCCGACTTCCCTCGTGTCCGTGTGTCCTTGGGCAAGTCGCTCAACCCCAGATTCCTCCCGCCGCTGTGGCTCGTGTGTGTGAATGTCACTTACTGATGGGCAGGTGGCACTGTGTGTGTGTGTGTGTGTGTGTGTGTGTGTGTGTGTGTGTGTGTTGTAGCTCCTGTCAGTGTGTGGATGGCGGAACAATGACATGTATTGTTAAAGTTCTTGTAGTGGTTGGAAAACGAGTGCAGTCCATTTACTATTTACCATCATAACCTACGAGTTAGCGAACGGGACTTGAGTCGTTTGAAAAAAACTGAAGTAAACAACACATTTCTTTTCAAAAGATGATTTTAGTAGTTCTTATCACGCCGTCACGCTGACTGATCCCTCTGGTGACAATCAAAATTGATTAAAAAAAAAAAGGAAATATGTGAATCGTAAGACAGTTTTGTCCTTTTTTGAGATAATCATTATTGATGTGGTTTTGGCCCAAACTTCAACCAGCAGTTAACCCAAGAACTGATCCACCTGTTTTTTTAAAAAAAATGAGCGGATGCATCCTGTGAAGATGCAGAGATTTCCTTTCCCAATACTGTGAGAGAAAAAGCATCACTGGATTGGCACAAATTGAGGGGGATTTAAAGGCGGATTTGGAGAGGGATGCAGGCCAACATCTCACAGACAGCTCTCGCCTAAGATCTAACCTGGTATTATGATCCAAGACGCAGCAGGCTTTGTTTACTTTCTGAATCCGCTCTTCAGTGGGAAGCAGCTTTGGATGAGGCTCCCTGTATTAAGGGGGGGATGCTTGGTTGCATAAGTAACCGGCGGGCTCAACAGTGAGGATACGAGTCCTTGAAGTTCAGACTAGTTTACTCAGAAAGTTTGATGTTTGGGCGCGCAGAGGAGGAACACAAACAGCTGGTGTCTGCGAATAAGCGCAGATATTCTTCTACGTTGACAAGCAGCATGTAGAGTTTTATGTTATGGCTGCTGTTGGTGAGGCTGTAGTCTGTCTATCCAAAGTAGCCTCAATAAACCAGCATGTAATGCAGCCGCTACATATCTAAGGATGTGCGATATTATACGATAATAAAATGAAAAGACGCATATTTATATTTCAGGAGCTATGAAGGTTGTTTCGATGGCCGTCCTGAGCGTGTTGTGGGGCCACTTAAAGTGTGTAGTTAGTGCGCAGTCCTTGAAACGTTGCCTTCACTTCACACTACGGTTTCCATTTCATAGTTGTTTCGAGCTGAAGTCCTTAATGATCCCGTAATGAATATATTTGTGTTATTAACTGTTTTACACTGTTTTTTATACTTCAAGGATGTCACCTTGGACTGTTGGAACATGTGATGGATGTTTCCTACTAACTGAAAAGACAACCAAAACAATATGGAATAAATGTACTTTATCTATGAGCCCTCAACCCATTCATCTGACAGTTAGTAATACACACAAATGTAAAGTAAAGATACCTTTGGTTCAGCTAGAAATGAAGAAAAAAAAGTAGTAAAGAAGCAGAAAACAGAGAAGTGTCCACAACTTAATAAAGTACACAGTGCTGATATTAAACATATCAGGGGGAATTGTTAGCAAAAAGCATAACGTATTAGTTTACACATACATGTCCTGACAAAAACGGAGGTATGTTGCCACAGTGTCAGTTAGCTCTTCCAGGTCTGTAGCAGCAGCCTAAAAAACGGTGTGTTGTTTAATATTCAGTAGTCATCTGTGTTCTTATTTCTTTCATTTATTCATGTATGAATAATCCAAGAAACAGTAGAGATGGGGAATCTGTAGATATGAGAAATAGCGAAAGACACTGCCCGGAGCATTCATTAAATACATGTTTTACCTCAAATGGATGGTGTGCGCTGTCATAGTGGACCCCTCCAAAACTGCAGTAACATCACAGCGAGCCGCGGTACATATTTCTTAACCTTGATTTAGTGTTGTGCTGTTGGCCTGGTAGTTTGTGGTATTCTGGCATTTTCCACACTTCACAACTCTTCCATTCCCGCCTTCAACCCCCCCCCACCCGCCTTAGTCAGCATTGGGAGAAGACATCTGCTCCACCAGAGTCATCATAACCCAGCTGGACACGGGGGGCTCGCTGAAGGCCGCTGACCTGCTGCAATCGGGACCGGTGAAGAGGCCCGAGAGGCCTTCCCGCTGCGCCGACCAGATGCCTCGGCACGCTGGCGTTTCTCCAGCTCGGCACATGCCTCACCCTGGAGGAAGCTGGCAGGCTCTCTCTATCCGGTGACGTCTTAATGATCTAAGACAGTGAGACAAAACTGTTTCTGCTTTTTAAGACATTGAGTATTTTCCAAATGTGTGGTGTTCTTAAAATATGGAGAGTCATTTAAGTAAGGCTTGAAGAAATTTGGCACACGAACAAATATAGAAATACATCTTGGTTATTATTTAAGCACTCCTTTGCGTGATTTGTGAGACTCTTTGTCTCTTTGTCTGAGTCTGAGTTCAGAAACAGGAATCTTTTTATTAAATGGTGGTATGAGGCTCTGAATTTGTAAGTGTAGGATTCTTTATTTAAAGCTGAAAATCTTTTGATTGTTTTTTTTCTTTTGAACATGACAAAACAATCAGGAGCACGAGCCATATTATTCACATGAAAAGGAACAATCTCAGATACTCTTCTCTTCCTACCAATACTGACTTCTGCTAGTTAGCTTTGCGTTGGACAAAAAGTCACGCTGGCCCACTGACCAATCACAGCGCATGTTAATGGTGGCGTATTTCCAGGTTACCTAGAATGCCCCGGCACGTCAAAGAATACCTAATGATCTGATTGGTTGAAGACTATGACACTCAATGATAACGTCCCCATGTACTTTCAACTGCAAGGCCAGCTAGAAGGCCTCGGCCCTCTCTTCTCACGTAGAGACCATAGAGGTGAAATCTGATTGGATAAAAGCTCTGTCCACTGATCAGCCCTCTCCAAACCTGCAGGGGCAACTGGAAAACATACTGGAAAGGGAATGTTTAATGCTCATGCACAACCTCTGGGGTTTAACAAATAAAGAAAAATAATAGGATGACACATGCATATGCCCTTTGTTGAATTTCTTCCCAGCAAGTCAATATATTGATAATACCTTTAGAGCTCCATAATTAACACATACTACACACTGCTGCAGACTTACGTACTACACACTGCTGCAGACTTAGGTACTACACACTGCTGCAGACTTACGTACTACATACTAACATACTGCATACTACTGCAGACTTGCATACTACATACTTCTGCAGACTAACGTACTTCAGAATGATGTACTCTATGCCATCAGTGCGTACTGCTTCCTGCCTGAATGAAGAATTGAGAATAGTATTACCAGCAGAATCAAGGCAGCCTGCCGATGTATTTCTTGGATGGACTGACCTTGTATTCAGAATCTGGTGACTTTATTGAAAGAAAACAAATTAAAACTTGAGAGTAAGCAAACATGGCACACTTAGAAATTGACTTTAAATGGTGGTATTTTGAACTGAATGTTTATTGTGAATCACATCATGTGAAGTGCATGAAATGAATCCCTGAATAAAAAAATGAATAAAAATGAGAAGAATTAGTGCTTCTCAGAGGACGTCGTAAAAAAAAATACTACATGTAGTGTTGGGTGTTTATGCTCTGACTGATTCACCTATGAGAAGGATGATGAATGACTCTCTTACTTTCCTCGTCGCTTACGCTTTTTCCCCTGGGCTTTAGTCGGTTCTCATGTTGGCAGACAGACACAATTTGAGGCTCTTGGGCTTTGCTCAGTGAGGTTAAAATCAAACATAAGCTTGTTTTTACCTCCAGAAAGGCTGCTCCAATAAGGCCGATCTGCTCTTCTGGGTTTGGTTTCTGGGAATCAAGTACCTCCTTCTCAATTTAGAGTTTGCTCTACTGTGAAAGGAGGAAACTGTGTGTGTGTGTGTGGCTGTTTGAGAGTTAACAAGCAAAAAGAAAGCGAGAGATGAAGACAGACTGACAGGCAGTCCAGCGCATAGGCAGACAGAGACAGACAGGGAGGGACAGCCTCTGGTCGCCTGCGTCTTTCTACCTCAACCTTGTCTGAACTCCTGGTTCACAATGAGTTTCCCTGTGACATCTGTGTTTCCCTTTTCATTTCATTTCATTTTTCATTTTTCCATTTGTACTCTAACCTGTAGTAATGAAATAAAAGTAATGATTATCCAATTTTATGTAAATTACATACCAAACGTAAACGGCAAATAAGGTCAAACAGGCTGTTTAACACCATCATTTGAAAAATAGAAGGTTTTGACACAGCCTCCTGATGTTAGCTGATGTCAGCATTCAGCCTCACAGTGCTGCCAACATTTAAATTGATTGTCCATCACTGTTTCATTTTGTAAGTACATTAACAATTTGTTTGTTTGTTTGAAATGTCGTTCAATTTTTGCCAAAACTTTATTGGGAAGTAATAGTAGTAGTCATTTAAAAAAAGTGATGGATCCTGTATTTTGAAACTTTTAAATGGTACAAAAGAAATCAACGCCATTGCATAAGTAACATTGTCATACTACAACATCACAGTTTCAGTGTGCGATGCTCTAAACGGACTTTACCAATGGTGTCTCCACCAATCAGCTCAAGGGTGACACATATTAATTATACTTGGGAATTGCTAATACGGCACGGCTGCAATAAAGCAAATATGCCATTGTAAATTGTGTGAAACCCTATTAGGTATGCACAGAGCCCAGTCTGAACTTACATGACAAATGCTTACCCTTTTCTCCCAATTACTCCAAAGTCTATGCTCATTGTTCTCTTTGACAATAATGGCCCAGATCTAAATCTCCTTGACCCATTTCATTTCAAGTTCCACCGCTGTGTGCTCTGAAGGCTGAAAACCAGCCCAGCACAACTCTGCTCTTTCCCGCAAACCCGGTGCCTCTGCGGCATCATCTCCGTGCCGAGGAGTCCCAGTAATGAATGTGTGCCGCCAGGGGAGGACAGTGTTGCTCCATGTGGAATCTACAACCGGGCTTGATAAGAAATAACACAGTCTATGCGAGGGCGAACGGCTCGCACTGTGCTGTTTGAATTTTTCAAACATTTTTCGGCCCAACCCGGTGGAACTTTTTGTTCTAGACAAGCAAGGACACAAACAATCATACAATCAATGAGAGAGCTGATGGACAAGAGAATCCTGGTGAAGTACCTTTGGATCCAGCCCGAGCAATGGTTCATCCTTCATCGGTGATGTGGCGGATGGCGCAGCCCCCTCGTCTCAACCACTTCTGAAGGCTGAGAGGTTTCAAAACCTTTCCCCGACACCTTTAGTTAAGTTGCCCTTGAGCAAGGCTCTTAATCACGGGTGACTGGAGTGACTACTTCTGTGGCCGCTTTGAAGGGGTTCTTTACAGGTTGCCGAAACAAGTAGCAAAGGATAAAGAAATATTTAGTGCATAAAAGTTCTCATACTCATTACTTTTTCTGTTTTTGTTGATTAAATTGATTGATTGACAGAGGATTAAAACGGTCAAGGAGGTTGAGGAGGAGCAAATAAGGTCGGTGGCAACTGGTTGTCAATAGAGGACCAAGAGGACAGTGACAAGGACCATTTTACATCCACCACTTCACCTCCTTCACCCACCCAAAATATTCCACTCATAACCCCCCCATTCTTTCATCCTTCCCTCCTCACAGCTCTGCTCAATGTCCTGATCCTGGTTGTTTTTGCTACTCAAAGCTGATAATGAAACCCCTCAGTCAGCGTGGTTACATGGATTCGAATAACTGGCTTAGTCGGACTGAAATCGAATTATCCGTTTCATGTAAACACCTTTGTCCGACTATGTGCGGTCCAACTACGATCCGACTAACCCCCCTGGATAACTCGGTCCGATCCAGTTGATAGTTTGACTATTGCGGCATGTAACGGTGAATCGGATAAGGAACTGGACTTTGCGTCTTTGCGCATGCTTGAGATCATGACGGCGTCTTCTCTCCGTTATCAAATCAGCCAATAGCGCCATTCGCATTCGCTGTGCTCCTATTAACATCATGCACACATAGTAGAGGGATGTAGCTTCACCTTGCTCTCCGTTCGCCATCTTTCTCGTAATGTTGATGTTGTTGTTGTTGGTTGTTGTTGATAGTGGTGAAGCGGTCAAGCGAAAATGGCTGTATCACAACTAGTTGTAATGAAAACAGCGCCACCTATCGTATCGGATATGACATGTTTTCGGCCAATGATTCGATTTATTCACTGCCATGTATATTGGGATAATATCACCTCCCCCCGAAAGACAGCATAGTGCGACTAAGCAAAGATTCAAATTATACCATCATGTAAACACACTGACTGGTTTTCAGTGGGGAGGCCCTCGGCCCTCACCTTGTGGCTGTTATCACCAACGTGTGAGCCACACCACTTTAATACAATAAATTAGCTGGTGCCTAAATGTTCTTACACCTCAGAAGCGATGGTGTCTCATCTCGGCCGCCGAAAAGGCCGGTGGTGGGCCGCACTCACGTATGAGGGCCTAACAAATCCAAGATGACAATCTAATAGCTCAATGTAGTGGTTTTATCCGTTGGAAAAAATTGCTTGAAAGCGCTGTGAAATTGTACATTCATATGTCACAGTCTGTCTCCTGTCCTCAATACACAGGTATTTTTTTTCTTAGCTCTCTTTTTGGTTTCTTCTATAATATTCTGATAATGTCAAGCATGTTCATGATAGCTATAAGAAATTTACTCCGCCCATTTCAATACAGTTACATAAAGTCACATTTGAAAATCTACAATTAAATAAAATCACAAGAATACTGCAAACACATGACATGGATTAGATCAAAGCACTGAAGGGTAAAATAAGCCAAAAAGTAAAATATAACAGATTACTCACTAGAACCATAAATATATGCGTAACTAAGAAGTTTATTTGGCATTTCAGAGGATGACATGAATGCAGACAGCCATAGCCTGACTCGAGCCCCGAGGTTCTGAGCCTGATTTGCTCATTAATTTAGGGTTTAAAAAAAGATTAGTGATTTAAAGTGATTTAGAATATGTTACTGATTAGAGAGTCTTTTATTAGTCCCACTCCGAGGTAATTGGTCGCATTACGGCAACAAAAGGGACAGGGCAACAACATTAGACATTAGTAAAAAAATAAGACATAATGAATAAGTAAACAGTCACAAACTAAACATAGCAGTAGCCTGACTGAATGATTGAGTTCACATTAATGCACATATGAAATATTGATATTGCACATCTGCACATCACCTCCACTGGATCAAGGGGGCATATGAGGTGCATTTGTGTTCCCAAACCAGTCCAGTGTATTGCTCAGGTGAACACCGGGGCATTTGTATGAGTTCACCATTTAAATGTGCATTCCATACATTTTTACTGGTATAGGAGGAGTGTTTGCACGTACCAACCAGAGTTTTGAGGTGAATCCGATGGCCCCAGTCCGCAAAACCGTAGCTCCTCACTGTGAGGATCATGATGATTGCTGAGTCCTTAGAGAACCTTCACAAGTGGCAGTACATAAAGTCTGTAGTGTAAATGGTGAATAGAAAGTAAGCAACATGTGTTACCTTTGGGGCCCACAGGCTGCGATGCTTGGACCGACATAACCACATCCTGACATACCGTGGTCGGTATGGCGAGGTAGACCAAGATCCACTCCTGTGCCCTACAACTCAGAGAAATAATGGATTCTCAGATTCTCACAGTGCTCCTGGCTTTTTCCAGGTGGGAGAGGGATCTATGTAGGCAGTAGATGACAGGGTCATTCACCCCAAAGCCAGGTTGATTCTCTACTCAAAACTATTTTTCTTTACTTTATCTCCTCCAGGTATTTCTCTGTAATGTTCCTGAAATCACCATCAGATGTTTCATATACTTTATGCTTCCATTCTTCTTGGATGTGTTTGTTTTCAACAAATCACCTTCCCGAGAGCCACATCGCTGTTAGCATTACTAAATCCCCTCATAACGTTGCTTGCTTTATGTCTTAAGATGAAACGCAGCTTTCAAGCTGGAAGTCATCCTGTCAACTCATCACACAGATTCAGGCTTTCCTAAGTGGCAAGAGCAGATGCTGTTGGTTAGCTGACGAGAGCTGAAAATGATGCTAAACCAGCATTGGGTTGATTGCATGGGACCCGATTCCCAAACTCAAAGCTATATTGGTTGCTTACTGTGATGTTTAGTGTTGTTCACAGATGTAAACTAAACTTGTAAGTATTTGATTAAGAATTACCCCCAAGTGTTCTTTCATGGTTTTTCTGCGTGAGCTCCAATAGCTTCACAGCATTTTTGCCTCGCACAAGGCAGAATTATCTCTTTGGAAGTATGCTGTGCAGGGGAAAAATAAATCCTCATATTGCTGTAAGGTGTCTTGAACAAGGGTAGATTATAAGATTTTATTTTTTAAGTCGAAGGCAAATTAGGTATTCGAGATACCTGGGGCAGCTAATATCTGAAAAAAAGTTAAAATGTCCTACAGAAGAGAGATATTGCAAAAGTGTGATATCAAACCAGAGCCTGTTGGTGCTGCAGCGCGGCAGCGATATGGTATCTGTTCAGCCACTCAAAATGTCTACATTTTGCAACAATATTACAAGGATCGTTTAGAGGCAGAGGCCCTGTGCTCTTATCAAAATACCATTGCTGATGCTTGAGAAGATCGAGCACAACACACGTTGTGAGCTGTCTCCCCTCATTCAAAGATGACTTATTTTTGCTGTGGCGGCCTTTAAACATCACACATCATAATTGGACCACGCAGTTATTTAATTTGAGAAGCCACAGAATGTGAGGTGAGGGGTTGAGGGTGGGGATGATTAACAGCTTTATCTACCCAACATTATTATTGGCGTCATAATGTGTCTTCAAAAGATGTGTGCTAGAAATATGTTCAGTCCGTGTAAAGGGTGGCTTCCTATTTCTTGCCTACCCCCCAAATCTCACTCGCTGATGTCATTTGGAACTTAGTGTGATTGATTGCATGTCAAAAGAAGCATAACCAATTTGTTTCTGAAGGATGTATGGGAATTTAAAATTCGGTACTGATTATAATTCAAAGCATATATGTGCCTTTGCTTTGTTCGGTTGAGCATCAACTACCGAGGTGTAGGCAGTTCTGCAAGCAAACGCCAAATGACAAAGTTATGTTGAGTTTAGAATGAAGCACTGGTCCTGTCTCTTAAATTAGCAGGCTGTCATTTTGGTATGTCTATGAACTCATTATGAGCGTTACTCAAGACATCCTCACACTCACAGGCAGACACACACCAACATGCTACAACACAATACTTGGAGTTAGCCAGTATCAACTCAACGTACCTGCACACAAGGTCATTCATACAGGCTATGGAAAATAGCACCAATAACTGTGTACTCTGTATTCATTTGTACAAGTTTAACGAGAAATAAACTACGTTATCATGTTTGATAATAAAATATATATGTTTGACATAAAATATATTACCATATTATCTGTTTAATTGCATTTTCTGACTTCAGAAATGCAAATAGGCAACACAATTCAACAGAACCATTCGTTAAACGCGTAAATACCGATATATACTTTTTAATATTTAAAAAAATACAATTTTTATCTCTACAAAATGTTAACTATATATTTATTCAAAATAAAACCAGACCTACTTATCTTCTTTTAACTTACTGTTAAAAAATGATACAAAGAGCTATTTCCCCGCGACTGATTGGCCGATTAGTGTAATTGACAACTCATTGGAATTGTTACAGCCTATAGAATTGAGCTGAGGATGAGCGTGCTGACGAAACACGACACTGGTGATTCGACTGCCACACAGTAAGTGACGTGTCATATTATGTTGTATTTTTGAAGCCAAAACAAAAACTTTTTATGGGTACATGACATTTTAAAAATATTTTTGGGCTTTTCAGATTCCTGTTGATGTTCTTCGGCTGATGAGTTGCTCAGGGCTTTCCTGTATACCTCTGGAATCGGTGGATTGTCTGTTACAGTATGTTTAGCGCGAGGTGGTGGCGCGTTTTTGCTAAACATTTTTGAATGGGTTTCCTAAATATCTGATGTATTGTGAAGTGATTGAGTGACTGAAGGGAGTGAGTAGGGCTGCACGGTATGGCCAAAAGTCCCATCACGGTATTAAGAAAGATTCTGACGGTATCCCGGTATGTGACGGTATTGCTTTTTCAAGTAAACATTAATTAATTGACCCCGAAAAGGACCGCGGCTACCTGAACAGCTGTTTGCCGTGTAAGTGGCGAGTTAGCTTGTTAGCGAGTTAGCTTGCTGTGGCTGCAAACAGCTGTTCAACTGTACCAAACAGCTGCCCGCCTCTAGCTGACCAACTTGCTCACAAGTGGCCGGCGAGGTAGATTGTTAGCGTGTTAGTTTGTTAGCTAGTTTGCGTGTTAGCTTGTTGTGGCTGCCATCAGAGGCTCGACAAACGTTTTCTGATCTAACGAATCTTGCGTCGGATTTTCCAGAACCAAAAACCCTCCAAACAGACACAGCTCCTCTCTTGGGCAACTAGTTGTGTTCTCTGGTCTCTCGTTGTTCCTCCTGTTTTTCCGTGTTTTCATGTAGCAAGTTACTTCTTGTTGTGAGCTGTACCCAGCATGCCGTTCGGCAGGGAAATTTTAGAAATATACAATTATTATTGTTACAAATTGTTTATGTGTCACAAGCTGTTGTGTCGTGGTGTTTTACCGTGTTAAAGAGTGTTTGTTGTGGGTTATTATTTATTTATTAGTTATTTCAGAACTCCTCCGAGGCCTCAGAGTCAGAGTCCGCCACCAGGTGGGTGGAGGGGTTCCGGTGGTCGGGTTCCTCGGTTCTAGGGAAAGGACCCTCATTGTCCGCACCAGGAACCTGCAGGGTATTCCTGGCATTCATCTTGGTCCTCGATGGTTGTCCTGGGTGCTGCTGATGAAACCTTGCGATTAGTCTGGAGTCGCAGATGTTCCGAGTTGAAACCCATTGCCTCTCCTCAGGCCCATACCCTTCCCAGTCGACCAGGTACTGAAACCCTTGCCCCCGGCGGCGGGAGCGCAGCAGGTGATGAACTGTGACTGGGCATCCTTCAAAGAAATGAGGAGGAGGAGGAGGCGCAGCAGCCGGCACCGAAGGACTCTCATGTACCAGTTTTACCCTGATTGACCCGTGGAATGTGGGATGGATGCACATGGTTCCTAGAAGCTTGAGTCTGCTGCTGGGTTGATGATCCTCTCATTTGCAAAAAGGCCAATAAACCTTTCCCCCACCTTCTTCTCCATCCGCAAGGGTAGATTCCGGGTTCCGCAGCCACACCCTCTGTTCCACCTGGTAGATGGGGGCTGGTGCGCGGTGTCTGTTAGCCGCTGTTGAGAAGCATGCCACAGACTGGAGAAGGGTAGCTTGGTCCTTAGCCCAGATCTGGCAGCAGCGGCAGACAAATGTCCTTCTTCAATGCGGTGAACAGAGGTGGCTGGAATCCATAGACACACTGAAATGGTGACATGCCTGTGGCGGAACTTAGGGTATTAAGCGTGTATTCCACCCACCTCAACTGGCCGGGCCCGGCGGCAGTGTTCAAGGAAACCATGCAGCGGAGAGTTGTTCTTCTGATTCTTCCTCTCCGTCTGACCGTTGGATTGGGAGTGAAAACCAGAGGACAGGCTGACAATGGCCCCAAGCAGAGCGCAGATTCTTCCAGAGATGAGTGATTTGGGTCCACGGTCAGAGACGACATCAACTGGAATCCTGTGCAGGCGGAAAACATGCTTGACTTAGCTGAAGGGAGATTGGATAATGGAATGAAGTTAGCCATCTTGCTGATCGGTCGACCACTGTCAGTATGGCAGTGTGGCCCTCAGATGGGGATAGTCCGGAGTCCAGAGGGATGTGGGACCATGAGGGATGATGAGGCACCAGGAGAGGCTGCAGGAGACCAGCCAGAGCCTGGATGTTTGTTTGCACACTGGGCAGGCATTGACAAATTCCCTGGTGTCTTTGTTCAATGAGAGCCACCAGAAGCGCTGCTGCAGCACGTTGTGGGTCCTCTGTACTCTCGGGTGGTAGGTCAGCCTGGAGGAATATGCCCACTGGAGGACGTCGGACCGAACATTTCGAGGAATGAACAGGCGGTTAGGAGGGCATGCGCTGGGACCGACTTTCACTAACTCCTCAATCTCCTATGTAAGGGCGGCTACTCGGCAGGAGGCAGGAGGTATGGCTCAGGAGCCAGAGGTAAGTTCCTCCTATTCCCGGAACTGACAGAAAAGGTATAAGGCTTGCCAGTGGGGGACCCGGGACGATAGCAGAGTGTAAAGTGGAACCGGGTGAAGAATAACGACCACCTTGGCCGCACGGACATACTCCGTCCACACCAGATGTGGGAGCTTAGTCACCTCCAACCAATGTCGCCACTCCTCCAGTGCCACCTTAACTGCCAGCAGTCCTCAATTACCAATGTCATAATTTTTCTTGGCGGGGGAAAGCCGACATGAGAAAAAGGCACAGGGATGAAGCTTTTGGTCAGTGGCCAAGCGCTGGGACAGGACACCTCCAACCCCTAGATCGGAGGCATCAACCTCCACCACAAATTGTCTGTCTGGATCCGGTACTCGGAGGATGGGTGCAGAGGTGAATCTGGATTTCAGGGTCTGGAAGGCTCCTTTGGCTGCTGAGGTCCACAGGAAAAGGGTCTTGGAGGAGGTGAGGGTGGTGATGAACCTCCCGATAGAAGTTGGCAAAGCCCAAGGAGAATGATAGTTATTTTGGTTCTATTCATTTTGGAAGGGACTGATACTAAACTATATTTAAAAAGACAGTGTGAAAAAGGCAAATACATGTCAATTTGACAGGGCGTGGTTGTCCTCAGCTGTGAGTGGTTCAGAGAACGGTGCTGAGAAGAGGCTTAATCGGCCTCAGCTGAAATAGATATCCTGATTGTTTTTCCCTCTTGGATAAAATGCCGGTAAGCGCACAGGAGAGTAAAGAGGAGACACAGTTGGGCAGAGCGGACAATAAAACAAACGGCTTGTGACTAATATAATAAAAACATTGAGAAACCACAAACTGTGTTTTCTTGCCTCCTTATACTCAAGGAACCTTTAACGGTGACAGGATCCTGTTACAGAGACTTAGTCATTCTTTTCTCTGTTCAGAAAAATGTATATATTTGATATAGATACATATATATATATATATATATATATATATATATATATATATATATATATATATATATATATATATATATATGGAAAAGGCATAAGTCTTTTCAACCATGTATGAAATCATTTTAGAGATCTCAGAAGCTCACAGAAGTTGACATCAAGCATGACAAGGTCCCCTGGGACGTCCAAGCATTTCCAAGGGAACTCTTCCACAAGTGGAAGTAACCAAACAGAACCACAGGTTGGTGAGATTTTCATTCTTGAACAGCTCCGTTGCTCGCTGTCACCAGAAGTCAGTATGGGTCAAGAAACATGATCAGAAAATAAGGTTAACCGGGCTAGACCCCACCAGAGCCAAAGGACGACTGTGGGGTTCTGTTTGTGATTATGTTGGACAGTCCTATATCTACTTTTTTTCAACATTTTGGCAGAACTAAGAAGAGAAAAAAGCTCCCCATCTGTGTACAATAGGAAGATCGGAAAAGGGCATAGATCTCAGTCAATTGAGTGAGGGACAATTATATATCTGGGCCATGTGTAACAGATCCAGTATCAGAAGAGGGACACTTCTTAAGAGTTGCGGAGAGCTGATAGACCACATTCTACTGCAAGCAGTCCATGTAGAATGTGATAGATGACAAATATGAAAATATACATAACAGCTGTAAAAGTATACTAAGAATGGCATAACATATTAGTAAAACCATTAATACATCTCTGCCATGAGAAAATATAAGATGTCCCTCTTATATTATGAACTATGAGCTAATATCAATACTACATTCTTACCAAAAGTATTAATATCTTTGTTCTACCTGTCACTAATTGTCAGCTCACCACCAACAAAAATCAAAAACCATTAGAGCAAGAGGGACGCACAAGGATTTACCAGATTACACATGTCTGAATACTGAGTAAATAGCTCGAATTTTCTTTTGTAAAGTGGACAACATTTTTGGTCAAAGACATGCATGCAAATGTCCCAACTAGTTCTAGTAGAAATCAGAAAAAAAATCTATTGAGGCAGTTCCTAATGGATAAAAGTATTTCTTATGTAATTAGCTATGACGCTGAACATTTCAGCCAGATTATGATTGAGTGGATGACAAAGACCACACACTTACACATGCATGCCATTATATTAAGGACAGGCATTTTATCTTGGTTGCAGTACATCAATGCTTCATTACATTGGGTTGACAAAATAAGAAGGAAGGGTGCAACAGCTTAATGTGTTTCTGTTCATTTTGATATTGAA